CCATTGACAACACTTCAAAAGGAATATTCCTATAGTTGTATGATAATTTCCGATCGCCTCTTCGAAATAGATTCCCTCTGTTTAGGCCTATTTTTATTTGTATCAATAAAGTTTACGATTGGCATTTGACAACTTGATCGAACCTATTGGTAACGTCCAATTCGGTTTGAAAAATGGTTCTGTACGACTCAACAGTGTTGGTTTGATAGAATAAAGGATATTTTCAATAAACATTGCCTCGAATTGAGAGGAAACCGCAAGAGGTTTCAATTGATTCTTCCTGCAAAAATCAGCGTAATTTTTCAGTTTTACTTTCTCTTTTAAATCAAAGAAATAATAGCAAATATAGTTTTGGGAAAAAATCAAATAATCACTAATCCCTCTAACTCTTTGACAATCTGTTGAGAAGAAGAACAAGAAGAAGGGAAACTGTATTAACTAGTTGGAAAATAACAAAGAAACAAACCAGTTTTTTCAGATTTTGAACACTTGATCATAACATTTGGTTGGGCGAAATGAATCGACTCGCCCACTTTAGATAGCCGACACATTTTGAATTGAGAAGCCTTTGGCCCGCATTCTAATAGAACTAACGATGGATAAAGTTTATCTTGAGGGTAATTGTCGTCAAGGACAAGTCCATTAGAATATCCGTATTCCTCACACAAAATCTGTTTGTTTATTCATAGTTGAAGCTCAACGAAATTTGAAATTGTACGAATGAAGAAAGATACATTTGCCTCTCTTTTCCCAAAAAATCGACTGGATATACGATAACGTTGGCTGTTCTGTTGAGTTAGCACTTGTGGTTCAATGATTAACTCGATGGAAGGCGAAACTGTCGTTGGTTGTATTAAATCTATTGGGAAGAGAAAAGTTCCTCAAACCACACGTATCGCAGAAAGCAGCTTCTACCCACAAAAATTCCTTACAATCTCCTTCTTAAATAGATCTTGTTCAACGCATTGAACAAGTATAGAGAGATGATGCTTGAAGGAAAATTGCATTAAGGGATACTGGCAAAGCGATAAAGTTGAACTAGACGAATCGCACGAGATTACTGGAACCTCACTCCAAGCGAAAACCAACGTCCATACCCTCCAACTGAATTTCATTCTTTGCCAGTTATGTATAGGGAAAGGTAAGAAATCTTTACCAAAATGCTTGCATACCGCTCTTGCGCTGATCGTATAGTCTCTTATTGAATTTAATTGAAAAATTAGAGGGATACTTTCCGAGTAGCTGATATTAATCATTGGCCGTAGAATGTTAGTTTGGCTATTATTCACCTTTGTCAGGTAGACGTTTGTCAAATTAAGTGTAACAGCTTTGTTAATCTGTAAAGATAGTTAGTATAGAGAGAGAGAGAGAGAGAAATTCTTCTAATAGATTACAATTGGAAACTTTCCTTTCTTCTTTTGCAGTTCACAGATATCTTCAGCTTTACATCGGTTATTAACTTCTTGAAAATCCATAACATCTTCGTAATGATTAACATGAATGATTCGGTGACAAATTGACTTTTTAACGGTTTCATTCAAAGAGCATATTTGCGTCATTTCTCCTCCTTTTAGTTGATAGATTCCATTGAAACTATTACCGACAATGATATAATCTATATTTAGAGGAAGAGAAATGAACAAGAAACAGAATAGGAAGAGAGCAATGTATTTTTACGGGATTGATTCCTTCTTAAGCATTTTAAACAAATGGTAAAAGAGCGATCTTCGTCCTTAAAGATATCTCTATAATTTTGTTCATTCTTAGAAATGGTGCTAAACGCACACTTGGTAGGCGTTTCACAAATTAAAATGGCTGAATTATTATCATGAGCATTTTCATTGAAACAGTAGGAAAGTTGAAAGAAAATGTTCAAATATCCCATATTTTTGCAAAGATAACTTCCTATATTCTTTGTTAATACAGATCCATAATTTTTAATAAATATATCTCTATTATTGTCGTTCTTAAACACTATATAACCGGAAACTTGAAATTGATTTGAAGAGGAATCTTCCTCAATTCTAAACTTTCCATCGTAATTCTCAAAGTTAAAAAGTTCGATAGACCAACTTTTCCTCATTGTATAGGAAACCGTCAAAATGAGAAAAGTCCATCTATTCGCCATTGGAGGAAAGAGAGAGAGAGAGAGAGTTCGACGAATAGATAGATGTTTGGAAGATTAATTGACTCTTGAGAAGAGAATGCTAACAAAAGAAGCAATTAATTTTGAACGAGTTGTATTTCTTAATACGAAATATAGAAGAAATTGGATCGAATTGATTAAATAGTTTATTCAAGATCGATAAAATTGAATAGTAATTGAATAATTTTGAAGAAATTTTCTAACAAAATTACCAAAGTGGAGAATATCATTCTTCTTAGCTGTTATCTTGTTATTGTAAATGAAATCTATGCATAGGAAATATTGAAATTTCCCTTTCGATTTCTGATTTGGAGAAGAGAGATAAAAGTAGAAGATTAGTTAGTTTGTTAATATTTGTTATACTTTAACAGAGATTTTATTTGAGTCGATCTTCTCTGCAAAGCATAAATGATGCGAATGAATAGAAGCGATAGCGTTCATAACATCTTTAAATACAAAACACCAATTTGCTATCAAATCCCTTTCTAATTCAATAGTGTATTTTTGCAGAAACTGCTCATCTTTTAACAAGTATTTTTTCCATTTAAAATTGAATTTCTCCTGATTTAAAATCATTTTCAAGGCTAAAAGGGAAGGGAATGGAAGGGAAGAGAGAAGAAGAGGAGGATAAGTAATCACTTTTAAAAGTTTCTCTTACCAGCATTAGTGTTGACAGTTTCGTTCAGCCTCTTTATTCTACGACGACATGGACTAAATGAATGAGATGCGTAGGCGAATGTACAGAATGTACCTGGCTTTTTTAACGTACGCACGAAATAATCTCTTACCATCAATTAGAAAGAATATAAACGGATTAGCATAGCTTTTGAACGGTAAAAAGAATAAGCATATCCATAGTTTCGCCTTATACGATAGATTGTTAGCTGATTTGAATGACGATTGCGAAAGAGTGCATAGGCTGAAAATTGAGATAATGAACAATGTTACGAAATTATTCAAGAACATAAGGAATGGCCATTGGAGTAAATGTTTCGCATTCAAACTGTTTTTCCTACTCAAATATCTAAAGAGTTGATATAGAAAATGCAATGCAATAACAATCATTGAAGAAAATGGTAAGAGACTATTCGCAAGCATTACGTAAACGTTGATAATTAATGAATCGCTCTCGTTTGAAAATATAAAGTTTGAAAAGGGAATTAGAGAAGAAGACGACGACGTTCGTTTCGGAAAAGAATCCTAAACAGAGTAGAGGAAATTAGAAGAAAGTAGAGAGAAGGAGATATTGTAAAACTTACATTGAAAACGAAAACTGGTAGAATCGATAGCAAGATTGAACACATTAGCAGAAATAAAAGAATAAAAATTAATCTTCTTGTAAAATGCTGTTGAAATCTTGCAGAGGAAAATTGATAATTCCAGAATAGACAGTTGGTAGAGAAGATATTGTTGATATAGGCAGCTGGAAAGACTACTCTTAAGAGTTTGTAAAGTAGACTTCCCTTCCAATCTTCTTCGTATGATATAAATTGATTCTCGTAGTAAAAGTTTACTATAAGAAAACTTTGAATAGAGATAACAATAAGGAAATCAGTTGAAAAGATAACGATTTCATCGTAAAACTTGTAACTTTCTCTCAACACAAGAGCCACGATTATAAAACTAATTAAAGCAATAGAGAATAGAATTATTAGAATAAAAGAGAGATTAATTAGAAATGTTGAATTAATGAGATAATCGCAAGTATTGATATCCTTTAATCTAAACGAACAGTATGATAAATCTGTTATAGTTTTCCACGCAAAACAGCAATGATGCTTGTTAGACGTCGATAAATTTTCCAGATTTTTCAAATAGTTCAATAGAATAAATTGATCTTTCCTTGAATTTTTCAACGTTGTTTGTAGAACAACGAGATTCTTAAGCGACGAAAGATTCCTAAACGAATTGTAACGTATAAAGATCAAAGGTATGTTTGTCATTTTCAACGTAATCAATTTGGTCATCGATCCGAATAGATTATAGTTAAAGTATTGTAATTTCGTATACGAAATATCCAATTGGATTAGCTCTGTTAAACGGCTAAAAGCGTTACTTTTGATAAGCTCCAATAGATTCTCGCTAAGATTCAACTGTAATAGGCCTTTTTGAAAATGAAAATCGTATTCGTCAATCAATTTTAGAGCATTTCTACTAAGATCAATAAATCGTAGATTTATGAATAATTTAAAATTTGGTACTCTTTTCAAAAATCCATTTGATAAATCGACAAAAACAATTTGATTGAAAGAGTAGAAAATCAAATATGGAAATTGAACAAGTTTTTCGAATTTCACGTATTTTGAATAGATTCTAGAGTTTAAGAATTTCAAATTTTCTCTTCTTCCTTCTCCTTCTTCGAATACGCAATACAATCTCAAAGGCTGAGAACAAGAACACATTTCGGGACAACTGGTGATCTGTTTACAAGACAGTTCGTCGTCTCCTTTTGGACAGTTGATACGGCCGTCGCAAATTTTATTAAAGCCAATGAACTTTCTCCAATTACGGCATTTATAATAGAATGGAATGGTAAAGTTGCTCGCTTGAAGGAAGAGAAAACAAAAGAGAACAAAGCCTATATATTATATTCGGTTCTATAGTATTAGTATAATTACCGCATCCTATTTCGTCATCTCCGTAACGGCAGTCAATAAATCCATCGCAATAATTAATCGACTCTATACAATATGTAGAGTATTTACACTTGTACTTTCCATAGCCGCATTTATAGTTGTCTAGGAAATTCCAACAGTATGTATTCTCTTTGTAAATCCGATTAAAAGATTCTAATTGGATGCCAAAATCATTGTATTTCAATGTACACTCTTCATTCTTCAATCTTATACAATATTCATTCATATCTAATGAACAATTCACTTTCTCTTCCTCCTCCTCCGACGACGACTCTCTCTTCTTCTCTTCCGTTTTCTTTGAACAAATTTTAAACATCTAATATTAGAACAACAACAATAAAATTTTTAGTTGCTTTTGAAAGTATCTATACAGATTTTTCATCCGACAGATCAAAACAGTCTCTTCTTCCATTATTCAATTCATCAAAAGAGATACATTGTCCATTTTCGCATTTTCTATCGTTATTCGACTTATTTGAAAGCAATTTTAAGCAATAAAGAAAAGAGAGAGAGAGAGAGAGAGAGAGAGAGAGAAGGACAGAGACAGACAGGCACACAGACGAATAGGCATAGAAAGAGAAATATACTAAAAAGTCATAATTACACTTGATTCTTTTCGCAATTGTAATCTTACTTCGATGAATGAGAAGAACAACAAGAGTGAAAGTAGAACTGTTTGATCAATGGAGTAATAGAAAGCAAATAATTGACAAACCACATAAATTCTCATCCAATCCATTAGAACAGTCTTTAATTGCATCGCAAACCAAAAGATAGCTAATTAAAGTATTATCGTCGCATTGAAATAGACGACTTTCTGAACAATTCAATTCGTCAGCTCCGTTCAAACAATCTTGAAAACCATCGCATTTATAATTAATGTGAATGCAGGATGGTTCATCTAGACAAGTGAACATAGTCAATTCGTCGCAAACTCTCTCTCTACCATTCATCACCAAAGAGAAATTTGGACCAACTTTTTCCAATTTACCTAAAGAATTGAACAGAATAAAAAAAATATGTCTAATCAGCAAAATCAATTTCAATCATCTACTTAGTGAAGTTTGACACATAAAACTGGTAAAGATTTTATGAGAGCAGAGAACGCGATGGAGAATTTGTAATTGATTGTTTACGAAAACTGTTAGAGTAGTATTTGTTTGTATTTGTTTATGAACAAATGAAAGGTAAGTGTACAACCTTTATCTAGAATTACTTTTCGGCAAACAAACATGTTTCCATCAATTACCAGTTTATTCCTATTTTTGAAAAGAAAAGGAAACTATAAGAGAGAAGGGAAGAACCTTGATTAATGAAATGAGAAAAATGCTTACCTGAAATTCTTCCCAGTCATTGTACAAGGTAGACTTTTTGTCAGTTGGTCCAAATGCATATTATTGCTTGTGAGTTTACTTACAATTTCGTTCATTTTACTGACTTTTAACTCTGGAAAAGGTGTTGAATTTATAATATTCAACGCATTCTTTACCGTTAGGTGTAGGGTATAAAACAAAATTTCTTATCTATTCACCTACTGCAATATCCAATAAACGTGGAAAAATACTGAATAGGAAGTGAATGTTGTGAAATCTGGCACCGACTCCGAGCAAATCTAATCCGAGAGAATCACATTCTTCTTTCACCTCTTTCCACGAGACTTTTTTAGCGGGATGAATATGATAGAAACATTCCTGAAAAACTCGATACAAGTGAACTTTTGTTCGATTATTGAAGATTGTAGGACAATCTAAAGAGAAACAAAGAAGCATTGCACTCTAAAAAGTTATTGAAAAGAGTTTTCAACCTGTTTTCGTATTCTTTAAGCATTCCATAATGACATGAGAGGTTGGTATATTATATAAATGCATACCGGTATTATCCATTCGGCAATCCTTTAATGTTTGAGAAGATTTACAATCGAGACTTAGCAATACCTTTCTAGGATGATATTCAACGTATGCAGGATCAAACAACTGGGAAAAGTTATAACCAAATTCCTTGCAAATAAGCTTGGATTGGATTTAAATGAAAAAAAAAAAAGGAAAATTACAATTGTATTATAGAGATTGATGACGACCTACTCGAGATTCCGCTTGTCCAAATCGCCAGTTGGACACGTAGAACCAATCGTTTCGAAAAGAAACTTGTAAGCGTCCAAAGTAAGAACTATTGTTGGGAGTATACCGTATATATTGTTGATTGACCCACAAGTCGACATTCTCCAACCGAAATTGATAGTCTTTAACAAGTGAAAAAAGATTAGGCGATGGAAAGAAGATTTGAATAAGAAACCTGGTAAAGGGGTTAACTTTTCTCCGCATTTATTAATGAGTACACGGACATCGTTTGAGAAAATAAGAAAGGCACGTTCAGTTTTAAAGTTGCAATCGGACAATTGTTGAGCGTTTGTCCGACAGTTGATAAGCAGAACTGTTGAACTGTGATTGAAAGCGGAAGATACGAAATTCCTAAATATGTGTCGTAGTCCTTCATGAAATTGATTTCGGCTAATCGACGTTATAGTGCGATTGAAATACAAACAGACTAAATGAGAATACGCTTCAAGCTGTTGAGGAGTTGCTTTGGTTGTGTAAACTGGAATAAAAGATTTCCCATCCTCATAGCTTTTTAATAATCCAAATACTTCTGTACCCGGATCGGCAATTGACCCACCGGAATGTAAACTCAGAGCGGTAAAATCGTCCTCTTTATTTTTACTGCAAAATACTGGATAGCAGGTTGTTTGGGATGAATTTTTGGAGAATATTCCCTTACGTATATTCTCCCAGTAGATGAATTTATTGGCAAATTTTCCAACGTACTCTCCCAATTTCATACGATAATAGTTTCTACAGTCGACGTACAATGTCCTCTCTCGGTGGCAGACGACGTAGGAAGTCTTATTAAATCGTAGATATAGACGATTATATTGATGAAGAGAATCCGTACTATCGGCAATATACTCATCTGCATTTTTTTGGAGAAACGATTAAAGATAACAAAACTGATGGGAAATGATAAAATGCTCATATACAGGATATATTGAACAGAGAGCAGCTTAAACACATTTGTTCAAATGTACCCAGGAAACCATCATTGTTATAGGTGAATTTACACGTTTTCCATTCAGCACAGGCTATTGTTGAAATATATTCATCTGAAATAAATTTCTTATTCTCATAGGTAATAAGGAAAAGCTATGATAAATCTTACTAATATAATCACCACCATTACAAGTAAGCATGACGGCGTTGAATTCGTCAAAATCCTTATCTTGACCGCATAAGAAAGAAGAGGCGTAAATATTTTCAATTATATCCTTTGAATAATCCAACGTAATTATAAAACCCTTTTGCGACATGTCGTCAAGATTGTATACGTTATCTAGGAAGGCGTAGACCATAGGAGCAACACTGACAATATTCTCGTACACTTTAATTCGTTCTAAACCTATAGACGGATTAGTTAGTTCTCTAGTGGGATTATCATAACCGTATTCGTAGTAATTTCCATTGTTCCCTTTAGCCAAATAGTTAAGATAGAGAACTAGATATGAGATCTTTCCCTCCATCAAACGATCATTCCACAAATCGAACTGGTGATATGTCTAATTAGCTAAGTGAAAAGTAACACTGTAAAGAAGAGAGGGAAAGGGAACGAGACTCGAAACTTTAGGGATATTTTAATAATAAAAGAAGAATATAGGCTTAATTGATTGTAGATACTTTCGAAGATGAGAAGATGAAATATCAGAATGATTTACTGAAAAGATTAATTTTGAACTATCGAATGAATTAATTAAATTTTCAATTAAAAGCAATTGTAACAGAGCCTACGCACTTTTTTGGTCGATTATACAAAAGAGGGCGTTGTAGATAATCTAGAATAAATGATACAGATAGAGAGAGAGAGAGAGAGAGAGAGAGAGAGAAATTATATTGTAATATACAATTTATACTGTATATACAGCAGGTATACGCAAAGGTAATAGTTAGTTAATCGCTAGTTTTGTTAATGAATATTCAAGGAAGAAAGGAAGAGAAGAGAAATTTACTTAATAAAGACGATTAATGTTAGATTGAAAAAGTGGGGCAATTTAATTAATTAATAAGGTTGATTTAAGAAAACAACAAGAACTTTTAAAAGAACAACATTTAACCAAGAAATTATCTGTTCATAATAAGAAATTGTTCAAATAAATGACACGATTCTCAAGGTTAACTTTTAGTCGGTCGATTACTAAAATATTCAAGCAAATTCTTTGTATATTCATAGGGAATTGTTAAAAAAAGAGACATGACAATGACCTCTGCTTTCCACAAGTCTAAAGGAACGGAGGAGGACGCCAGCTATTGTAGAAGCGTTAAAAAGTAGAGAAAAGTCTTCCATACGAGCCTATTTACTCTGTTTGATGGCCATCGGTTATGCATGATCATAACCGAATGAATAAGAGAATAGCAATCATAAACAGAAACAAAAAAATAATAAACAAATAATAGTCTAATAACATTAAAGATTAAGTGTTGATCATTAATTAGTTGAACGACAATAGAGAGATGCTCGAAGAGACGCCTCAAAGTTACCCGTTAAAAAATTAATAATAGTCTAAATCGATAAAAGTTTTAACGTTGTTGATTTAACGCATATAAAAGTTATTGTATAGTTTTCGATCAATTTTTAGCCGTAACCTTTATATATTAAAATTGAATTTATTCTATAAAAGATTTCCACCCCTTTACTCCGCAAATGCATATTCAAAAAGGCCTCAGTTTATTAATTAATCGACTTTGAATTATTCGAATAATTTACCTGATTCTATTATCTGTTTACTTGTTTAATTGTGCAAACACAGCAATGACGGAGAAGAGAAGGGGAAAATAAAAAGAAAACTAGTGCCTGGATCATTGCTTTTTATATCGTTCTTTTTAGGTTGTTGACGAAGAATTAGATGGATAGATGGATAGGTAAAGAAGAGAAGGTTAGTTACCTAGAATTTTCCTATTGTTCACGTCCATCTAAACTAATAATTGGCACGTGAATTTTTTAAAACGTTTCAATAATTTTCAATGCTTAGTTTATTAATAAATTCTTTTCTTTTTATTTCATTTCGCCTGTTTATCCCTGAAACTATTGCAATTCCTACTTTTTCACCCTTCTCTCTTATCTATTATTACTCAAACTTTATTGGAAAATACCTCAAGTTAAGGTAAACGCCCTATAGAAACTAACGTTAGACTATTGGTGGTTTTCTTCTTTAAACACTTTTTAAAAAACATGTGGTTGGTTGTAATAACAATAAATAAATGCTTAACAGCCAATTTGTTTAAATTAATTCCTATAATTCAATATTTTAATCGGCCTTATTCCTGCCTGTTTTACCTGTTCTCTCTCTCTCTCTCTCTCTCTCTCTCTCTCTATAGTTAGGTATTTCAAAGGGTTCTGTGGCCAGTGAATTCATTAAATAGTTAGAGGACAAATGAAGCCGATAGTCTGTACGGGTCGTATTTATCGGTTTTTTAATTGTATACTGTATAGCCTGTAGATAGTTACAGTATTCATTATGTCAATTAGTTGATAGTAACCTATTGGTTCCCGATATCAGTCTTTGTTGTCAATTTCAATGTGTAGTTATGTAGTATATATTTATCTCCTCAATTTCTTTACCCTAACCCTAACGTCTTTGCCCTCCAGCATCGATCATCATTCAACTTTAATAGTTTTGAATTAATCTATTATTTCTGAGATAATGATGAATCTATAATATCTTAAAAACTTTTCATTCAAAGCAAATTCTTTCTATTCTTTAAAGTAGACAAAACAAAGTTTCTTTTGTGCAATTTTCATAAATTTTCAATTATAAACGCCTCGCTGCTGCTATTTACCTTTAAAAAGACATGACTCTGTTGCATGTCTATTTGTGCGGGATTGTAATGGTAGGGGTGGTGGTGGTGATGATGAAATTGAAGATCAGGCTTTGAAGTGTGTCCCCTCTTCTTTCCCAATCATTAAAGTAAATGTAACAAGATTGTTTGTTTGTTTGTTTGTTTGTTTGTTTAATAGACTAAATTAGAATTATATTGATTTATTGAAGAAAGACTTTGACATAGAGTTATCATATCTTATCACATAAATTTCGTAAGACAATAAGTATTTTCGGTCTTTTTGCAAATCTTCTAAAGAAAAAACAATCACATAAAAAAGGTAGAAAAATGTTAAAAATAAACAATATAATAGATTGATCATTCATCTACAGTTCCCTCTTCCAGGTGAGAAAGAAGGGTTGAGAATGATAATGTGTTCTTGGAGAAGAATTTGAAATTTTCTAAAGGAAGAAAGTTACAATAGATAATACGAAAATGCAAGAATAAATATAAAAGGTGTGCAGTTTCTTTATGTTCTTCTGTCGTCAATAATTCGGTTTAAATCTTATAAACATATCAATGATATAAATATAGATAGTAAACCTACGACTATACTGAATTTCATAGTCGGCGCTTTTGAACCTAAACCTTCGTTTGGATCTGGCTTTTCGATTTCATCCAAAACTGCATCGCAACAATTCTTTGCCTCCGTTTCGATTTCCGACTTTGCCTCCTTTATTGCATCTTCTAGTACGTTTTGAGGCAGGAAATCATCTAGGCTTCTCTTCTTCCTTTTTGATGTGGATCCCTTAGAACACAGGTCGTTCTGGAAGTTTGGTCTAGCGTAGAGAAGGGCTCTAATAACGCCAGTCCTCCCTTCGACTTCTTCGGGATAGCCGTCGGCTACTTCAAGTTGATTAGATGTTAGATATTGTAGTGCAGCCAATCTGAAAAATTCAGCAAGGATTAGAGATATTTTATAATCATATAGTATTCGTTTTAATTGCTTATATGCATATTTTTGTTTCCTTTCCCGTTGTAAGTAGTAAATAGGTGCAAATTTTTCACAAAGACAAAAAGAAAAGACAGTAGATTAGTATAATAAAAATATAAATATACTTTAGTTGGTTAAGCTTGTTCAATCAATGGTAAACAATTGTTCAAAAAGAATGTTTGAACGCGATCAAACAACGTAATGTGCGATACTGCAAGCGTTCTTTAGCAATCAATCAACGTTTAACGGGAAAGATATATTGAAACATATTTTCACCTTTCTATTGTTTTAATCGGAATACTTCGCCAAATAAAGGGAAAGAGAGAGAGAGAGAGAGAGAGACGAGGAAGAAGAAGATAGAGGGAGAAACATTATCAAAGAGCAATAAAAGTAAGCTCTAATTAGAACTTATAATGATAACAATAGCGACTATTAGTCGGAACTCGTTCGTCACTCTTTTATTTGATTATTAAAGCGTTTAAGCGGAGGGAGAGTTGAACTGGAGTGTTTTACAGACTTATTCCAGACGTTGAGAGGTTGTTGAAAAAGACTTTTAGAAAGTTTATTTCAACGTTTTTCCTAAATTTCTTCCTATTTCTCTAGAAAAAAATCAGCGGCAATTAATCGATGATAATTAAGAAAAAGAGAGAATATTCGACCAAATCGACCATTTCTACTCTTCCGCTGCTGAACGATTCAAGTAGAGAGAATGTTTTTTAAGAGAAAGCTTTTTGTTTTTTAACCGATCGAAATGGTTTCGTGACGTAAATGTTCTTTATTGGAAAAAACCTTTACTCTAGTCCCAGTTTCAGGGGTAATCGACACACGGAATGGAACGCTACAAAATAATCATTCAGCGGTAGGTAGAATCAATAAGTACGAACAATATTGATAAAAATTACTCTCCAAAATATGGGACAATAAAAAATAATACCTCCTCTTTATGAAGAGGCAGGAAAGCATGAAAGCGTAAAAACAGGCAGGAAAGCAGCAAGGCAGGAAAATAGTTTGCAGAGCATTAAGAGTTACCAATTTGTCTTTTCAATATTATATAATATTTGTTTAACGACTGTTTCCATCTTTTGTTTACACTATACGCCTAAACAATAGATTATATATACTTACTCTGATTCTCCTTTCGGCTTTTTTCCTTTGCAGCAGTGGGAAAAGTATTTTGTCTTTCTGCAAAGTCTACTAATAGCTGCAGCGACTTTCGGCTTAATGGCAGTCCAAATTTGATCCCACTAAAAACAGATACAGTTTTAATTAGCCGTTAATAAATCAGAATATAAGATAAAACCTTTGATAATGAAGTTCTCATGTATAAGCGAATTCCAACTTTTAACTTTTCTCTACTCTTTGCGCAAGTTTTTCCGTAGTAATTTGCTGTGCATTTGCATATACATTTATTGCCACTAGCAGCCGCTTTTCCTCCATTCTTACAAGAGTGAGATGAACAATCTATACCTCCACCGCCACCGCCACCGCCACCGCCACCGCCATTCTCCTTTGGAGGTTCTTTAGGGCAGTTTTTCGTGTCGGTCTTTCCAGTTTCTAAAGAGATACACAGTTGGTTAGTTATTTAGTTAGATAGATAGATAGATAGATATTAATTGATTGGCCGACTGGCAGACTGATTGATCGTCGAAGGACGTACAGTGTAATAGTATTTTTCTTTATTTCATTCCTTTTATCATATAAATAATTAGACTACCATTTTGATTAATTATAAAGTATAGTGAAATGGAAAACTGATTTTCCTTATTTAGCGCCTTGTAATTTGATTAAAACATATTGACATAAAGAAACAGTAGGTAGCATAAGTAGTGTTCAGCTTTACCTTTTCTGTCTGTCTATCTGTTTGTCTAACTCTCTCTCTCTCTCTCTCTCTTTCTATCTATCTATCTCTATTTCTCTTTAATCACTATTAAAAATAACAATTGCAACTAGTACTTGAACTGAATATCTTCTCTATAGTAGGATATAGAAATGGTAAAAGGATTAAAGACGCATACAGTAAATAAAGAACTCAATTCCCTTTAGACAGTTTGTTATTATAAACGCTAGTTTTGTTTAATTATTGCTATAGTGATTTGGTTGGAGATGCATGTAACAGTACTTACGGCAAATTCCGCACAATGCTGGACATCTTCCCTGTACTAAATTCTTAAACTGCGCATGATTACAGCTGCCTTTCGGATATCCAGGACTTTTACCGCATTTACTATCGTAGTCTTTACATTCTTTCGCGCAATCATCGCCAGTAAATCCGGGTTTGCAGGTGCAACCGCAAGATGATTTCTTTTCGCCACAATTTGCGCAGAAAATCTTACACGTACAATCCGAGCCAGATTTACAGGTACTGCATAGCTTTTTTCGGCACATGGGCGCTTCAGAAGGACAACCAGTGCATTGGACACCCTTTTCGTAGATTTTTGTATTCGCATAGTTGCCACTAAAAGCAGTGGATTGGACATGTAGATATTTAATTGACGATTATGAAAATGTTTACTTACGGTGGTCCGTAATTGCATACAATATATTCGCCCTTGCCTATTTGTCTATTCTCTGAACTATCCCTCAAATTGGTACATTTATGTAGTGCACATCCAAGATTCGTTGATTCTGCCCATACAACTTGAGTATAATGTCCGCATGGACTTTTGTTGCATCTAATTTTCTCGTAATCGTAATTCTTTTTCTCGTTATGCCATGCTCTAATTGCAGAAGTGAAGCTGGCTGTTCCAGTCCTGTATTGGTTGAAAGATATTGTTTATGACCTATAACCGAACAGAAAAATAAAATCATTGCGTGTATATGACTACGTACGTATGTGAGGGTGTGTTTGTTATCGAGTAAATTGCGATGTTCTACCTGCGCTATTTGAAAAGAATGATTGACTGAACAAGTGAATGGATGAATGAATTTGGCGTAAATATATATTTTTTTGGATAAAAAGTAGTTGCTATATGAATAAAGAAGTATGTAACAATTGAAGTATTAGTTTTTATCATTGGATTCCTTACTTTTAAAAAAAGGGTTTTCAACGAGGAAAAGTATAGAAAAGTAAGAATTGCATTCTAAGCGAATCAATCGTCTAAAGAGTGTTCCTCTGTTAGAATCATTAACAACAACTTATCATCATCGCCATCGCAATTATTCCCATTACAATTTGTTGAGTATTATTTCTATTGCGAAGGAAGATATTTACTTTTTGATTCAACTAAAAACTAACACTAACTAACGTTGTTCAAGAGCTCCAAAGCCTAAAAGAATGTCAAAAGTTTCACAATCAGTTTACACGCTTGAACAGTTGGTAAACGAGTAGGTATTTTAGTGAAATGTTAGAGGGCGGCAGGAGAGAGATTGATTGAACAATGGCTCGTAAAAACAAAAACAAAAAACATTCTATTTTTCAGAATAATCCTAGTCTACGTTTTAAGGGAATTGAATGAAAGAGGAAACGAATTTTACGTATCGTTTCGATTTATTGTTTGTTTTTGATTTGAATGTTGAAATTTGGAATTGTTCAACCTAAATAAAGGACAAAAGCGTCTACTAAAAAGTAGTAAAAGTCGTAAAAATTGAAAATATAATAAACATTATAATGGTTTAATAGAAGTAAACTAAGATAGAATAGATAAGAGCTTAGGTTTGACTAGAAGTATATAAGTATTCCGTAGTAGTAGTCTTAACTATTCAGAAATGATATTTTGTAGAAAAGAGAGAAACTACTAACTTCATTTCATTAGTTTAATTGTTCAATAAATCATAGGCGTATAAATACTCTTAGGCCTTATTTAGTACCTTTTTGTTTCAACGAGAAAGTGAAATTTATATATACTGTACTGTATATACGAGTTTACTAGCGACAATAAATGGATGTACTTATGGATATTTCTATATTATTCATCCCCTTTTACGTGTATTAAGTGTTTCTTCTTCTTCTTCTGCTATACAGCAGTATAATACATCTATACATTTATCTACACTGTATATAATGTTATTTATAACAATATAGGTTTTGTAATATTATTGGCATAACGACAATTTTATCTTATTAAGTAAAGTATTGGCTTATTGTCCAGATAAATATATCGAAAAACTATTGTTTAACTAAATCTCTTGTCTAATTTGAAATAAAAAAAACTTACGTGATGAAAAGATTTTGTCCTAAACTTGAAAAACCTGTAGTAAAACCTTTTGGTTGACCGTGAATGAAATCGCATCCTTCAGCCCATTTTTGAGCCATAGTGGCCAACGTCGTATCCCATACCTGGATAGGGTTGGAATAAGAAGGTTTTAAGAGAAAATTAAAATTGGGGCAAAATAGTCAATGTTCACCATTTCTCTCATATTCTTTGCTGGTTCGCCAGCTCTTAATTCGTTGTGAAAATTCAACGCTTCGCTCTTCTGCGCCGACGTTAATTTTGCGTCTCGACGTACTCGTAGTTTACTTAATGATACATCGCTATCGTCCACGTATGTTATATCATGAGATATTTTCGTTATCTCTCCTACTATACCCGATAATAGAGGGGCACAGAGAAGAAGAGATAGAACGAGAGAAGGTGTCTTCATTCCAACTTTCCACAACTAAACTGCAGGTGCCGAGAAAATATGAGCGCATGCGCCTTAATAGTCGATTAACAGAGTTTTAATAGTGTTGAAAAGAGAGAGAGAGAGAGAGAGAGAAGGGAGGGGAAGAGAGAAAGAGAGAAAAGAGACAAAAGATGTGTAAAATTTTTAATAAGATACTTTTTGAAAATGAAAATACAATAAAGAAAATAAACGATCTATTGTAATTTCTTGTACGTCCGCTTTTAAGAAGAAAATAAACATGTATTTCAATTACCACTTTTCTTCTTGATCGCCTGTCTCTCACCTCATTTCTTTTCATTATTAAATTCCTTTAAAAAACTTACACGACAGGCAAATAAGCAGAGATTTTAAGGGAATAATCGTATTTTTTCAGAGCCTGAATCTTAGTGCTTGAATGTTTAACTATAAAACTATGTGAAATCCAACTTTACTTTTATATACAACAACATTAACAGCATTAAAAAACGTATGAAATGCTATATATATACAATATATATACTGTTTATATACAATAGAAAAAACATAATTCTCTAACCTATTAAGGAAAAAATAGCATAAATTTTTCTCTCCCTCTCTTTCTCTTGTTCTTGTTTTATACTTTTCTCTCTCTCTCTCTCTCTTGCTCGCTCGCTGGCTCAATTGTTACTGCCATCTATATTTCATTTTTTTAATTAAAAATTTCTTTTTATTTTAATAAGATTTAATGTAATTTGATAGGAAAAGTTGCTTTCGAAACTGAAAAATTGATTTTTGGCTATTTTTAACTTTCTTTCTTTCTTTCTTTCAATAAAAAAAAGTATTTTTCTTATATATTTATTTTATTATAATGACGCTGTTAATCGTCTTGTAAATTCACTCTTCTCCTTACTCTCTCTCTCTCTCTCTCACAGTCTTTATCCTTTCTTACGTAAAATCGCCGCAAAACCAACTATCTTGAATATGAATTTGAGATTTAGCATAAAAACATTTTTGTTGATTTCTTTCTCTCCTACTCTGTTTTTCTTCCAGTAAAAACTTTTGTCAATATTTAATAAGGAAGATAAAGATTTTTTTTACTTTTATCCGTTTAGTAAATTTTATCATCACACCGTTTATGGATGTTGCCTTCTCTCTTCACTTTTATCTTTATCATTTTCGTAACATTAGATATTCTTCCCCAACTGCCACCCTTAATTACTTTTTCGGGTTTCATTATTAGACCTTTAAGTGAACACAAGAGATTCGTCTTTACATTGTTATTTTTTGCTTTTTAAGCGACTAGAAAAATGGTATAGGATACTTTAAAACTAGGTAAAAATTGGGAATTACTACAACTGGGTAAAATAATGAAGAGGTTTGGAACGTGAGAATAATTAGTGAATTGTCTAGAAAACATCAATATCTAGTCAAAGTTACAGGACTAATACTTTTTGATATCAAATTTATTATTATTAAGTTTTTAGCGATAGATAAGTCAATTGAAAAGTTAGATGAAGAACGGAGAAAAGAGCATTATTAACAGTTCTCTCTAACTTCGTAAGAGAAGGAAGTATTATTTATTACGCATAGAGAGATAAATAACAATTCTACAATGGTTTAAACATATACAATTAGTTTTGTTATAAGAGACGTTTAAAAACCAACTGCAAAATAGATAGAAAGCAGAATGGGTCTTTTAATATTCTTGATTGGTTATACAACAATGCGTAATCTTTAGCAATGTCTATCTCATCGCTAGGCCAGCTAGTTCGTTTCCCCCTCGACGTCATTTAGGAGACGACAAGTATGTGGTCAACTCATGGCTAGCTGAACACTTGTTGAAGATGGTCGTCTTAACGTTTCCATATGGTAGAAGATAAAGATTTGGAATAATAAATGATGCTGTCTAATAAACTACTTTTCATAAGTTTATCCATAGCCGTCTCGGGTAAAGTATTGCTACTGTTAAAATTCAAACAAGAGAAAATACCTAACGCTAATCTTAACCCTAACAGATTCTTTCATATCCTTTAAAAAGATGAAAAACGGAACTTGTGGGAATATACCTCAAATTATTGGAAATTGTTTACAAATGAATAATACGTGGATGATGATGACAACGAAAACAACGACGACGAGAACGACAATGAAGCTTATAATGGTAACTGATATAGAGAATGTTTGTAGGTGATTACTTTTAACATAGAACGTTAAATTTTTACAATGCAACAAACCGATGGCTGTAAACCTACTTTCTACACATTTCAATATTTGCAGTTTGTTATACAACATAAAGGAGAATGAAAGAATAGAAAATTGCTTAAAGGAAACAATAGAATCTTGTTCAAAAGCGAGTGCGAATGTAACTAGAATTTTCCTTGAATCTTGTAAAACTTTTAGCACGTATGAAATGATTGGAAAAGTTGAGAAAATGTTGAAAAAATACCGACAGCTTGCTAGAGGAAATAAACGATCTATTTTTAAATATTCGAGCATCTTGTTGGATTGTTTAAGAGATAATTCTCGGACGAATTGTCCGCAAATGTTTTCCAGCTATAGAAAGTATCCTTTTATCGTCGTTAAAATCATTACTTCCTTAACGAAGTATGGAAAATATAGAAATCTACATAAAAAGAGACTTTTCAAAAGTATGCATGTAATTCTTTCTCTCTCTCTCTCTCTCTTTCTTTCTTTCTTTCTTTCTTTCATTCTTTCTCTTAATGAATACTTTTCGCAGGCTGTCTTCTTCCCTTTCAAGATGATAACCTCTTCCGAGAGCTCAAGTTTGACAATGAAGAAGAGATTTGTCCGCAATTGAATAGTCTCGTATCGTCAACAATAAATGATATAAGACAATGTCCACCTACGAGACATAACCACGAATTCTTCATATACGAATTGCAATCACTTTTGGGTATTTTCTGTAAATTTTCAATTTCCGAATGCAGCCCTAAAAGATTTCAAGACTGTTTAGGGAACAATGAACTGGACGGTAGCAGACTAACTTACAAAGGACTTTGCTAGTAAGAGTTATTCACTGCAAGGTGAATATAAACAATTGTATTTTTACCTAATTTTTAGCGAAACAATAGAGGAAAGAAACTATATAAATAGATGCGTTAAATCTCGTTTAGACGAATGTAGGATTAACTCTATTAAATCTTCTTGGATAAACTTGTTCAACGATCGTAGAGAAGCGTGTTCTATTTTGGAAGGTGAAATATTACCATCGTATTTCGTTCAATGACATTCTGCTCAATTTTCTTTTGATCTAGATTGCAAGATTGACGATAGTCGAACTAAACGCTTCGATTGTAATAATAAGGCGTTCAATTTCCTCTTGAAGAGGGATAGTTATACGTTTTGCAAGTATTTATCTACAACAAAACTTTTCGTTAAACGAACAATTGTAGTTGAAAACACTATTACTAGAACTTTAGACGACTATTCGCCGAAGGAGTATACTTACGATGTCAACTATTCAAAGGCTACCGACGAAACAGCTCTAGTACTAAGGAAGATCAGCAAGTTTCTGTGCCCTTATCCACCTACCAATTGGTTTAGACAAGGTATGTATGCATCGAGAAATAGAGTAATGTCTAATACATTATTACAAGTATCTAATATTTAATAAACGACTATTTGTGAATTTTGATAGCGTGTAACGCAGAAGAAGCTGACAAGGTGTCGAAAAGTTTGACAATTTGCTTTATCAAAGCGATTAAAGATATAGCTCTATCCGAGAGTAATGTGGAGGATAAAGTATATTCGTGCAGGTAACCCAAAGAAAGAAAGAGAAAGAGAGAGAGAGAGAGAGAAAAACGATTATCTATCCTCATTTAAATAATTGCAATTTGTTGTTTAACATACTAAGTCTTTCCGAAGGTTTGCCGTGAAGAAACGTGAATGTTTTAAAAAATTTGTCACCGCTCCTTGCAAGCAATCGTTTGGCGAATATAATGAAAAAGATCAACATATCAATGATTGTTTATCGAAAAGTTCTCCTCATAAGAAAGATTTATGCAACAGAAAGCTATATAGATTTCTAACAAAGACAAAAGATTTAATGGACAAAGGAGAAGATATTTTCAATATTTACAACAAGTTTTGCAAGTAAAAATATGATTAAAATTCATAAATTTCAATCAATCAATCAATCAATCAACCGACCAACAAACATTAACATTGCCATAGTTTTGTTGCATTGTTTTATTCTCCCAACAGAACGTATCGTCATTTGAAGAGTAGGCAGAGAGATAAGGAACAGAGTTGCTTCAATAAAATACAATCAATCACTACAAGAACTTTTGCAGTTCAGCACTTTCGAAACTTTTCTTATCAATTAGAAGATTTTTGTTCGTTCTACAGTTCAGGTAAATAACGAAAAGCGAAAGAGAAAGAATAACCCTTTTCTTCCATCTCTCTTTAATGATTGCATTCGCTTATTCTATTTTTATCTTTCTACGAAAGGATCATCAACCCTGATAAGTGATTTGACTGACGTTGCAATTCTACTCTTGGCCAGTATTGCGGCGACGAATTAAACGATTAATTGATTGATTAACTTACTGATAGAAATGCACGATGGTAGATTAATAAATAAAAGGTATACTTTAATCTAATAAAGCAATTTTTCCTCCTCTGGGAAGAAGTAGGATAAACAGATAACATTTTTTTTGATCTAGGAGCATTGATTAGAGCAGATATAGAGCAAATAAGTAGAAGTTTTTGAATATATCTATTACTGTTCAAGCGTTCAAGCTTTCAGTTGATTTTTATTTATGACTTTATTAGTTTCGAGTAATAAAACTAAGCAAAACATAACAGTAGGTCAAAAGAGAGTGGATGATTGATTACGTCATAAATAAAATAGATAGGTTACAAAGATGTACAACGTATAAAAAGAGAAAGAAAAACGAGTTTATTGCAGTTGAACTTGTGTCGTTTCAGTTTCTATGTTTTAATAGACTTTTACTAAAATTCCGTGTAGGATAATTGACTCTTTTCTCGAGATTAACCATTCAATACTATCGTTGCTAAATCTAATGGAAGAGAGAAAATGAGATAAATACACAAGTTAATGAATAGATAATAGACATGAATAGATTACCCTGGATCAAAATCGTCTTGTAGATTATTTGCAGTACCGGATCGTATTTCGTATGAGTTTGGTTCCACTAATACTTGAAAAATTATCTTTGCGCTTCTTTCCTCTTCTCCGAACGATCCGATTTTTATCCTTAAGAAAAACATATTGATAATAATTTGAATTGAATTGGAAGAGGAGGAGGAGGAGGGGCGGGGGTGGGAGAGAAAAAAATTCACGCTTCAATAGTTAATATACTTAATACGAAGCTTAGCTTTATAAATTTCTCGTAGATATTTCTTTTATTTTGTTACTATTATCATTTTACGGTTGCATAACCCGGTTAAAAAGGGTCACGAACCAGAGGATAATATCTATATTTACATATTAACAACACGACTATATTAACTACTGACGCACTTGGATCGTTTAACGATTATTTTAGCGTTCTATATGAATATTTAACGTAATGAAAAGGTTGAAATTACTTAAACTCTTGGGAAAAGTCGTCCAATTCGGCGTACTTTATACTCGGAGTTACGCAGACTCTGTCTGAATTGTCGATTTGAAGAGAAGCACCAAATGATACAGTCCAATTAAAAAGGCTTTTCGTTGAGTCAGTATTACAAATGAATAAATTCTCTGCTGATAAGATATCGCTAGTCTTACATAAGGATGTACCGTGATACGCCCTATGCCAGTTAGTATAGGCTCTTAAAAATCCAGGTCCAGGCTTTAGAGCGAAAAAACGCCAACCAATGGGCACGGCAAACTGAGCTTTGGGCATACCTCTTGATTGGTAGAGAACGCCTTTTCTCTTATTATGGCAATAGAGGCAGTAGCACATATCTTGTGAGGGATTAAAGTATCCATCTTGAAAAAATTAAAAGAAAAGCAAGCATTAGTAAGGGGAAAAGAAAGGAAGATAAACACATACAGTATATACAGTATAGTGTTTAAACAAACCTTTAAGCTTTAATAGTTTTGTCATATGTCTACACCTGAGAAACTGGCAATTGGTTTTAGGTCCATATTCCTCTGTAAGATGATATTTGTAAATAGAAAGAGAAAGAGAGAGAGAGAGAGAGAGTCGTGCATACATACACACACACACACACACACACATTAAGGGGAATATCAAGTAAGATAATAGATACTATAATAAAATTACCTTGAATAATTCGTCTCTGCTTTTCTTTTTCATTAATTACGATAGATTTTTGATGAGTATCCGTTGCTTCTAATAGACAAGTAAAAAAAATTCAAACGATAGAAAAGACAGCGAGATAGAAGAAGGAGGAAAGAAAGAAAGAAAGAGAGAGAGAGAGAGAGAAGAGGCAAACTTTTAAATATCTTTTTAAAAGGATTTTTAGCCATTATTGCTCATGTATAATGAAAGAGAAGGTGGATAAGGATGATTAGATTGTTTGATGAACAAGCTTGTAGCGTTGTTGTAATGTTGTTCCCTTCTTACTCAGATAGGAATAGAGAAAAGAATTAACGTTTCTGACTTGTTATATCGAATAGTTTTATCGTCAATAAAAAGACAATTATTTAAGGTCCGAAAGTCAGTGATAAGTCGAACAATCGTATTAGTCACATTATCTGTAATAAATAAACCGATAACGTCTTTGTATATTTTTAAATATTCTCAATCGGTATTGTTAATTTTTCTAGTTTAATACACAATTAATAGGATTCAAGTCGCTTTTGAATAAGCTCAATTGAGAACAGGAAATGGAATATTTCTCGAATTTCATACTTCAACACACGTCTTTTCTTTTTAAACGCTTTTTTTTTCCTCTCAAGTTTGTTTTTCACAGTAATTCCAATATTTACATATTTTACTTTATAGAAACAGTTTAATTCCTTAATTCGGGGTTCTTCTCTCTTAAATACTCTTACCCCCCGCCATCTATTCCCGCTCTTACCTACTCTCAATTCCCCTCGTCTTTCGTTCATTCATCCTGTAACTCTTTTAAGGAGAATAGAACTATTGAAAGACTAAGGAAATCTGTTGTTGGCGTGTAATTTTATTAGGAATTTCCCCCGCATTTTAATTTTCTATATCTATGAGAAAAATCGAAATGAATAGAAAGTCTCTTAATGTTTGATTAATCATTTTTAATTCGTCAATTCTTCACTACATTTAAAAAGGAAAAAATTGAACAAACAAACAAACAAACAAACAAACAAGACACAATTACGAACAACTTTGTATTTATTGAACATTTCATTTTTCTTTTAAAAAACAAAAATTGAATTAGTTTATAAATTATCTTCGTATTTATTATAGACTGGCTAATGGAATAATGGAATTTTCTACATATTTTATATATACAGTATTAGTAAGAAAACGTGGAGGAAAAATAGGATACGAACCCTGATTTAGCAATGATAACCCTGTTTCCTACAGTCTTACCTATATACACATGTAAACTCTATTCAGTATACAGTATATACGCAACCGGTTCTCCCTGTCTTTTGCCAAATTAACGGCGTTAACCTTTCTGCAATTGTCTGTGTAGGTAGGCGATATCGTCCTGACGGACAACTCCCTTATAACGAGCTTGTAACAGATCCAATTTAATTGAAAAGCATTTTTGCATTCCCACCTTCTTTACCAAGCATCCATTTTTGTCTTCTGCATATGTTCTTGAAGGGAAAAAGTATTAGTCAGAATGGGGTTTCCTATATTGCGTATTCGTTACCTGAGAGCTCTGGATAACTTCTCATAGGTCATTGATTTATTATTCTTTTTCTCTCCCCATCTCCTGGCCAGTTCACTCGACAAGACTATCTTAAAGGTAAGAGGTTGCTCGCTCTTCTCAACCCATTCTATACATTGAGCCCTTTGGACTTCTTCCATAATAAAGTCGAATAATCTCGGTTGTTTTGACATAACTATAGAAAAAAGAATAGGAAAAGAATAATTTCAATATAAACTATTGTCAATTGACAAAAGTAACGTTCACTTAAAAAGGGGCCATTTGTCCTCCAACAAAGTCAACAGCTAGTATTACCAACTGTATTGCTTTCCCTTTTGGGGAAGAATCTCAAATCCCCAGTAATTTACGTGGTTATAGAGATACTTATAAATGTTAATGATATTCTATGTTTATTTGTTAAAGAGCTTCCAGATTACATCTCAGAAGTTATGCATATTCGTCTCTATTATAATTAATTAATTGCACATCGAATTCCCTTTAAAGCGTTTCCTGTCAATCTCCACTTTCATAAGAATCGCATACAAACATTATAATTGTTCTTACTAAAAGAAACCTATTCGTAAAAACTGAAAGTTTAAGCTTGCCGTTCATAGGCTAATTACATCGTCGTTTTGTTTGTATGTTTGTTTGTTTGTTCCGTGTTCTTATCCCACCCCCGTTTCCTTTACATTTTCTTAAATTTACAGCCAACTTTAATCTAATACTAATTGACGGACTTACCTCTTCTTCTAACGTCTTTATTGACAACATGGGGTGATCTAAATTCACAATCCCTTTGAATATCTTGAGAAGTATGGTTCGAACTTTTTTGACATTGTGTCGAAGACTTTGCCTTCCATGAGCCTAGTTTTTGTCAAATTAATTGGTGTTATCAACAAGAAATTAGCGTAATACTGATATTAGCCAACTCACTTTTATCATTATTCTCATAATTCATTGGCTTTGAATAATAGATACTTGAATCGCAAAATTTAGAAGTAGAGTGTTGAATAGTTCCAGGAAACGTCGTTTTTCTTTTCTTTTTAATATCGGAGGGCGAATGATTGCCTTCATAGTAGATTTTATTTTGGTTATTTTGAAAGGAGAGTCCGTTATCCCTACCTATAAGAGTGAAGATAGTAAGGAAGAGAGAAGATTATTAAGCGAAAGAGCTTATTATTAATATAATTGAGTTTATTTAACTTACCTGTTCCGCTGAATGAATCGAATTGATTAAGATGTTTATATCTTTGTTCATTTTCTATTGGTAGACGATTTCTTGGTCTTTGCTGATCGAAATTATTCCAATTTTCAGCATAGCTGTTAGTTGTCGAATCGGAAAAGACCGTTGAAAATTCACTTGAAAAATTCAAGTAATTCGTGTCGTTGTAGTGAAAATGATAATCTGGTTTGTTCCAATTGAATAGTTTTTCTTTCGGCAAATAAGCCAATTGATTAGAAGAAGGGGGAGAGGAAGATGAAGATGACGATGATGAGGAAGATGAAGAAGTAGAAAATGAAGAAGGGGAAGGAGATAGAGGAGAAGTCTTATGATAATATTGAAAGGAATTTCCTTCAAAAGCATTATTGTTACTGTTGTTGTTATTATTAAGATTATTGTTGGGTGCCGGAGAAAAAGGTATAACAAATTCTTGCGTTTCTAATGTTGAATTTTGAAATTCCTCGTTCATTTCGTACTTTTCTTGAAAACTACTATTAACTGGAAAATTCATCATATCGCTATTATCGGTAGTAATAGAATTGTTGTTATCGAGAGAACCATAAGTGAAGTTTAGTAGGTTATTACAACTGTTAGGAAGTTGTTGTACTCCTCCTCCTTCTTCTATTCTTTTGTCATCGTTGTAAAAATCATTGGCCAAATATTCATAAAAATTCATTGGAATATTCGAGTTCATGCTAACTGCTCGGAGTCTTGCTAGTAAATACGGAAGAAATATTCGTAGTCGCTTATGTCTTATGAGGATAACAATAGGCGAACAAAAGTAACGGATGTAAAGCAAAATCAGTTGTTTTCTTATCACTACGCAAGGAAAGAAAGAAGAAGAAAACAGAACTTTTTTTCTTTCATTCTCTCCCTCTCTCCCTCCCTCTCTCTCTTTCTCATTCCTTATTCTTTTATATAATCTTCATTTATGTATATTAATCAACAAATTAGGTATTTATAAATCAATTAATCCATTTAATGTTTATACGTTGAAAAGAATGAATGAATCCCTTAAGGGCTACTTTATTTACACCTCCAAAATAGAAAGGCCTATAATCTATGTGCAGTTTTAAACGATTTAATCTCTCAAAGTAGAAATTCCATTTATTGTTTTATTACATCTGTTACCGTACAAAAAAATATTGTCAACAAATAGAAGAAATTTTATCCGATAGATGGCGTCATTATCAAGAGAGAGAAAACGATAGATAAAGGGAGAAGGAAAAGGAGTAATGACAAGAATAGTTATAAACAATAAACACGTATCGAATGTTATTAATACGGAGAGAAGCCTCTTCTACTCCTTTCATTTACTTTTATTTTTAAAATTTAATAACTATCTGTAAGATGCTTATGAGATGAAAGGAAAAGGGTTAGGGAGAAGTAGGAGGAGGAGAAGGAGGAGGAGGAAGAGCAGGAAGTATAGGGAAGATGAAAGGTAGGAGAGGGAGAGAAGAAGATATGGAACAGAATAACGATAGAAAAAACAGTCATTAAGATGAAAATAGCATACAGGAAATATTGTCTACTTTCGCTTTCATCTCAAAATGAAATAAATATAAAAATGTAGACTTAGCAATTAAATATCATTTACTTTAAGGATTTATCTATCAAGCAGATAATTAAAAGAATCATCGCTGTACTTTTATCCTTCCAATTAATGTTATCAGTGGAAAGTATCGCAGTAGAAAAACGGGGGATTGTTTCTACAAAAAGCCAAAACACCAAGCGACGATAGCCGCTTAGGTGCGAAATTGTCTTCTATCAGTACTACTGTGTATAATTATTAATAAACTATATTTTATTCTTGCGCGAAAATGTATTTAATATCTAAAATGGATTGATAGTGGTTGATGAGGGAAAATGTGTGGCGGAATAGAGAGAGAGAGAGAGAGAGAGATTATGAATATTACACTGAATTTTACAGTTAAAAGAATATAAGAGAAAGAAATTGAGAACATAAGAAGATAACCAGCAAATTAATAGGCTTTTACCTTCAATTATTAAGAACAATAAACGAAAAGAAACGGAATGAAAGAACTGCAAAAAAAAAAAAACTGCAGTAAAACCGTAAACGTATACATATTTATATTAAAATTGAAATGGTAACACCCGCTGCTGTTAATAGTTGTGCATACAATTGTCAATTTATATATTTCAAATATACCTTACTCTTAAAAAATGCAAGGAAAACTACACAGTAGCGTTTTCTTATCAATTTCATTAATTAACAAGGGAACAACGATAAAAAGATAAATAATAATAATATTAACAATAATATAACAAAGTGGTAAACTTTTATGGCACAGTGTGTGGTTCATTTAACAGATGATACATTTTTCAAACATACTCTCCAAATATTCAATGTCATTTTGTCTGATAACTTTTCTGAATCTTTCCATTAAGAGATCTATTCTTATGTTAAAGCACAACTTTTTGCCGTTGGGCCTTTGCAAGCATCCACTGTCTTTATTTGTGTATATTCTGAAAATTATGGTATAAATTTTAATCAGTATCGTCCTCTCTCTCTCTCTCTCTCTCTCTCTCTTTGTTGAAAATGTTAGCGTACCTCATAGATCTGGCAAATTTTTCATAAGTCATATTTGGATTCTTTTTTACAATACCCCATCTGCACGCCAATTCAGCTGAGTTCATTATTTTAAAAGTTAATGGAAACTGCGAGTTTCTTATCCATTTTATGCACGTGTTGTTTGGTTTCTTTAATTCGTCCAGAAGAAAGTGCAATAGTCTCGGTTGATTTAGCATAACTGTAGTAGTAATATTAATAACAAACAATAACAACAATAGAATAAAAACCAACAGGACAAATTAAAATATTAATAATTTTCTTCCCTGTTTTAACTAGCCTTATCTATGAGTATTTATTGAAAAGTGCTTTGTGTTGTATATCTTAGAATAGGGAGAAACCAAGAGAGAGAGAGAGAGAGAGAGAGAGAGATTAACGCATAGTGTGTTGAAGTAATGCTGTAAAGAGGAGAGTAAGGGAAGCAAAGAGAAGAAAGGATATTGTAAAGTAATAGTTGTTAAGAAGTGTAAAGGGAGGATTAGTTTCTCGTGGGAAATTTACAATAACAGTTGAATATGAAAGTAAACACTTTTGTAAACAGTTAATGTTGAATTACGAAATATTAAAAGTTAATTGGCAGACATACTGTATTGAGGAGTATGATTAAGAAGGATGTAAGAAATATCATACCTCGTCTTCTGAAAGATTCCTGCTTTCTTTTCATTTTATCTAACTTTTGAACGTTTTGAACAGTTGATTCTTTAGTCTGCTTAAAGCAGATCCCATATTGATTGTTTGGAGATATTAGTTCTTCGAAAAAATCGATATTACTATCAATTAAAGTTGACCAAAATTCTTGATCGATGCTTGCATCACTTCTATTAGGAAGATTGGAGATTATCAGATCAGGGTTAATCTCTTGTTGGAAATCTTTGTCAAAGGCCAAGCTGGATTCTAGAATCCCTTGAATTTCTTGAAGAGACATTTCCTGTTAAATTTACTCGAATGAAGAGACGTGTTAAAAATCGGTTGTTATATACGCACAATTCACCCGATAAGTGTTTACAATACAATTCGTTCGAGAGCTTTAAATTGTTGCTATCGCTTACAGAATATCCTTAATAACTGAAACGGAAGGGAAATGTCTTGTCTGCCTTTTACTACTCGAAAGTTAAATAATACAAATGTACGTATACAGCAGTAGACTTTTTCTACCAACCTCTTTCCAATGTCTATCCCTTTAACAAGTTTCCTTCGTCCCTTCTTCCTCCTCTTCCTGTCTTATCATATCACTTGTAATAGTCTCGATGAATATATTTATTTCGATTGAATAGTCAACAGTCAACTAAAAACAGTAGGAAAATTTACTCCCGTTTTGTCAATTTGCATTATAGAAAGCTAAATGAAATATTTTTTTTACGGCAAACTGTTAAAATTCAAATCCTTTCTTATCTTTCTCATCTTGTTTTACAGTCAAATTGATAGTCTTTTGTGGAAACACCTGTATTATATTAATGATAGTAATAATCGTAATAAAATGGCTTAATAATCAATTTCTCGCTTTTGATGAAATGGCTTTTATCCAGGTTAAAAAAAATTGAAAAAACAAAAGAACGAAAAGGGAGGAAGAGGAAAGGGAGTAAACTAGTTGATGGAATGAGAAAAGAGGATGAAGTGAGCTATTAACTTTTTGTCGATTGTCTATAAAATAAAGAAAAGATAAACGTATTAATAATCCTAATTATCTCTTTTTCCCTTCTCTTCCTAGAATTGAAACGAAATAGCGTCTATTTATAGGACAAGGAATTTCCGAGTTGAAGTAAGCTTACATATACTTTTATCGAGAAGAAAAAAATGGCCGTATTCCTACTCGTATTGAGGACTGATAACGAAATGCTCTTTATCAGTAATAGTTAACATTGTCAATAGAAGAAGTCTGTGAAATTTCTCTTTTTATTGTCTTAGTAACGTACTGACAAGTGTGTTAGCCTATAGACATTTAACCAGACGCACGGAAATTCATAGCCACATTCAGCTATTACTTTTAGTAATTTCTGTTCTATTTCGCAATATTGCTGTTGACCATCGTCGTGTTTTATCGAAGATAAAATTCAGTATAGTAGTTAGGTTAGGAAAAATTATTCCCTTTTATTTTGTTTTTAAGGGTTAGATTAAATAGACCCGACTTTTAAAATTCTTGAATATTTGTCCCTTTATTTTCAATCTGTTCATTCATCCATCCATCCATCCATCAATCTATTCATCTATCAATCTAATCGAACGTTTGTTCATTAATTCATTTATTCTCACACTTTTACGTTCATTCATTCGTACAATTACTCGTTCAGTCATAGTTGTGTATCGTGGCACGTCGCTTAATTATTATTAATGTCATTCAGTTGTTTAGTAATATTAGACGAATAAAAGAATCGATTGTCAACGTCTAGTTTTCCCATCAGTAATAAGAAAGAAGGGGAAGATATCTAGAAAAGATGACGCGAGATAAAAGCCCATCAAAAGAAATAATATAGTATATAATGATAATAAAAACGACTAATATATACAGTAACGTATACCGTATGTAATAAATTTTATATATTTATCAAATATCATGCATGAAATCATACGTTATTAATAATAATAATAGTAGTAATAATAATAACAATAATAGTAATAATAGTATAAATGGGAAAGAAAAAAAAAAAAACGTTTGGAAAAGTACACTGTAGTAAGTAATTAATTATATATCTATAGTTTGTAGGTTGCGTTGTGTGTTCGTATGTTTAAGTATGTAAGTATGTAAATATGTAAATATGTCTATTTTTCTATATTCTTTTAATAGAGAAAAGAGTTTTATTTATTTAAGTGTTTTTTTTTTTTTTAAGCGGAAAAAAAAATATTCATATTATGTTCAATTCTTTGGAAATTTCAACACAAGGAAAATCGCTTCAAACCCCAGTTTTTTTTTTGTTTTTTTTTTGTTTTTTTAGAGCTTTACAGTTTAAACGTTTAGAGAAAAAATGGAAAATAATTAAGATTATAAAGACTTTTGTTTTTTTTTTCCCCCAAAAAAAGAAGAAAGGAAAAGAAAAGAAGAAATACTTTTTGATTGAAACAATTTGTTTTGTTTTTTTTTTATCTCTTCTTCTTCTTCTTCTTGTTCTTCTTCTTTGTAAAATTTTATTGATATTTGTAGTCTTTTAGTTTTACTATTATCTCTCCGTTTAGTATGTTGTCTTAGGAGCTTCCGGATTTGATCCAGCTGGTTCGGCAGGCTTATTTATAGTAACCATTGGCTGCCCCGTCCTCCATGTTTGAAATTTGAAAAATGTATCAACTGCAAATGTTCCTAGCGTGAAGAAGCTGAACGCCTATAGGTTGTTAAAATAAAAAAACCGACAATCAATATCATTCGATATTAAAATGAAACTATCTTACAGCAGCAGCTTTTCCGGCGTCTATTTTATATTTAGTACCCTGGGCAGCGGCAACTACGAAGGCGATAAAATAAAATAAGGTGTAGACGCCGTAGTAGACGAATTCCTGGTGAGAGAAATATTAGCAATTACAAATTGAATGCAGCAGATTTACTTTTCCTATTAATTAGACAACTCCGCTAACGCGTCTTTAATTCTTTCTAATTAATTTTCGTCTTCTATAGGCGTTTCCCCTTACTAACTAACTGGCTCGTTCACTCGCTCACGCCTCCCACTCTCTCCCTGCCTTCCTTTCTCTCTTTATCATTTTTACATTCTCTTCATTTGTCAAGGCCTAGTTCTATCAATTATCTACACAGTATTAGAGAAATAGTATTGTTTATCGTATTTAATCTGAGCTTGCGCTGAGAATAAACAAAAGCTGTACAAGATCTATTCTCCTTTCTTATATCGTAGGGAGGACGAATTAGAACGGAAGAGGAATAGGGGTAAAAAAAAAAAAAGAAAAAGAGCTTGGCAATGTGATAGATAGATAGATATAGAAGAAATTGTTGAGGAAATTATGAGGGGAATTGATGCGGGAGAATAGCTAATGACTTTTTCAAGTAATAAATCATGTTGTACAGATGGTAATATTTTATATACACGGCTTTTTAGGCTTTACGCATACAGGCAAAACGTAAGTTTTCCTCTTTTTATATAATATATCATCTATACGTATTGTATTGTAGAGTCGAGTATACTCACTATCAACGGCCAAGGTCCAGGTAATTTGTTAATTAGCGACGTAACGTAAAAGATGAGTAGAACAGTGCAAATGATAAGAGCAGTCATTGACACAAATTGAACCCATCCGCCTCCTTCCTTGACGAATGATGATTTAACACTAGCACATATGAATGTTATAAGACTGAGAACCTAGAAAAGAAAGGTTAAAAGGTTGATAATTAATCGTTAAACAATAAATGAGATAAATACTTACTATTTGAGCGATTTTAAGCAAACCAGGTATACTCTTGATATAGTTTACATCAAACATAGAGCTACTAGTGGCCGAAGCACCGGTATTGTACTGAGTTGGCATATTTCCTTCTGACATTTTGGATGGGAATGACACCTACCAAAAAGAGAGAATAAAATTGTGGGAGTTAACTGTAATAATTCGTTAAACTTCTCCAATTTCGTTAATCAATTAATCCGACAAAAAACTAAACCAAAACAACAAATATTTTTCAACTGAAGAGAAGAAATAATAAAAAGTGGTCTACCTAATAAATCTCAGTAATAAGACAATAAATAAAGTATGTTGGTGGTCTAAATATACAGTATAAGCGTTGTGTATATTAAGGATATATTATATATATATATATATATATATATATAAATGCACCAGTCGTATCAAAGACTTATTGATTTCGTACTAAAAGCTAAAACCTTATCGTTTTGATAATAAAAAAAAAACGCATGATTATGAGGTTGAATATTTAATATAAGAGAATATCTATAAGGAATATAAAACCGTATATAAAACTAAATGTCTAAATGACACGATTTATTCCTCTTACTATTATTAATTTCCATTATTTCTTTGATGAAAGCGGCTACTTGGCGTGTTTGTTTGTTTGTGTGTAAAATACTTGTTGAAGAGTGTGACAGAATGAATGAAAGGATATAACAAGGAAGGAAAAGATATGGATAGAGAGAAGGATGTATATATATATATATATACCTTCAAACTACCGTTATTGCTCTATTAGAATGATTAGCTTTTTTCTGTATTTTAGAAATGGTCGTCATCAATATGAACGATTTCAATACTATAATTTTGTTAGTAATGGCGACGACCATTTTCTAAAATAGTCGATTAATCGACAAGAAAAATAAATCAATGGTGTTTTTTCAACATTATATAATCAAAACACTTCTTTTTACGGTAGAGCGTCGTTCTATTGAAATCATTGCAATAAATATTAGAATGATACGTTAATCTAGTATTGAAAATATGAATAAATTGGAGGAACTAAGATGTCTTTTTATAAGAGCATATTTATAGATTTAGTAGTATAATAACGAATCTATTTATACAGGTCTGTAAAACGCACAGCTCGTACGATTCTATTTACAATATTAGAATATTTAACGTATTTCGTTAGAGGAAAAATGTATCAGTTCTATTCAATACATGTCTAGAGAATGTTCTATTTCGTGCAACATACCTAGTCTACTGTTTTGCGCATACCAGTTTGTATTTCGTTCGCTAATTTCTACTCTCTCCCTCTCTCGCTCTCACTCTTCGCATATAATCATTTATAATAAAATACTCTCCGTAAGCGTCTCCCAATCGTTCGTTAATTAATTATATCGTCTATTTAGATGTGAATCTTACCTGATCTATCGAATATTATTAAGAATTCTTCGAACAAAACTCTCCACCTAGCGCTCGTTAAGGCGGACAACGGCAAATGTTTTATGCGACTCAGTCTAGCTCAATTTTTACCACTTGACATGCGCAGAAATAACGTTGTATAGGCCTTCGCAAACGCCTCTTAAAACTATAGATGATACCTGGCAGCTTATCAATCCGTGTAATATCGATTTTAGCCGAATGATTCACCTGTTTTCTATAGACATGTGACTTGGAATCACCTATTCTTTACCGATAAAGACCTTACAGATTACGAAATGAATTCATAGACATTTTTTTTCTTATTCATTATCATTAAGATTCAATGATTCATGCTCACAGAGCTGTTTTACAAGTGAATGACTAAGTCTAGCCGAGATCCTAGGCTTGGTATTATATGAATATATGGATTTAATATATACTGGATAGCGAGAGAAAAAGGGGGACTATTAATCTCTAAATATTAGACATAATGCATAAGAGAGAAAGACAGAAAGAGAGGAAGAGAGAGAGAGAGAGAGAGAGAGTGAGTCTCATTTAAAGAATATTCTAAAATGGTAACAATATTAAGTTTCTATACACAAAATCTACAAATGTTAAGAGTATAGCTCAACGTTGTAAAGCGTTCTTTCTTTCTTTCAAATCGTTTATTTTCACTCGAAGTGGGACAGGTCAGAAAATAATACATTAAATCAGTAGCCAACTAACTGTTCAATAATACTTATATACACGAATAGGAAGAGGGAATTGGACAGGGGAAATGAATCTTACATACAGACACGTCGATTGCAGAGTAACATGTAGAAAATGGGAGATATAAACGAATAAAATACATGTGTGAGTGTGCGAGTGCGTGTGTGTGTATACAGTATTTATTGTATGTATGCATATATGCCTGTGCGTACAGGCAGTTCTATATGTATTGTATCAGTTTGGTACATTCTACTCTACAGTCTGTGCCTTTTGTATGGCCAAAAATTTTTACAACTAATGGATTGTCTTTGCTGCAGTGCTGAGGAAATTTCTTAACTTTCATAATTAAAATTAATTAAAACCTTAGTACGAATCGTACAATTCTTTGTTTCTCTCTCTCTCTCTCTCTCTCTCTCTCTCTCTCCCCCTCTCTCCCTCTCTCTCTCTCGCTTCTTTCTCCCCACCATATAAAATTTACCCGAGTATATTGCATATTAGACTCTACATTATATCCATCTTTATAAATATATAGATACGAATAAAGCCAATTTCCTAGAAATGGGACCAATTTTTTATACTGGCAGAATAGAAGAATAACAAATGTAATGATATAGCAGCATACATGTTGGTTGCATACTATAAATTGTTTATATTGTATATATTTATATTATAAGAATAGACTATACATGCAGTATAGTTGAACTATAGCAATGAACCAATGTATAGAGTAATGTTAAAGTTGCTGCCGGTGCCTTTCGTTTAAACGGGTTAAAGATCTTTTAGAAACTATAACAAGTCTCTTATCTAACAGTTTCAAATATCTTTTCACATCTTCCCCATTCCCATGGTCATTATATTATACTTTTGATAAGGAAAGTTTGTCATTTTCTATAGAAATTAAGTGGAAAAGCTAGAAATAGTAAAGTGTATCGGTAATATAACAAAAACTATATCGTTGTTACACTTGCTGCTCTACTTTCTATTGCTAATTGATCATCTCCAATGCTGGTGAAAAGAAACTAGAAATTGTAGGCCAAGCGGACAGAGAGAAGGGAATTCTTAGCTGAAAGTGACTAATAGATCAAAAGCATTTTGAAAAGCGATATTGATGACTAATTATGAAATGGTGATGAGTGAATTAAATTTAAAAAAGAACAAAAACAAAAGATTAAGACAAGAAGAAGAAAACTAGAGAATAATGCTGATAAGGGGGAAGAGAAGGAGGGAAAACGTCGAGGTTATAAGATATATAGTATACGTATATTCACATATAATAGAATTTTCATTTCTCAATTAGAACATCAAGGTTGGAGCAATCGATTTAAAGTCTGAAGTGAAGAAAGGTTTAAGGAAAGACTATACTATTGGTTTAGAGCAATACGACGGAAAAGGCGGTACTATCTATGTTGTTATTAGGAAAAAAAAGAAAATACTCTTCAAAGAAGATTTATATCAAATTCAAATAATCGATTTAGAGAATTTAACAACTATTATTGCTAATAAGGTTAGGATTTAATTAATCGATTCATTGATTTATTGATCTCTATTACTGATAAATCGATTTGACGTTAAATATCGTTGAAATAATTAATCGATGTATCTATTTTGACTATTTATTTCAATTTATAAATTTAGACTTCGGCGTTTGTCGTAAAATTTCCAGACTCGAATTGGGCATCTTCATTTTCATTTTGTAAGTTCTTTCTTGTCAATTTAAGTAGTATTGAATAATTCCAACTGCCAGAAGTAGTCAGAATCTAAAGTTTAGACCTATATCTATATATAAGGATTTAGGCCTATTCCTATATTTACACCAATGTAAATATCATTACGTAAAGCATAAGAAAGTGAAGGAAATCACGCAGAAAATATTCTCTTTAATAAAAAAATGCACATCTTTCTAGTCTACAAAGAAAAAGATGCCGACAAAGAGGAAGATATTGTTATACTTCCTTTCAAGTATGCTCCAGCTAGACCAAAAGCTCCCCAGCCACCTGTAGAAGTTGATCGTCAAAATTTACGTAAGCCTCAACTTCCACTTCCCTCTACTTCTTCTTCTCTCCCACCCCCTCCTCCTCCTCTTCTACAACAACAACAACAACAACAAAAACAAAAAAAACCACCACCACCACCACCACCACCGCCGCCGCCACCTCAGTCAAAGGTAAAGCCGATTCCTTTGGCTCCTCCAATTGGTTTAGAAAAACCGAAGACAATAAAAAAGGTAGAACGTAAAACTTCTGGCAAAACGCAACAAGCAAAAAGAGGAGGAGAAGAGAAGTTGGAAGAGAAGGAAAGAAAGTGGAAATTCGATTTGAACGAGATAAGAAGTTTTAATAAAGAAAAGTTGAAAAAAGTTAAAGATGACGAAAAGAATAAAATGAAAAAATACGAAAATTATGCAGAGAGAGTCTTCGTAAATAATTTTAATAGTTTAATTCTTATATATATCATAACAAAAACCAAATCAATAAAAAATTTAGCCAGGGATAAGTAGAGTTCTTGATAAAAGGCGAAGAGATGTGGCTGGTATGTTAGGTTCTTCTATTACCATTCCTATATATATGATACTCTACTCTAATATTTCTTTTTAACTTACGAAAGGCGATACTCCGTCGCTCTCGGAAAAGGGGGAAGACGATTCGTGTACGATTACCTATTACATTCAGTTATTTTTTATATTCGATAGCCAAAATGAAATGCATGTTTTACTTGTATTTTCAATTTAAAGGGTCGATAGATCAAGTTGGAAAGCGTAGGGTAAGCAGGTTAGAATAGGATACCTTTTAGGTTAAACAAAGGAAGAGAAGAAGAGACTGGTCAAATAATTGAATGATTGACGGCGATGCACTTACTACTTTTTCCTTTGCAGAGCGGTAAAAGAGGCAGACGATTCCTTTCTAAAGGTAAAAAGGGATTAGTAAAACTTACAAACATGGGAAGATCGCTTAATCCATTCGCTTTAATCGACAATAAAAAGTACTCCTTTTCCAAGAGAGAATCAATAAGTAGGTCATCCATTCAAAATATCCAAAAAGAATAAAAATCCAAAAATTCCATAATTCAAAATTATTTTCAATTTATAATAAAATAATATATAGAATTTATTAATAAACTTCTTGTTAACGTTGTTTAACGTTGATTTACATTTAGGCCTATATCTTTCCTTTTTCCTCCTTTCTATTTGCGTTACGATAAAACGTGTTAGGCGGGAAAAAGGCTAGAAATTCTTTCTCTCGTTTAATATTATTACTTATGTGCTGTGAAAAAATATGTTTAAGTATACAGTATTAAGTGTATAGGTGTGGGCGTATGTGTGTGTGTGTGTGTGTGTGTGTGTGTGTGTGCGAGAGAGAGAGAGAGAGAGAGAGAGAAAGGCGAATGATTTATATGAATTAACATATGAACGATTAAATGCACCTACTGTTTTGTAAATCGATTAATGTACACATTTCTTAAATTCAACTAGAAATCTTTCGTTTACCTTGAATTTGGCTTCGAATAAAAACTTGATGAATTTCATTTTCAATAAGAATTTCATCCCAGAACATAAATTCGTCCAAAAATGAATTTGCGTACATTTTATCGTCCGATGAAGTTTGATTTAATCCACCAACGAAAAATTCATTAAAATTCGTCTCAACAACTAGACGGCTATAGACATAAGAGTGGACTGGGGCAGTTAAACTACCATTTACGTATACTGTTATAGTATCGTTAGCCTTCCAAGTCCAACAGTAATGTCTCCATTCGTTTTCTACCACATCCATAATAAATGTATTATAAACGTTGATCTTGTCGGCAATGTATATAATTAAATATTGTTTATCGTGATAAACGGCAATTCCGTAAGAAAGACCATTTAAAGCTCCATTACCGAAATAGTAATGCGTTCCATTCGATTTCTTATTAAGCCAAAAGCAAAATGTATGACCGTTTAAGCACAAGTTTGGAGAGAGGAAGCATTCATCTCTTCTCCTCGTTACTATCACGTAGTACGGGTTAGTCAGGTCAAGAGATTTATCTACAATGCTATTGGATGACGAAAAGAATATATCTTCGGATGTATTATGATTAGTATTAGTGTTATTATCATCGTTAGAATGAATACTAGAAACATTGATAAATCTACCAAATTTTAAATCATCGAAATCCCAATAATGCTGCCTGTTGAATGGATAAAGGCTGCCTAATCCCAGTGTTAAGGGGATTAGATGAAAGAATAAATGAGAAATTAATATCAGTTTCTTCATCCTTTTATCTTTTGATTCTCAACGAGGAGAGAAATGATTTTCATTCGAAATATAATAAAAGAGAGATAAGAGGCCGTTTGTTCTCTCCTCCGTTGATTCATCAATAAGAAAGCATCATTGTATAGTTTTCTTCTCCCTTAAATATCTTTGTATAACATGTTCTTTTTTATGTTTTTCCACTTTTATTGTGTTTGTTTTCCCCCCATTTTTTTATTACGATTTGTTTAGTTAATTTAAGCCTAAACAAACGTAAAGTGTAGCCAGCTTTTTTTGTATATAAATACTATAGAATTTCGGTATTTTTTCCCATTTCCTTTGATTTTACGTCTATATATATAACTTTTTTTCGTCCTATTCAATTTGTTCCCTTAACTAATTCGTTTCAAAATCATTACCTTCTAACTAGTTACAGTTCTTTCTTCGATTTAACTAACTGGGACATAACAGAGGTCGTTACCAGTCGTTAATCGATGAAATCATCCAGTTATGAAATTATTACAAAGCTTTCTTTATTGACCTAAAATTGAGCTTGATCTATTTACGCAATATTTTTTTGCCTTAATTAAAGATTTGCCTATAAATGAGACTTGGGTAAGGAAATATGAGTCATTTTTCTATAATTCTAAAGAAATTGTCTTACTTGGATCTGGACTAGGGGGTCCAGGGGGACTAGGGGGGCCAGGAGGTCCTGGAGGACCTGGAAGGCCAGGAGGACCAGATGCACCAGGAGGTCCGGGAAGTCCGGGAGGTCCTGGAGGACCTGGAAGGCCAGGAGGACCAGATGCGCCAGGAGGTCCGGGAGGTCCGGGAGGACCAGGAAGACCAGGAGGACCAGGTTCGCCGCTGCCAGCCAGTGAAACTGTATCAGAATATACTTATATTGCGTGTTATTGAAGCGTAAAAAGGGATATATTAGCTAATAACGACTATACTACATGGGTAAAATAGTATATAATAGATTCAACGTACTAGTCTCTTTGTTCGTACAATCTTCTTTAACAGCCAATTGCGTATTATTGAAAATTTTATTGATAAATTCAATGCTTTTCGATTCCTCCCAGAACATAAGATGATCCATATACGCAGATGCAAAGAACGGCTCTTGGTCAATGTCCGACGAGTGGAGGTTATTAACACCAATAGTAAAATCATTATATTCCGTATAGGCTAGATGCTTTGGTTCTCTGTCAAACTGCTTGAACGGTTGACCATTTACGTAAATAATTAGACGGTTATCGTTGCGTTTATTCCAAGTCCAACAGTAGTGAACCCATTCGTTAAACTTGTTGTCGGCAATTGAGTTTATATAGGTAAAATACTTATCTGACACGTAAACATAAATGTAATTAGTTGAGAATTTGAAAGTTATTCCATAAGATTGGTCGCTATCTCCCCCATTGGAAAGGAAATAGGCAACACCTTCGGCTGGAACATTCTTATATAACCAAAAACAGTACGTATGACCATTTTCGCATAAATCTGGTGAGGAGAAACATTCGTTTCTCTTGTCTGATATTTTCAAGTAGTATTTTCCGTTTAAATTTAATGCTTTTCCAGTCACTTTGAACTCTTCCGATAGGATTATTCCCTTTGAATTTTCATCTCCAACCAATGTTATATTTTCAGGTAAGTTACCGGTTAAACAGTCGGCTGTCCAGAAATACTTACTATCGTACGGATATTTATTACACTTGACCGATGAGATGAACGATAGAATAAATAATAAACTCTGACAAAAGAGCTTCTTTTTCTTCATATCTTTTGTCTTTCTCGTCCTTCCTTGAAGAGCAATGGCCGGATGTAGGACAGTATTGAATTTAGGTATAAACTTGAGATCCTTCCCCACTCAGAGTTGAACGTTTAATAACAAATAACCAATAATATTTCCTTTATGTGATCTTGAACAAGGTAAATGGGTCAGCAGGTCAGCAGGTGGGCAAAAAACTAGGAGGTAGAGTAAGTAGCAAAAATTGATATATGGATATGGATGAATTGACGGACGGAATAGAGTAAGAGAGAATGAAGTGTGAGATTTTGATACGAATCAATGGAATGGAATATATTGAGTTTATATGATCGTTTAGTTCAGTTTTAAAGATTCTCCTAAAGGATATTGAAAATCAAACTAGCAGATCTTTTACGTTTTGTACATTGAAGAGAATTGATTCAAGTTTTCCATCTCTTTTCAGCAATTTAAAAATATCAATAAAATAAATATATTGGATATGTTCTTTTAACAAAATCTAAGGCATTCAATAAATACTTGATACACTTAATAAAAACATTTGTGTCCATAACTAGTTTCTCTTTCATTCAACCATCTTTTTCCTCCATTACTCTTCATGTGTTTTAGTGAAAAAGTCCTCTCTAACCCCAACCTTAACCGTCAATTGTATTACGAAAACAAAGAGAGTCCACTCAATAGATGTCGTCATCATTTCTATTTAAAAAAATCCAAGTTTGCCTTCACCTATATTAACCTTGATGTTGTTATACATAGATTTATAACAAAGAGAACATGCACGTTCACTCAGTTACCATCTATAGTAGCTTTATTAAATGTTAGTAATTAATCCTTTCAATTTCTGTTACACATATAATTAGTTGAAAGACGAGCATCATGAAAGAGAGAGTGAGAGAGAGAGAGCAAGTGATTGATAAAGAAGCAGAATAAACTATTTAAAACGTCCCAGTTTCAATTTCCAAGAGGTAGTAATTAATTAAAAAACCGTTGAAAGTTACCTGACCAAAGGAATATATGCAAGAATTTCTTATAAAGATAACTAACAACTTAATGTAGCTTGTCACCTGAAAACGGTAATTTTTGAAGGATAGGAGGAAATGGGATGCTCTTCTACGTCAGAAATTATATCAATCCAACAATGATAAGACTTTTCCATTACTTTTAATCATTGAGGAGAGAAGATAAAACAGTTTCAATTAACAACAAGTTGGTTGTCTGCTACAACATTTGTCCTTATACTTATTGAGAAAATTTGCTTACTAATCGCCTATAGATGGAGTTAACGCCTTCTTTCTCTGAACACGACGCTCTCATTAAAGTTGAAGAGGGAGAAAGAGAGTGGGAGAGAAAAGAAGATGAAGGAGAGATAATATTACCTCATACCTGTTTGTTTACTTTACTTATATTTTCCCAATAGAAAAGTAATGACTAAGAAAGATAATAATAAGTATTGTCTTCTCTCTCTATCTTCTGTTTTCACTCTTTAGTATACAAGTATGTTTAATTGAATTTTATACAGTACTAGTAAAAGTGCTTTTAATGATTGTACGCTACGATGTTATTGTTTGTGCGGAGGGTTATTAATGATGAATAGCATGACAGAAGATTGTATAAGCATACCTTGGTTGATGAATTCTAATGTTAGTTGAAAAGCATTTAGAACGAATTCTTTGCTCTTCTGCACTTCCCAGAACCAAAATTCGTCAAATAAGCTACTTGCGTAGTAATGATTGTAAATAGATGGATGTGAATATTCGCAGTTTGCTCCAAAACGTAAGGGAAACGTTTTAGAGGTTGATACATTTTTCGACTGTTTAGAGGTGGATTTCGTTGCAGAAGTTCCATTTATGAACAATTCTATAGGACTAGAAGTATTCCATGTCCAACAGTAGTGATTCCAAAATTTATTAAAATCAATAGAATGATAGAGAAAATAGTAAAATGAACCATCGGAAAGTTTTATTACTAAATCACCGTTGAAATGATAAAAACTAACACCTTTACTGTCTTCAATATTCCCTCCATTGGTGAAATAATAATGCCAACCACTCGTATTTTGAAGGGTTTTCACCCACAAACAATAAGTATGACCATTAACGCATAAATCTGGTGATAGTAGGCATTCGTCTCGTCTGGTGGTCAAATCTATATAGTAATTTGTTGAAAAGTTGAGAGATTTTCCCGAAACAATATCCGAACTAGACAATTGAATTTCGTTGGAGGCGTCCTCTCCAGAAATTGCAGGAGTTTCACCAATTCCATTAAATTCTCCTTCATCAAAACTCCAATAATAATATCTTGCATTGTCTCCTTTGGTAAATGCAGTCATAAAACAATAGAAAAGGAGCAATCTAGTGTAAAATTTCCACAATTTCCTCTTCATTTTAGGTAATTATTATGAAGAGGATAAGAGGCTGATGAGGAGGGAGAGATATTAAGAGTGAGAAGAGAGAGAGAGAAGAAAAATTAAATATCTACTATAGTAATATACTATATATATTCTTGCTTTCAAATAATAGTTAATTATTAACTTTGCAGTAGAAGGTATGAAAGGTAAGAGAGACTTTGCAGATGGAGAAACAAGATACTCACAAGTACATGTAAAGTAGGAAAATAATTATATTATATATATATATACTTAATAAATAATAAATACTTTTGCTGAATTTCCTCGACCTAATCAATTATCCAATAAAGATCGCTTCTTTAAGCGCTTTAACACTTTTTACAAACTTTCAACTATTCAATTCACTTGATTTTCATAAGTTAGCTATAGACTAACTTTTATTTAAATACTAGTTAAAGGTATATAATTACGTGTATTTAGGTCATTAAAAACATAAAAAATATGAATAGAATAACATTCAACTGATTACTTGAATGATTAGATTTAATAGATTTTTATACTCTTCTATTTGCTTTATCAAACTTACTACAATGTATCTAGTGTACGGTGTAATGAGTTTCTACTATCCCTTGGAAGAGAAAGAGTTCTCTTTCTCTCTTCCTCTCTCTCTCTCTCTCTCTCTCGTTGCTTTGCTCGATAACCCTACCTATCCCCTACAGCCTATATCTCCCAATTTTCTTTCGCAATAACATCCATGTCTTAAGCTGCGGACATGCAAATAATACATCTACAGCTGACGATAATATGTAAGCCTACATTGACGATAATAAATCCCACGTCCGTATGGGCGAAATCTTGTTATGCCGTTTCCCTCCGCCCCGCTTCCCCCCTCCTCCTAGTTAGTACATAAACTGGTATGAAAGAATGAAAGGAAAATCTCCTAAAACTTAATGAACTATCCTTCAAAAAGTCGCCATTTTGATAGATGAATTGTAATAATTGTACATAGATAAAATATTATATATAGCACGTAAATACAAGTATAAATTCGATATTTACCCTCTTTTCATTTCTATTTTCCCTCTTTATTCCTCTCTTCTATTTATCGCTTTTCTTTTATTATTGTTTATCTATTATTTCCAACTATTATTTTGCTTGTTTGCTCATTTTTATACATGTACAAAAGCAAATCATATAAAAGTAAGATTCGACTTGATTAAATAGAATGTATATTAATTTATTGCATGCCTTGTTTTCTATTTAAAGGTTTAGGGTAATCAAAAATCTAGTCATATAAAAACCTAAAGTATTTTAATCTTTCTTATGTTTCTTTATTCCTCCTCCTCCTCCTCCTCCTCCTCCTCCTCCTCCTCCTTCTCGTTTTTAACATTAAGGGCTAATTAATCAAGCCTTTCTCTAAAATCTCCTAAGCTAAATTATCTTGAATTGAACAAATTCAACTGTATAGTTATAATCTATGATGCTTTGGAAACAGATGTTGCACCTGCATTTAACGGCTAATTCCGGGCCAAAAGGGTTTTTTGTGATGGAGTTAATAGCATAATGTATGGAAAGGGCAATTATAGAAGAGATTTTTATTCTACCTTTAACCATATTTATTAGTTATTGAGCTTGAAAGAATTGAGCTTGAAAGTGGGGCCATCTATAATTGTTTTTCTTTAATATTTTCATAACGAACACTTGATGAACGAGAGAGAGAGAGAGAGACAATGATATAATGAGATGGTTAATCATGATAAATTACATTCCTTTAATTATCTTTCAATTTTATGACGAAAACAATAACAATATTTCCATTCATACATCCTCCCAACGTAAATGAAAATCTAAATATAGACTCTATCCTAGTAATAATTGATTAAAATTTTAAAGATAAAAAGTGATGACGTAAGTAAATTAGGTGTATATGTGGATACAATTTGCAGCTGATAAACCAAGATTAAAATTTACAACTGACATTCAGTCAGCCTATATTGATATTCATTCAATAAATAAATTACGAATCGTAGGTTAGACGTCGAGTGAGCAGAGTGTATAGACCTTTTTGACATTCAATTGGACGAGATACTCTGATAGATTGTGAATGAAATTTTAGATTAAAAGTGATTTTCAGCAAAGAACCTAAAGCTAGTAATATAAAAATGAATATTGATTAGCAACCCCTATGTGATTCATTACGCCGTATACATCATTCAAATAATACAGATGTTCATAACGCTATTTTTTTTAATAGTATTTTCATCATTTTTTATTTCGTGGCAAAAGAGAGAAAGTGAATTGACGGATTTTTCTTCTTTTTTCCTCCAACAAACACAACAAATTCCAGAAGAAAAGGAGAACAAAGAAACAAAAATTCAACAATGTCAACAAAGGATCAAGATCATAGCACAAAGCTTATAAAAGTTTGAATTTGTCGATTGACGTAATCAATTATTTTCTTTTTTCAATTGTGTTCTCTCTAAATAGTTTAAAGAAGCTCTTGGAGAAAGTTTAATAAAGGATCACGACGACGCTTATCTAATTAAATGGCTATACGGTAAGGAAACAACAATAAGGACGAAGAAGAGACAAATTGAACATCTTATTAAGAGTTTACTTTTTCCATTAGCGAGGAAGTTTGTTATTGAAGATGCGGCAGAGATGTACAAGAAGGTAATGAATTCCAATAGCCTACATTTACAAGGGATTTAGTAAAAAACCAAAGTACCTTGAATTGAATTTTTCATTCAAACAACAGACGGATAGATATCGATAAAAAAAAACAATACTAAATTGAATAAGTTTAACGCTTAATGTGTTTTTTGTTTTATTATTGTTGCTCTTCATTAGAGTATGATTTGGCGGCGAACTACCGGAGCTGATACTCTAATTAAAACATACCAAAAACCGGAAATACTAGAGAAATACTTTCCAGTTTCCTTTGTTGGCATAGATAAGCAGGGTAATCCGATTCTTTTTAACCATAGCGGTATAACGGATTTTAGGGGTAAACAAATGAACATGTTTAATTGATTGGTTGATTGATTTGCTTAAAAACTGTTGCAGGACTGTTCGATTCAGTTACAAAAGTTGAATTTATAAAATATATGACTTATCTAGCCGAACTCGGTAGAAAGTTATGCAATGAACAAAGTAAACAAATGGAAAAGTTTATTGGACAAATTTCTGTTGTAATTAACGGAGAAGGTTTCTCCAGACACAACATGACAAAGAAACGTAAAGATAACTAAAAACAGTATATTAATTATGTATTTTCAATTGTATTTCTATTCCATTAGTAATTGATTATATGACTGAATTCTTGAAAGTTTTTGAAGCTAACTATCCAGAATATCTATATAAGTTTTATATATTAAACCGTAAGTAAACAATTGATGAAATTCACTCCTCAATCAATCAATTATCGTTAACAGCTCCAAAAATATTCAAATTACTATATAATATAGTAAAACCATTTTTAAAGAAAGCTACAAGAGATAAAGTAATCTTTTTAGGAAGTAAGTAAGGGAGAGAGAGAGAGAGAGAGAAAGCTTCCTTAACATAAGGACATCCAGTATATAATGTCTTTCAACAGATGATTACAAGGCTAAGCTCGCTATTGATTTTCATATAGAAAATGCTCTTGATACGTTTTGTATCGGAGAAGGATCTTCCTCTAATAAAAAGGTAAAGTTATCTTTGCTAAAACACCTCCTTACTACTCTATTTTATACTGTTGATTGAATTAATAAAAAGAGAATTGAATACAGAGCAAATCCGATTACATCGTTCCCGATGAATATAAAATGAATAATGAGAATATTTCCGATGTAAACTCTGAAATTAAAATAGGAAGATTCGGCGAAGTGGAAGTTGATTTTCTTGTTGAAAAATCTAATTCGATTGTCAGGTAATATCTAAATACAGTAAAACGATTAGCTGACAAAAGATCTTGACGAATTCTTAACATCTATACAAACTCTCTCTCTCTCTCTTCTAGATATTCATTTCAAACTAATGATAAAATCAAGTTCGGAGTTTATAAAAAGACCGATAATAGTCAAGTTAAATATGATAAAATGAAAAAGATCGAAGCTTTACACAGCGTGGAAAGTCACAAATATCCCGAAGACGGGTGTTTTGAATGCGAAGAGGAAGGAATATGTATGATACTAATTGTCCAATAATTGCATTGTTCTATAGACTATAAATAATATCTATGTTATCTACAGATACCATCGTTTGGAGTAATAAAACGTGTTTAATAGGAAAGAATCGCATAAATTATACATTGGACGTTTTGCTTCCTAATTGCGACACTGATAGTGGACAGAATATCATTAGCAAGCCAGCTAAGTGTATAGCCATTAGAGGCGCTCATTCTGCTAAACTTAAACAATGATATACATATGTATACAGTTATAAATGGGCCTATGCTAAAATGTTCGTATTTTCTATCTTTATCAATAAGGAATAAAGAAAACAAATTAGTTCTAAGAAAATAGGCAAAAAGGAATATTTGCGCTCTCTCTATACATATAGGCTTAAACACAGATATAAAAATATGTTGATACATATCAATATCGTAACAACATAAAGTCAAGTTTAATCGGCAAGTAATTAATACCAAAGAGTTTTCTTTGTCAATACTTTAAACTAACAATTTTGCTAATGAACCGAAAAAATTCGTCCGATTTTACCTACTATAATACAGTATAGTATTCAATAATAAAATATACTTGTACGTATATTTTTGTCTACCTATGCATTATTCAGAATTCTTATGATTTCTTTTCTTCTCAGCCGATTCATTTATCAATTCAATTGTTGATTTATTTCATCTACACTGTCTTTCTTCTTATATATTTTCATTTATGCTTTTTAACAAGCCGCCTTGAGGTTTTCATTTTCTTAGTCGACTTATAACGGGTGTTTGTCATATTGTATTTAAAGAGATTAGAAATAGAAACAAAGGTAGATAGAAGAGTAAAGAATAAGATCAATAAACAGTTTTTATTCTGTATACAGAATGATATTCTACGGATAGAATAACGATTCCAGATTGATAATTTCCGTATACAATTTCAACTTTCTTTGTTTCTTTTCGTGTAATGTTGAAGACAAACTTTTTTTCAAACATCCCCTTCCGAGAAGAGTAGTAATTGTTAATTCAAAGCTTTTAATAATAGCCAATCGTTCATTCAACACAATAATAAGGAAAAGTTTGCATAAAGTAGTAGTAGTAGTAGTAGTAGTAAGTAGTAATTCAAGTGATATTTTTGTTTTATCCGCCGTATTCAATTCCGTCTTAAGTCTGATGGATTCGTTTGTTGGGTGAAAAAGTGGCAATAACAAAGTGGATAAGCTCATTATATATATATATATATATATGTATATATTTATATATTCTTTATATAAACATCAACAGTTTGTCAACGTAGAAATATCTTCATCAGGTATTGGTAAATTTTCACTCTTGTATAGTTGAAACACCGACGCTTTATCGTATTCAATCGTTAATAGTTTATTGGACGTTAAACACTCGCCGACAATCAAATCCACTGAGTAATACAAGCATCCTTGATTTATGCAAAAGTTTGTACAATTTTCAATTAAGCCTATCGTTGAATTAGAGGCAAACAAATGGAATGACGTGACGTTCGTTAGTAATAATTTCATATTTTTCGCTTTAAGTATAAAATATTCTGTTCAAGTGAGAGAATAGGAGAGTTAAATGTATAAATCTAGTAAGAAGAGAACAAACAGAAATGAACCTGATCTTGGAGCTACAAAACCAGGGAGTTTTGATCCAAGAAATCCAAAGCAAATGTTTATATTTGGTGATGATTGAAAATGTATAGAAAATCCTTTTATTAGTTTAAACTCTTTGCAGGGAAATTCAATTAGAGAGCCATTTCTTAACGGACCAACTTTATTCGGGTCATAGTTGGTGCAGGGGGCTTCATTTCCACCTATGGAAGAGTTTGAAATGTTTATTTCGAATGGTATTTGGAATTCTCCATGGAATTGCATAGATATTCCGTAAGAGAAGAACGATAGATCGTCTTCTGTTATATCGATAAATAATTGAGTATCGATAACTTGTAAACAACCATTCAGCGTATTTTTAGAGATATTCGAACTATCTCTAAACTTTTTAGCAGGTAGCGAATAAGAATTATCTGCAAAAGAAGGGACAATGAGACAAGAGAACCGAATAAATTAAATGGATGAATAAAAGAATGAGCATTTTAACAAACTATAGTAGTCTTTCGTTAAGTTAGTGACAGTTGCGTTTGATCCAAAAATTAATACTTCGCACAGAACGAAACTCTCTCTATTCATATTTGTAATAATAAGATAATTGTTATGATGAACTTTTTGTAGGCAGTCTATTTCGTATGTAACGCAACTTTGAAAGCCTATCTTTAAATAGCCGCAGATAGTTTTCTTTTCATATGGCCAATCGGCATCGTTAGGTAAAGTTCTTGTTAACGATATTTCGTATTCGTACGATGCACCTATGAAACGCAAAATACAAGTTAAAAGAGTAAGATTCCCACTCTTTCATCTTCTCATCTACTTGAATAGGCTTTGGTTTACCTGATAAACTTTTTGAATCTCCAGGAACGAGTACTATCGATTGGATTGTTGACCAGTCCACTCTAACTGCCAGCCAAGGATGATTCGTACCGGAAATGTAGCTACACGAATGGCTCTGAGTTGTTGGAGGATTTTCGTAAATATTAACTGAATTTCCATCAAACGCTTTGGCGGGAGATCCTCGCCCTACCATCGCCTCGGGAGTCGACGAATAAGAGGCGATAGTTAAAAGTTGATGTAGATGCGTAGAATAAACTTGATTGATAAGAAGAGACGAAGAAGAAGAAGAAGAAGAATAAAAGAGAATTATGAATAAAAATAGTAAAAAGAGAAAGAAGTAAAAGTCATTTGAAACCTTCATTTATTAATTGTCCATAAACTTCCATTTCAGCTATTTGTAATTGTTTGTTGTAGACGGGTTGTATCAGAGTGAAATAACGTCCAGTAACGTTAGGTTGGCATGCAAGGAATTTTGCTTCTCCCTTTTCGAATCCTTGAGGATTTTCGTAAATATGACACAAGACATATGGAAAATATAGGGCTTCGCTTGCGTTCATATTTCTGGGAGGCGGTGTATCTCCAACAAACAGAATGTTCTTCTGATGGAAATCTTTTGAATAAATGTCTTAAAGAAGGAAAAATTTTCTATAAATAGATTGTTTGTCCCATTATATAATGTTAGTAAAAATTCAATTACTATCGAATCTGGTTATAATGATAGCTCCATAGATTAAATACCTATTCACTAGATCTATAGTAAGGTAAGGAAATCTTTTGCCCCATGTACTCGGTATTGCTAAAGTAGTTCTTTCGTTAAGATAGGAACCGTCGACCATATAGCTAGAATGGCCGTAGATTCCGCTTGTCGTAGATAATGCCGGTCCATAGGAGAAGGTGGGCTTAAATTTTGCCAAATTTTCTAAATCTACAAAATGAATAGATTACGATTCGTAGAGACGGTTTTTGTAAAAATTAAATAATTAGAATTACCTCTCTTCCTTACAAACTCGCCAAATATTTTCATTTCGCAAACGCTTACGGTTTGTACATGATTATAGACAATTACATATTGTGTAGCATCCTTAATAGAATCGCATTTAACCCTATTCCAACTTCCGAGTACAACGTTAACTACCTGACACAGTGTTGTATTATCGAACTTCCATTCTCCTATAGGACTAGTTTTGATAAATCCAATGTCTAAGAATATACGATAAAAAATTTATATAGAATTATTATCGACTTGACTGATGATATAAAACTAGAAAGAAGAAAAAAGTTAACTTAGGGTCGTTGAAGTTGAGTACAAATCTATAGTATAGACTTGGTAATAGGCTAACAATCCTACGATTATCCAGGACATATTTTTTGTAGGATGTATATCGGAAATAAGACACGATGCTATGTTATTGTCAATAGCCGATGGCGTTGGAGAGTCAACATTTGACGAGTAGATTGGCGCCGAATAAGCCAAATTATCTGAATGAAATTCAAAAAAAAAGAGATTTCAATAGGGAAAAGAAGACAAGCTAAAATATTGATAATTGAAACCTGTGTAAACTTCAATTTCGCAGATTATAGTCTCAGAAAGTGTTGTTTGTAGGTTAATAATCTCAATCAATTTAGCTAATCTATTAATCTGTTGCGAACACGTAACGTATTCGATAGCGGTCGTTAGATTTTTCGTATCGTATGTAGTGTCTTTGCACAGTAGTTTAGAGGAATCGTTAAAAGTTCTTAACAAATTTATTCTATAGGAGACATTTCCGTCTTGAAGAGAATTCAATATAGCAATTGAATGAATTGGCATTTCAAAGTCGAGATCAATTACAATTTGAAAGTTTAATCCGTTAAATTTTGAACAGGATCCGGACTCTGAGAAAAGAGATAAACTCCCATCAGTTAAGTGATTTTCATTGAAATATTTATCATTTATCGAAGAATTCGATGTGACTTTCTTATAAAGAGCAACATTTAATAAACTTCTCGACGTTGTTATAGAACAAATTGTCGAATTAGCCAAGTCATCGTTGCAAAACGTTGTGTCATCAGACGAAACGCTCTTTATCCAATTCGCAACTAGGACAATCAAATAGTATAAATATCATACATTCGAATAGAAAGAAGATAGAGTCAATAACTACCAATAAAGAGGAATAAAGTTGAAAACACTTGAAAACTCTTCAGCATTTCTTGTTGAATTTCCTTTAATAGAGAGTTTTGTTTCAAAGTAAAGAAAAAGGTTAAACTCTATTATTCCCTATCGGTAGATCTAAGCAGACGAACAAACAGTACTATGCCAAATTTATACATGTATATATATATATATATATATATATATATAAATATATACTTGTATGTATATACTATAGAGTTTGATTTGTTCGTTAACGGTTGGTACTAGAAATGAGAATGCGAGCAACTACTAATACTGTTGAATAATTTATCTGTAGGAGTGGAAAAAAATTTATAGAGTTTATAATCATCGATCTGATTGGCGTTTTATTGTCGTTAAATAGACATCAACTTTTACTTTAACACTGTTTAATCGTTCATATTCATTGGTTCAACTTTTGTTAACACATTTTAAATGATATTTAAAAGAGCGTATAGAATATAATTTGAAAGAGCTGCAGACTTTGCTATAGAAAGTTTCACTCGAAGATGACATTCTACATACTTTAGTTAGAGTATTAACAGAGAAATAAAGGCACGAATCGTTATTATAGCAGGCTCGAGAGCATTGTTTGATAAGAGTCAACGTAGATCCTTCAAGTTTAATATCATTTCCATGACTAAGATATTGTTTCTGATGCAGCATTTTAGTATGAGCTAAGTAATTTTAAATAAGTGAATTTATTAATTATATATACTATTCTTCTTAATAGAATCTTTTACCATTTTGTCCTTGAAATGTAACTTGACAAGAGTCAATAGTAACATTTCTCTTCAATTTCACAATTACCGTATTTGCGAAAGTAAGCTTGCGGCAAAAGAATCTATGTTTCTCTCCACCTTTAATCGTTCCTTGCTTATCAATGTCGTGTGCTGAGCATAACTTTAGCTTATTCTCTTTGAGGTGATTATCGTTCAAAGCAGTATATACTTCGAAATTCTCTTGAATATCTTCATTAGCACTAAACGCAATACTCAAAATGTAGAATAAGTCAAAATATTGTTTTGATATTCTAAAAACGAAAGTATCGGCTGTTAAGTTAGTACACGAACTTTTAAACCCTATAGGTATATCTTTTATCGGTTGTAAAGTTGAACCAGTCAGCACACCTGAAAGAGCAAAGACAATTTGTCTATAAAATACTAATGAAAAGAAATACACTAGACAATATATATATATAAGATACGCTTACCTATTTGATGATACGAATTAAAAGTGCTATCGGAGGTTGCTACAACGATAATTTCGCACAGAACAATATCTACATGATTCAAGTTGTAAATTGTCATTCTGTAAGATGGTATGTGCCTTTGACAGTTTATCTCGTAAAACATTGATTCTGTTATAGTTAAGTTGCCAATACTACAAACTGATATAGTCGTGGATGATGTTCCCAAATGTTCGGGGTAGTAGACGATGGTCGAAACAAGACGATACTCGTAGATTAGTGGCTCTAAAATGATAGAATAAAAGTAATAGAACAAAAAAATGGCTTGTTTGTTTGTACCTTTATTGTCTTTATTCGACCCAGGAACGAGAACAACTTTCGAAATATTTCTATAAGCGACGTACATTGATATATATGAACCGATACTCGGATTAACTTCAGCAATAAGACAACACGAAGGCCTAGTAACGTTTTGGTAGTTTGTTACTAGGCTACCATCCGATAGAGTTTTTGACCTGCCCGTAGAAAGTAAATTTGAAGTTTTCGCTGATATAAGAAAGGATGCGATGTGAGGGTGTGTGTGATAGAGACTGTGATCTATAAAGAATAAAGAGAAAACTGAATAGAACATTGAAATCAGTATTAAATATTAATAACAATATGAATTGGATTTTGTTCCGTATACTTCTACTTCGGCTAATTGTAAATATTTTCCATATTCCATTTGCATAATAAGGAAATATCTTCCTTTGTAAACTTTATCGCATTTGAAATATTTCGATTCTCCGCCAATAAAACCAGTTTCCTTTTCGTAATGGAAGCATAAGGCGTTTTCGTCGCTGACTAGAACATCTTCAGTACTTATTGTTGTATTCGGAAACGTTTTTCTACTGAAAAGCGTTAAGTTTGTATTGAACTTGGCGGAGGCAGAATCTTTTGTTCAATTCATAATTGGTATTCTTAGAAAATATATAAGAAACTGTATGATTGTTTAATTGATTCTATACTCACTATCCATGTTTGCAATGATTAATGCAGCTTGTATAGCATATAACTTTGTCAAGTAAACCCCCCAATATGGATTTTTAACCGTATTAGGTATAGCCAGATATGATAGACCCGTTTTATAATTTAGGTCGTTGGCCAAACTGGCAGCGGAAACATGAGTGGAGAGTTCAACAGCTCCTTCGTATTGCCAAGCTGGTCTCTCTTGCGCTAAATTCGGAAAAGCTGTTTGTTTTGTTTGTCAAAAAAAAAAACAAAAAAGCCTCAATTAAATATCCTATACATCAATGAGAAAGTAAAATGAATAATGTTTGCTAATTACAATAATCTTTCAAGTAAACTCCTAAGATATTCAATTCGCAGATTTTCAAAGTATTTGCAGATCTAAAAGTAACATAATTAACTTCAATTTGTTTCCATTCATTGCAAATACTTCTGTGCCAAACGTTGTTTATTGGCATAATAGCTTTAGCACAAAAGTTTGGTAAACTTTTATCCCAATAGTCTACCGGATGTCCTGTACCAGTTATAATGTCTAAAATAATAATTTTTCGTTGTATCAGCAATAAAAGAGACTTATTTAGCATTATTATTATTATTATTATTATTATTATTATTATATAAAACCTATAGTATTGGACGAGTAGAGTCCGTCAACCGAGTGGACGTTGTAAATGTGTCCAATAGTTAAGCTTATCCATGCGTAGCCGTTGTAGGGTAGTGAACTAGTACAAGTAAAAATTAATCCGTCATTTATGTTTGTTGGCTCATTTTCGGTTTGTCTCGAATAGACTGAAGCGTTATACGCTAGATTATCTGTTTATTAAAAGAGGAATTATGTAATAGTGAAAAGCAGAGCTAGCAATCTCTAGAACATTAATAACATTAGATTACCTATGAAAACTTGAATTACACAAATAGTTGTTTTAACTTGGGAAATCTTAGACTGAATTTCAACATATCTAGTGAGTCTATCAACTTTTTGATCACACTGCACCGATAATTTCCATTTTCTCAAATTGATAGAAGGATATCCAACCTCGCCGCATAATATATAATCAGCGTTTAATTTGACAAGAGATACTTGAAATTTTATCGACTTATATGACGTATATTTGTTGGATAACATTATTCTCACAGTATTAACATAGTATTCACTATAGAGGTCAATTTTTATCCAGTAATTCGCTTTTAAAAAATGGGCACAACTACGAGAATTCCACATAAAAGACAATGAACGGTCAACTAAAAACAATCCACTATATGTTGTAGTTTCCAATGAGATGTTAGTCTCAACTCCTTTAAACATGGCGATATCTTTCCAGTTGGTACCAATTTTATCAGCTATGCAGGGTGATTTTAAAGGACTGTCATTTGAGCAGAATGAAGTTATTGATAGATGATATTTCAAATTGAGAATAAAGTAAACTGAAATAGTTTAACAGAAAATATAAACATTGAAATATACTATAAAGTTGAATTAAACCGTGTAGACATTTCTTGAATTGTAATGTCATTCTATATACATTTAAATAGAGGAGATGATAGAAATCAGTCTAAAGGTGAGAAGTTAGCCATTTTCTGCTACTTGACAACACGGTAGCACACAAAAAATAGTTGTGTAGTTCAAAACAATTACATATTGAAACAAAATGAACATACGAAAGGATCTTTAAATACTTTATGAATGATAGTATTTATTTTTTATAGTTAAATAATTCAAATATAAATGTCAAGTGTTTCTGTTTACACAAATAAATTATAATAGAATAGTTATAAGACAAAAAGAAATTCATTAACAATTAGCTTTTAAACTATGAATTAAGTTCTCGTACATAACACGAAATATAGACGCCGAATTATCTAACGATTCAGCCAATATTTTACTTTTTATACAAATGTAAGAAGAGTGTTGTACTAGACTGTGAACTGAGAAATATGAACATCTTTCTTCGTCTCTCAAGCATTCTATACCGCAAGTCCTTACTGATTCAATTAAACTTTTATCATGAATGGTAATGCTTCCCGATTTTAGCCTCATATTTCTACTGTGAACGGCTATATAATCTGTAGAACAAATGAGAGGAGTAAAAGAGAGAGAGAGAGAGAGAGAGAGACGTTAGATTGAACAACTTACTAGACAAGCCGTAAACCTTAAAATCGCATATTTTCATTCCAGTTTTTGAATTTGACTTTAACAAAAGAAAATTTCCACAATTCATTTCACATCTATAAAACATATGTCTTCCATTTTCAATAAAGTTAATGTATGATGAATTATGTTGATTGCATATTTGATCATTTGTTGAATTATGAAGATTGTCAAGAGATTTTCGAACAACAACAGAAAAAGAATCTTTAAATGAATCGTTCATTTGAAAGTGAACTTTTAAGAATTGCGCAGGAAAGTTTGCTTTAAAGACAAACGTTTTTCTAATATTTACGCTCACTGAACATTTGTCAGGAGAGTCTAGTAGACGATTTTTAACATGTTTAAATATTTTCTCTTCTCCTCTAATTCTTCCTGTGTGTTATATAGTTGAACGATTGATTGAATAAAATAGTATATACTAACAAATCTATATAGTTATACTCTTACTTGTATAGGAACTGTATCCATTGTCTATGCCAATATAGAAATATACCTCGCATAGAGTTAATCGAGTTGAATTCAAATTTCTGATTGTATGATAATATCCGCCCATATTATTGCTACACGGAAGATTCAACACTTTATAATTGCTGGCTGCTCCTTTATAAATGGCGCAAAGATGTTGTTCATCTTCCTCTGTCCAGTCTAAACCCAATTTGGAGAATTTCTTATATGAACTCGTCACTTCAAAGTACGATAGTAAATCTGTTGCGTGAGGATGAGGAGAAAGAAGAATAAGAAGAAGAAGAAGAGAATCGTAAGAATGAAAAAGAGCCGTTAATTAATAATTCTGTATAGGGAAGGGCGAGTGTTCTTACCATCTGTATTTTGACTTTCCGCTTGAACGATTGTTATCGATTTTAAGCTGATGCTCTTCTCAGTGGTAATCATCCACCATGGATATTTGGAATTTGTTCCCAATAGAGACCTACTACACGAATGAGATTTCCCTTCAAGCTCGTAGAATACATTTCTGGAAGCGTCCCCATCGACGGCTTTTGCCGGTCCGCTAGCTTGTTTCGAATTGAAGAAGGACGACTGAACGGTAGTTAATTCATTTATCCTTTGATATAAATCATTATCTATTAAAAAAATATAAAGGGATTGAGAAGAAAACGATTAGAAGAGGAGAATATTCAAATTAGTAAGTTTAAATAAAAACCATCAATTAGCGAGCCGAAAACTTCAATTTCTGCCAATTCAAATATAGTGTTATGGTTTAATATTTCAACAATAACGTACATTCCTTTAGTATTGAACGAACAGGGAAAGTATCTTGTTTCTCCGTATAATAACAGATTCGTCGGTTTTAGAGTTTGGCATGTCTGATAATCTGTTGAATTAGAATCTAATCGAATTGTATCCAAATTAGTCATATTTGTAACTTTTAACGCCAAATTATTGATAAAATACTGAAACGATCCGGCCTTGTTGACTAAAACTATAGCGTCTATTTGAAAGATTTGAAGAAGGGAGACGGCCCAATAGAAATATGTACAGGTAGGTTGTTTAATAAGTGAAAAATAAGTAGAATAGAAACCGTCTACGGCGAAAGATGGAGATTTTGTTTGATTAGTTGTTTGATCACTACAAGAGAAGTATGTTGGTTTCTTAATGGCTAAATTTGGAGATTTGGATATGGAATACAAATTTCCAACAACTGCCAATTCGCAAAGTTTAAAATAAGTAACTGATATGACTGTAACAAACTGAGAGTTGCTTAATTGCGAACAAATTCCAAAGTGTTTCATTAAATTCCCATAGAAACATGTACTCTTGTCAGTTTCTTGTATAACACTACCGGGGTGACTGTTTGACGAATATACATCTGAAATTGGTCATAAACGGATACAATATTCAATAGAAATTCTATATTAATAAACAAAGATTTAAACCTATTTCTCGAGTTTGTTTTAGCTGTATTCCGACCGCAAACACTTTATAAATTGCTCCAAGATTTACAGATGCCCAATATTTTCCATTCGAACCCTTGAATATTATTATACAACTATTCAATAGGCCATCGGTTATTGGCTCAGGATCGGATTGTAATTGGCCAGAGTAAACTGGAGCTTTTGCTGCTAGGTTAACTGCAGATAGCGAAGGAAGGTAATAATTCGTATCTGTTTTAATTGTTATACCGTTGAAATCTACCTGAAAAAGCTTGAACGTCGCACAATCTAATTGAAGACAATGCCAAATTAGAAATTTTCAAGTAATTTCCCCTTACGTTGTTTTTACAAGGAACAACTGCAAGTGGTTTAGAGAGTTTAAACAGCAATAAAGAGGCGCATTCTTCTTCTACCGCAAATAGTTGAGCAGAGATACGGAGAGATATTGTAGTCTTGTTAAAATTGTCTCCAAAGAGCAGATTGATTGTATGAAGATAATAAATCAGATCTAATTGAATGACGATTGAACCTCTTAAATTCGTACAACTTCCGGACGAAGGATGAATAAAAAATGTTCCATCAGTTATATGAGAAAAGTGGAACTTGTACGAAACTGATTCGGTAAAGTTGACAATAGTCGAATCCCTTAATATGTTGTATTGAGATTGTGAAAAATTTGATGCCAAGGAAAAATATTCGGCGGATGTTACGAAAGAAAAATGAAGATAAACAGTAAAGAGTATAACTCCGGCTAGATAAAATATCAATTAAAGAATATAAAGGAAAATAAGAGTAATATACCTGAAAAATTTGACAGCTTCATATCATGATTTTGATACAAGGAATACAAGAAGAAAACCTACGCTAAATGAATAATGTTTAATTATTTATGACCTATAAAGGAAGAATAGATAAAAGGACATTCTATATATTTTACATATGTATATATAAATATATATATATTTATATATATACAGTAGATATAAGGTTTTTGTTTATTTTCTAGTAAAATATTACAATTTCAGACAAAACATCACATTCAAAAGTTGACTTTTTTTATAATTTATTATATTTATACTTTTTGCATAGAAGAATAGAAAGAAAATGGAAAGATTATTGATAAAGTATATACTTTTCTTTCTATTATTTAGTGAAATGTAAAGAAAAGTATATATGTGCAACTTTACCATTTCCCCCATTCAAAAATATCACTCGAAAATCACTATCATTCACTTTTCTTTTAGCGCCATCTAGCGGGTATTCGTAGACTGTATAGAAGTTGGAGTTGGTATGGATGGAAGGTATATATATGCTGTATATATAGAGAATATTGTTATATAGACTATTGTAAAACGTTATATGAAGAAGCTGTATTAAAACTGACTCTTGTGTAATAGCTGTTAATTTTATAAGACAAAAACTTTGGTTAATTTACTACATATTGACATTATGAATAAAACAGTAAGAAAAATCGGACGATTTTCGTTCTACAGTTGATAAGTTTCTGTCTATATTTTACCTTTTAATTTCTATTCTATATATTCTATCAATTGATTATTTATCTAGAAGGGAAAAGGAAAACAACAACAAGTTTTAATTGTTTTTAATAAACCAACAGCGTTTACTTTGTTCCAATTAAACAACTAATTATTTTCCAAAAGAAATCATTGAAAAACTATAATACAAAAAGGAAAGAATACTTGTTTAATAGACGCCTACGCTGAAAGTCATATTGCTCAAAGAAAGATAGATAGATAGATAGATTAGAGGGTAGAAAGAGAGAGAAGTATAAAATGGGAGAGAAAAGGAAATAAAGAGATAGATAGATAGATAAAAATATGATTTGTCTATATTTTTATATTTCGAAAACTATCGACAAAGTTTATATAATCTGCTTGTCTGTTTACCTGCCTGTCTCTTTTAATTTATTTCTCTTTTTCTATCCTACTATCCCCCTCCCCTCTCTCTCTCTCTCTCTCTCTCTCTCTGGCTATCTTCTATATACTCTCTTCCTCTTCCTAATAATCATTTTTTTAAGATATGCTATTAAAAATTTCCCATTAATTGAAAACAAACAAAACATTATTTCCTACATTTTCTACATAACAACGTAAACAATCAGGTTATTTACTAACCAATTAATATTTCTTTATTTTATTATTAAATTTCTGACTTGTTGAAAGAAAAACAATAGATAAACTGTTGTTCTAATTCTATGACAATCATTTCTAAAGTCATTTTATATGTTTATTTTTCCATTCTAATATCCATCAAACGAGAGAGAGAGAGAGGGTGGGAGGGAAAGGGAGAGGGAGAGAGAGAGGGAGAGAAAGAAAAACTATAGATTACAACTGTAAGCAATTTTATAAATGAACTTCTTAAAAAGAATTAAACTAATATTTTAACTTTGTTAAATAAACTCTGTTGAAAGGAAAGCCATTAAATAGATCAATTTATTATGGAAACGTATTTAAGAGAAAGGGAATACGAAAAGTAGCCAACTTCTTGCTTAGAAGAGGAGGAGAACTAAAAACGAACAAGAAGGAATATAGAATGAAAGTCTATTCAAGTAATATATACGTTAACTAAAGATATTTTATAACCTCTTTTCGTCGTCTAACCCCTCGTGTTTCGTATTTCGTATTGTTCAATTTAGGTTTACTTTATGTTTTGGTCACGATACTACCGCCTATTCCATGTTCAATTTGCCCGCCCTGCGGTCCAAACGGATACTGCAGTATTGTTATAAAGAAATGCGTCTGCTACAACGGTTTCGATGAGCCATTTTGCCAAAAAAGTAGAAATTCAATACTTGTTTATTCAATTAAAGTTTTAATTAACAAGAACAAAAAAACGCTTTTAAAGGTAAAATACTGGAATTTGTCAAAGACGGGATTTTTGGTGGGGAAAACCCTATTAAAGGTTCGGACGAACTTGGTTCGTGTTTAGAAGACTTTACTCAAGATAGTTCCTATATATATATGCTATACGATAAAAGTAGTAATTCTCCTTCTCCTTGTACATTTTATAAAAAGATAAGCCTGTGGAACTTTGACACAAACGTTACGTATAATTCTTACTACAAGCACGGTAATTGCAATAGTTTCCTTATCGACTCTATTTATGTAATAAACTTATCTCTGTTCTCTTTCTTTTCCATATAACAACAACCTTTAAACAAAGGGTTGAAAACGAGAATTTCTTGTCCGAAGAATTCTCCCAACTTGAATAGATTTTGCCTTTTGGAATATTGGATTACCGAATGCGATAGAGATGGCCTTCTTAATCCGTTAGCAGATGCTTTCGCTATTGTTACCGAAGCGACAATATTCACTTACATCTCTCTTCATAAGTTTATGAAAAATCTAACGAGCTCGGAAAACATGGCATATCATTCGGCGGAGAATTTATATTGTTACGGAAAAGGTTCAAAAGGTCATAAGAATTTGGCATTGAACTACAAAGTTATTAAAAGCGAAATGAATATAACCGATAGAGAGATTCAAGCTAGAAATTTAGTAGACGGATGTACAACCAGTAAATTAAGTAGTAGTTGTTGTACCATTTTAAAAGGTCCTATAAACAAATGGATAGACATTATTCTATTAAAAGTTGATTATCAAATAGGATATTTTCGATTAAGGTACAACACAGTTCATAGAACTACTACGTCGGCTGGTTTGGCTATTCTTTCGTCGGCTGACCAGTCGGTTTGGACAGTGTTGTACGAATACGATAGCGATAAGATTATCGATATCGATTTGAATATAACTAAACGCATGCCGTTCAATCATAATTCAATACGATTGAGAATGAATGAAAAGTCGAATCAAGATTTTTCCTTTATCTTTATATGCGAATTGGAAATATTCTCTGAGAATATAGCCCTAAACATGCCCGTCTATCATTCGCACGCCTATAAGACTTTCGGAGCGAACGACGGTGATTATACAACGTACGACGAAATTGTTGAAATAACAACGGCAACCGGCCAATTGGTTCGACCTAAAATATGCGTAAATCTCGAGAGAGTCTACCATATTTTTACAGTTACGGCTTATATTTTTAATGAAAGTTTGTTAACTTTTAGTAGAAATAAATATCAAATGCAGTAATGATAATTAATCCAAAAAAAAATCTCTTTTTCCCTCCCATATTCCACTATTGTTTTAGACGATTCGATGGAAATTTTAACGTCGATAGGCCATCCATTCGATAAGAATTTAACGTATTACAATCACGGTTCAACGAAATCTGGAAAGAGGCACTACTGCAATAAAGAATTGGCTCAATTCGTTTGTTTAACGTCTAATGCGTCTATTTTAAGAGTAGTCGAAATAGACGTTAAAGGTTTGATAAGTAAAGAAGTTGAAGGTATAAATCATTGTACAGTATATTTATAGATAAGCATAAACTATAATATTGTATTTATAGAGTAAATTTCTAATTAAATTTACATTCGAGGCCAAAATACTGACTTTTTATATTTTAATTAAATACCAAACAGTTGTATTTTTCCTTTATAGGTCTAGAGAATTTAGCGAAAAACAAACCTTCCTATACGATTTTTAATCGTACTCTATATCCTACTCTCGGTGGATGGGCTTTCGATGGAGAATACTCTTCCAAATTTACATCTATTCCCCAACAACATCAATTCCTACCGTACAGAATTGTTATAGATTTAACAAAAGAATACAATTTAAAGTCAACCGCAATAATCCTATTCAGAAATCAATATACGTCATCTCTATTCGAAATGAGCATTTACTCGTCGTTAAAATCGCTATCGAATATCAACAATGACCTTGAACAGAAAGAGTTATGTACAGTTTTATTTGAAAACTATACGAGCCTTATCGAATTTCAATCTTCAATTATTTTCAAACATTTCGTTACTTGCAGCGGAATAAATGTAATTATTATATCAGATTTTTCACTTTTATCCTATATAGAAATTGAATTATACGGAATTGAAAAACCTCATCAGAGTAAAATTTTCATTTTCTTTCTCTTTAAAAGTTCCTATCAACTATCTAACCTATACACTCGCCTAATCCTAATAGGTCTCGTTCAAATTCCTATAAAAGAGTCGAAAGACTCTACAGAAGTTGGACAACCTTTTCTTCTTCGAGACGGAATCTATTTAAATAACTTTGATATTTCCAGTAGACTGAACTGTTTAACATTTCGCAATCATTGGTGGTCTGGAAAAATTGGTTGGTCAGTTGTTGATTCTGTATTAATAGCCTTAGGAACCAAATTGCTACCAATAGGTAATTAAAATGATTGGAATAGCTGTAAATTTACTGATAATTGTTATTATTATTATGATTACTATATATACTGTATATTATATATATATTATTAAGATGGCCTCGGTGTATTTCTACTGGATTACGAGCCCGACAAGATTTGGTTGGATAACAACACCAAAACAATTTGTTACCATAGTTTCCGTATTAACAATTCAACGATGTTGGCGAAATATAAATGCTTGAAAAATTCTATTGGAAATCATATTCTAATAAAAGCCGAAAGCTTCAACGATATTGAAATATGCGAATTTTCAGTCTATAAGAGAAATGAAGGCAAGTATTCCTCTCCTCTTCTCCTCCTCTTCCCTTACATATCATAATTCTACTTGTTGTTTTTAGCAGGTAATTCGCAACTATTACTCTTAAATAGGCCAGATACAGTTGTCTATGAAGATTTAAATAAAACTCTGTTAGATTACATTCATTACGATTTTACCTATAAATCTTATTGGAGATTGGTAAAAGTTTTAAAGGTAAAATTTACTTTAGAGTCCAATCTATCCTATATAGAAATTATGGTCGGAAGAAGAGAAGGTTTTCTCGAAATATGTAATGAATACAATTCCAAGGTTATCCTAGAATCGGAGCATCATCAGGGATATATTTTACAAAAATCTTGGACATTAATATTCTATTGCGATTCGTTTGCCGCCAATTTTTTATCGTTGAAAAGCCTAGGCGCAATGGCTGTATCTCAACTAGAGATAACTGGATTAGAAAGTAATTATACATATGATATAATACTGTGTAAAGGAACTAATTCAATTGAAATAATCAATTTATATAGGATACATTAAAGTATTGAAATTGAAGATGGGCTTCAATCATAGCGTGAATAATTTATACAGAGCTACTTTACCAGCCTGCATTTCAAAGTGTTTTGAATCAGTTAATTGCCATTTAATTTCAGTCAAGTTCAACCGTCGTAGTCTTACAACTGTACAATGTACTTTTTTAACGAAACAAGAAGAGAACTTTTTAAAATACGACGAGAATTCTATCACTTTTTCAATTGTTGGCAAAGAAAATTTACCCCAATTTAACAAATGTCAATGATAATTAAACAATATAAGCCTTATTAAAATATGAAAATTGCTATTGAAAAGTTTAAGCTGAAATTGGGGAAGGGAGGAGTGAAGAGAGATTGAGATAGATAGATAGATAGATAGAGAGACAGAGAGAGTGAGTGAGTGAGAGACAGACACAAACAGACAGAAGAACAGGAGAGTTAAATAGATAGAGAACGAGTGAGAAAACAAAGACAGAAAGCGAGACTGAAAGAAATGATTGTATTCGAAGCATTAGACCTAACTAGGTAAAATCGATTAGGAAGATGTGTCAATACTGTAAAGCGCATGTGTAAACCATTCCAAAAATTTCTGCATTGGTATTCGTTGATTGCTCTGTTTAGGCATTGTTTTCACCATTCGGCAACTTTTAAATAATTTTGACAGACGTTTTAACATAGTCTGTTTCGTTTTAAAACAAATTTCATTCTATACTTCTCTTTCTGCATTTATCCCAATTATTCCGCCGTTGATTACCGACTATTATTCCAACTTACGAACACTGTAATTCTTAGGAAGATGCGATAAATTAGTAAATTTTTGCAAAAGATGGCGACACTAGATTATTAAAAGTATAATAGAGTTGAATAATTGCACTCGATACTTACAGTGCTTTATTATTTACAACCGGAAATACTTTGGGAATAAGGACGTATTTATACATGAATGAATGTAGATTAATAAACTATATTAAGTATTTGTAAAGGGGGATATAGAGATGAGGGAAGATGGTAAGATACATATATATATATATACGCTTTTATAAATGAATATAATGTATCAAATAGATACGTTGAAGACTATTTCCCCGTTTATTTTACTATAGAATTCAAAGAGGGAAATATACAGTATATTGTATATCATCTTTTACTCTGTATAATCTATATATTATACAAGATATGTAATAGGAGAAAAACTCATTGAGAGTGGTGTGACGGTTTTATTTCAAAATTGATAACTTTTTATTACGTAATATATTATACGAATAACTCAAAGATGAAAATCAGTCAATTTAGGTCATTTCTCTACAAATAATAGAAAAAGCGTAAACATCAATTCTTAATAAACCATATACAATAAATAATTTGGAGCACCACTTTCTACAAACAATCAAACGAGCTCATGAAATAGTGTGCCGGCTATTGCACTCTCCTGCTATAAATTTATTACTAAATAACCAAAAAAAAGTACGGCACAAAGGGATGCAAATACATATGAGAATATATACAGTTTATATCTATATCTATATCTATATATATATATATTTATATATAGTTTGTATACAAGAGTATATAAGAACAAAATATAAATAATAGAAGAAAAAACTCTTATACACTTTCCCTCTCTCTCTCTCTCTCTCTCTCTCTCTCTCTCTCTCTTTCTCTCTCTCATGCGCGCGCGCTTTCTCTCTAGTTCTCTCTCTCTCTCTCTCTCTCTCTCTCTCTCTCTTTTCTCGTACCGGTCCGTTCGTCTCTTGTATCATTTATTCTTCCTTTCTAAATTCCAAATCTTTTTCGACCTTCGATACAAATAGATATATACAGACTTTTTTCCACGCATAACGAATAGTCTATGTATAAATGTCTGTCTCTGTTTCTCTCTCTCTCCCTCTCTGTCTCTCTGTCTCTCTTTCTCCATTCTCTCCGCTCCCCTTCTCCTCTCTTTCACCGTCTTCCCTCCCATACAACATACTGGATAACCAAATATTTTTGTCTCTTTGTTTATTCTTACATTGCTTTGTTTCTTCGTTAGTTCTCCATTTGCCTAGTCTTTTAAAATGCACGATGTTGGTTGGTGGGTGGTTGGTTTATCTGAAAAATAAAAAAAAACTATTATCTTAAAGACTCTATCGGCTAAACCAAAAAAAAAAAAAATTGCCTCCAACTTTTATCAACTATGGATTAAAGGCAGATTAAAAGTAGCATAGGCCTATAATCAGATTAGGCTTCGCCTATTTATAGGCTTAGCGCTTTTCACTCGAGTTATTTACATGTCAGCCGGCAAGCGGTTTACATCCGATATATTAACAATATATAATCCATCTTATCAGAATGTGTCTCTTTTAATTTGTTGTTATTTTTTGGGCCTCTGATAAACCGATAATAGGTGTGAAAGAAGAAAGCCGTTTTTTTTGTGCTTCTTTCGTTTTATGGATTTGTGCATACTTGACTAGCTGATTTGTTTATATTCAATTACTAAACTATCAGCGGCAAAGCGTTTATTCCGTTTGAAAATATATAAATATATTGAAACTGTAGTTTTCAACTTACAACTAATCTTCTTCTTCTCCTCCATCATCCTCCTCTTCTTCTTCTTCTTCTTCTTCTTCTCCTTATCCTCCTTCGCCTTCTGCTTCGGAACAATTAGTAAAACTAGAAAAAATGTTGAAAAATCTCCTCTTGCTCGCTTTTATCAGCTGCGTCTTTTGCAAAGAATATTACACAGTTGTCTTTGACGCCGGATCATCCGGAACTCGTGTTTACATATACAAAATAAAGCAAAGGATCAATTTACTACCAGAAATCAAATTGGTAATCAACCATAAAGAAACTCCAGGTATCGATGATAAAAATATCGAAGACGTTGAAAGTTATTTGGAAAGTTTTACTCGAATAATAAAAGACAATGTACCAGACAATTTTAAAAAATTCACTAAAATTCACTTTTTGGCAACTGCAGGTTTGTACAAACAATTCATACTTTCTTTATTATTATTATTACTATTACTAAAGTTAGTCTTAGTAATACTAGTATTGGTATTAGTTTCCGTATTATAATTATTATTATTATTATTAATAATGGTAGTATATTAGTCTTTTTACTTGGAGGTTTTTCATAAAGTAGCATATTTTCCCTTATCGTTTTTTCAAGTTAAAGGCAAACAAACTGTTTTTATACTCGAAAGTTGACCGTGTACATAGAGTACGTATGTATATGTATATGGTTTAAAGGGAGAGTACTCTCTCTCTCTCTCTTTTTTTTGTTCAGTCAATCTTTTCAATATTCTTTAAACACCATAAACCTAACTCGTATATAATCTAAGGTTGAAAATTCATATATGCTGGCTTTGCAGTAGATTAAATTGAAATCTTGAAAAACTAAGGCAAAAGAAAGTCAGAAAAAGGGATATAATAATGTTTTAGGAATGGAAATATGCATATATAAATAAATATACCGATATATAGATGTATATAGAAGTAAATAGAAGTATTTATACAAGTTCTATATACACTTTTATTTTAATTAAAAAAAGAACAAAATAGAAATTAAATTAACTTGATAGTTTTTTTTTAAAAAAACAAAAAAAAAATCACTAATTCATTACGCAATATACTTGCACACCCTTTTATAGAGACAGAACACCATATATATATATATATAATGAAAAACAGGGAATATAAATTGGGTTATTTCTTGCTTACTTACAAAAAAATAATATGTTTAAACAGCTTTGACTATGCAAAGTGATGAAATTCGAAGCGTTTTATAATTGTTATTGGTTAACGGAGAATTTGTAAATAATTCTTAATACAAAAAATTACAAAAGAATAAGATGAGAGATTAGTTTAGAGTTCTTTTTTCAATCAACCAAATATGAAAATAATAGAATATTCCCTTTTCTCTCATTCTCTCTCTCTCTCTCTCTCTTTACTTAATCGATTTCTTGTTTTTTATATAAAAAAAAGAAAAGTTAACTTAATAACGTAACCTTTAAAATTACTATACTCAAACGAAAACAAGATAAAATGTAATAAAAATAATAGTTTTAAATGGGAAGAAAAAGCAAGAATTCTATTTGCAACATCTTTTTCATCTTTGTTTTCTTGCTCTCTCTCTCCCTCTCTCTCTCTCTCTCTCTCCATCTCTCAATCTCTATCTGTTTTAGTTTATTTGAAAGAAAAAAAATATTTTCAAGTCTAAATTAAGGCATTTAAGCTCTCGGTGGACATCAATTACTTTTTAACCACATACCGACTTGTAAGCGTTAATTTATTTTCTAAAAATAAATACTTCCAGGAATGAAAGCATTGTTAATTTTTAAGCAGTCTGATTTCTAACTAGAAAGATAAAGAGAGTAGAGTAGCCGACAGTAAAATACGCTTAAACACCGCCGATAGTGTTGTAACTATTGTCGCGTGTCCTCTATTGGGGAAAACGAGGCGAAAAGATATTTGTTTTATCCTCTCACTTAATTAAATTAACTGTCGACATTGAATTTTTGATTGAATACGCCTAGAGCGGCGTAGCCGAGTAAAGCCTCATTTCTGCTAATGGGCCTACATTACTTGAAAAAATATGAATATTTGTGTATTGTAGGATTTGTGAGTGAGTGTTTGAGTATGCTTATTATATTAGAGTATATATATATATATATATATATATATATATATGTGTGTGTGTGTATGTTTCGTCGTGGTGGTTGTGGTAGAGTACACCATTTAAACGGCCTATAAACAAGAGTAGACATTTATTGATTAAGTTAAGTTATTGGAAACATTTAGACCATAAAAGAAGAACACAGACACCGTAATTATAGTATTATATGGGCACGTGCTTCCCAAATGGTAACTTTGAATTCTATAGCTAAAAAATATGGCAGATTTGTAGATTTTTATTGAAAACACATCGGCCAACAGTGGTCGGAATTAATTTTTCCAGCTATATTTGATTTTATGGGGCGGACATATAGTGTTTTGGGAAATTTGCCATTGTTTGTAGTACTCTATCGGTTTTGCTTTTGCAGTAGGCCTAGATAACTTACTATTATTGTTATTTAATTGAATTTTTATATTGAGAAGAGAGAGAAGGAAAGAAAGAGAGCTAGATAGATAGATAGATAGATAGATAGATAGATAGATAGAGAGAAGAGAGAGGAAGAAGAAAGATGAGAAATCTTTTTTCTCTTTGGTTATTGTCTTTGTTTTCTTCTTTGTTTTTTGTTTCGAAAGGGATCGACAATAATATTTTGATATACTTTAGTTAATGTCGATTTGGAGGCGTACACCCCTCCCCCCCCCCGTCTCCTCCTCCTCTCTCTCACTCTCTCTCTCTCTGCCTGACTATCTATCTACATATCTTTCTGTCTAAGCTCCTATACGATTTGTTTACTCAGAAAGAGAACCAAAAATATGGCTGCTAAAGCAAATCCTTCATTTACTTCTCTTTCATTTCTATTTTGTTTCCTCTACCTTCGTTATATGTTACACTTGTAAACTGTTTATATTAACGTAAAAGACTTACCTTGACCTTGGCATTGGCAATGAATGACGTTAAATCTTTCAGTACTTCGGAATTGAGCTTTGTTATCATTAATAAATAGCGATAAAAAGAATTGCTCTCAAAGAAAGCCTAATTCCAAGTGGGCGTTAATATCCGATATATAGTTCCTCTCCTTTATGCGAATCGAGTTAATGACTTATGCATATAGAGTCTTTAAAGGGTTTTATACATATATACTGTATATATATATATATATATATCTAATCCGTAAGTGGAGGAAATTAAACTTGACTCCTTAACCGAGCTTAGCTCTTTTAAATTAAAGTTAAAGAGAAAGAGTCGACATAAATAGATTAATATAGATAGATAACTAAGTGGAAGGTTTGGGGCGGGGTTCGGGTGGAGAAAAGTTAAAATTGATTTAATGGAACAAAGAGAAAAATCCTAGAAGCACAGCTAGTTGGATGTATAGATAGATAGATAGAAAGAGACTTATTAATATTTCTAATCAAATGACCTAGATTTTTAATAAAAATTGAAAACTATTATATTGTTATTTATCTAGTAAAGTATACTTTTTTTTATAGTCTGATAAAGAAGATATACTTCGCAAAACTTAAATTTCATATTTAAGCTGAAATGTTTTATTGATTTTTATTACATAAGCATTTCTATAAAAGACGAATAAAGTTGTCCCTTTATGATGAATATTTTCAATAGATTTTCAAGAGAGTTAAAGTAGGGAGGAAGAAGTTAAGAATGACAGATAGGTAAATATTATTTAGGGAATATGTGATTGCGTACAACTATCTATAACAAGGCGCGTATATAGTATAATATTTCTATTGATATGCACATAAATTTTGGAATGAAAAAAGCCTATGTGCGAGTCCTTACTTGTAGATATGAAAACTTTATATATAAGTTACTACGTATATATATATATATATATATATATATTTACTTATTGGATTAACAATGAATATAGATAATAGACAACAAAAAAAAAAAGAATTAATGACATATATGAAAAAATCAAAGGTCGGAGGAGGAATAATGAATAATTGTATTACAACATTTCGGAAAAGGTTCACTACTTTTAACTGAATTTCTATTATTTTTCATTTACTTAAATAGGCCTTGTAGAATTGAAAATAAAGAGTAAAAAAAACCCTTTCCATATGTTTTTAGTTTACTGATAAACTGTCACTGTTGGTAAGCAAACATTCATTGAATATCGGGTTGTATTACGCGCAATTCATCCGATACGGATAATGCGAATTTTACCGTTAGATTCTAGGGGAAACAATATACTTGAATGAAAAAATAAATATATCAAACTATACCCCCTACAAAGCGAGAATGATTATTGTTTATTGTTTTATAATGATTTATAAAGTCCGGATTCTTATCAAGACAAAGGACGATTGCTAGTTGGAGGTTAGATAAACATGTCAAGTGGTTGTCGTGATCTTGAGCTCGATTAATTTTTAACGAGAGGGAGAGAGAGAGAGATAGAAACACTTGAACACTTAAAAATAACGCATTTCTTTAGTTCTTTATTTATTAATTAATCTAGTTTTCTTATTTTCTTTTTTATTAAATGTCCATCTAAAAAAAGTTGACCAACAATAAACTAAACTGTTACAGGAATGCGCCTTAGCAAGAAGACGGAGGCTCATAGGAAATTAGATCGTGTTCGTAAAGTTTTACGAAATTTAAAGCCTTTTCCATATGATAAATCAAACGTAAGAATCATGTCTGGAGAAGAAGAGGGTGCGTACACCTGGGTTGCTACCAATTACCTAACTAAACAATTGGAAAATGCTAACAAATGTAAGTTTTTCTCTTTTCCTTTTTCTTTCTCTCTCTTTCTCTTTCTCTCTTTCTCTCTCTCGCTCCTTCTCTCTCTGTCTCTCTTTCTGTTTATTTTCGAATAGATTACTTAAGTAATCTACCTTCAAGTCGTTTGCTGTTGAATTAAAAAAAAAACGGCGACATCTATTGACTAATTTATTAATTGTTCAATTCGACCATAAGTAATTTATACCTACAAACTGTGTATATACTGTATATACATGTATACTGTATAAGAAAGAAACAATTGCTATTGCATTGGTTCTTCTTTTATTTCTTTTTCTCTTTGGTTCATTTGTCTTTTATGAAAAAGTAAAGAAACAAAGAAACAAAGAAAAATGCTGTTCTTTATTAATTTAATTAAATATAAATCCAAAAAACATATCATTTTACAGCGCAAACAATTGGCATAGTCGAAATGGGAGGCGCTTCTAGTCAAATTGCATTCTTAAAAGAGGGGAATATTTTAGCCAACTTTTTCCAGGCCCAAATAGGCTTAAAACAGTTTCCTCTCTATTCACATTCCTATTTACACTATGGAAAAGATAAAGCCCTGGAATGGATCAGATCTTATTTGATGAGAAAGCATAAGAAGGGTATAATTGAAGATCCCTGTATGGTTGAAGGTAGGTGATAATTTCTAGATGATCCTTCATTTAAAACTACTTATCGTATTATGGTCGTAAAGCAACCAGTACTCTTTCCCCCCTACTCTTCATCGTGTCTAGCTGTTTATCTATCTATTTATCTACCTATTTATTTATTTATCAATCCCTCTCCCCCTCTCTCTGCCTGTTTGTATATCTATATATCTATATACCTATATATCTATATATCTACCCAACTATTCATCTATCCATCTATCCATTCCGTTTCCATTCAGTAGTGAAAGAGCGTAGAATATACTTGAAAGTACGTTAGATAATTTAAAGTAATTACAACAATGAATTGATATTAATTTAAATAGAAATTATAGAGATTCTTCTAACAGGATTTATCGTTTTGAAGTTAGCATTTCTCATCTATAACTCAATCACTCTTCCTCCTTTCCTTTTTTCTATTTACTTGTAAAAGAATGAATAAATTATACGGATACTTATTGTTGAACACGGAATTATCATTGATTCGCAAATTGATCCTTTCCAAATCGTCTAAACGTATTATTATACTCTTTTTATTATTTTATTTCATAATTTACTAAAACTATATAAAACTTCTGCTTCCTCTTTTTCTTCTTCCTCTTCTTCTTCTTCTTCTTCATCTTCTGTTCCTTTTTATTATATATTCGTTTTCTGCCTCCTCTATTTCAGTACGAAACTTTTACACTAGTTTTAATTAACTTTTCAAAGCGCGCACATAGGCACACCCGCACACACACACACACACACACACCTTCCCTTTCCCCCTTTGCCACTCTCTCCTTCTTTCTCTCTCTTTTATAATTTACTCTATTCCGCTTTTTCCACTTATCCGATAGATGGCATATCATTCCTCTGAACATGGCCTTTCTCTCTTTCAACTCCCTTGTAACGACTATATATATATATATATACATACTGTATATTTAGATAAAAGTATAACAAGTGATGAAGGACCATTCAAACAGTAAAATGTTGATTTATTCAGGAACTGATGATGGAAAAGAATTTCGGGTGGCGAATCGAACTTTTAAGGCAAAGCCGAATTACGAAGAATGCGTTCGCCTAATCAATTATTTTATATACGAAGCTCCCGATGATCGATGTTATCCAACACCCTGCGCGATTGGAACCACTTATCAGCCAAAACCGGATGAAAATATGAAATTCTATACTTTAGCAACATTTTTCTGGTCGTTAAAGAATTTAAAGTTACACGATCAGAGAGAGAATGTGAAAGATTACGATCAAGCGACCTTTACAATTGAGAATGTTAAACAAAAGATCAGGAAATACTTTAATGATTCTGATCCATTTAAAGAATTAGAAAGAAATCCTAAATTTCCATTAAGAAAGGAACTTTTTAGTTCGTTATACGCAATAGAATTATTAACAGATGGCCTAAATTTCAAAGAGGATCGTGTATTTACAGCCGTTAGCAAAATAGGTGATCATTCAATCGGTAAGAACAAGAAAAAAGACAATAAACAAGTCAAATAAAGAGATAGCTTTGTTTTTTTTGTTGGTTTTTCTTTTCTTTTTACATTTCTATTCTCTATTTACCGCAGATTGGACGTTGGGATTGGCTTTACGTTTGGCCGATTTCAAGATCTGCGATCAGGTATTATTTTACTTTCTTGAAATGTTTACTCTTTTCTTAAAAGGCCTAATTTAATGCTATTTTCAACAGAAATCAACCCAAATACATCTTCTGAAGCAAGGTGGAACATTGATATTTCCTTCAGTTGGTCTCTTATTAATATGTCTCATTACTGCGTATGCTTTTACAAAAAATACTTTGTTATGAACTTGAATATTTTTCTCTATGTAAGAAAAGAAAACAAATAAACAAACAAACAAACAAACAAACAAACGAGCCGAGAGAAGAGAAAGATGAGTTTTTCTATTGGTTTCCTTAAAGGAAAGATACAATTAGAAAATGTTGATTGAATATAAAATTCAGTTTTGTTTGTTTGTTTGAACAAAAAAAAGGAAAGAAAAAGGAAAAAAAGAGGGAAAAAAAATTATGTTAATATGGAAAAAGAGAACTTTAAAGATTTAATTAAGAAAATATTTCTGTGTAGGAAAAATATAAGAAGATAAGAAGAGAAAGAATATCTGTTGTCTTAATATCAATATGATTATTACTAATATTATCGCTATTACTATTGTTATTTGATTTGAAAACAATGAATGAAAAGTTTTTTTGTTTTTCTTTATTTTCTTTCTTTCTCTCTGTCTGTCTGTCTGTCTGTCTGTCTGTCTGTCTGTCTCTCTCTCTCTCTCTTTCTTTCTGCTTTCCTTCCTCTCCTTTAAAATAGAAGAACGTATGTTCAGTAAAAAATTAACGTATTAATAAGTGTTAAACTCTTTTCTTTATGTTTTAAGCACATTGTCTATCATGATTTTACTGTCATCTGTGAATATACGCTTTATTAAACAAAGGAAATAATTGATTTTGTTCTAAATCAATTGTTATCTAAATAATCTGTCTAAAATAAAATTAAACAAGCTGACAATACTGTATGCTAAGTACTCGAAAGCTTTTTTCCGTTTCTCTACTAAGACACTAGGTGGCGTTATTGAATCGTAATAATAAAAAACAAAAAAAGTTTTTGTAGTGGGTGTTTTCGTCATTATTTTACGGATGAGGATTTTGGTTTGTTGTATCCTGATTATTCCATTATTGTTAGCGAGCAATAGATGTGTATATAGAGTTAATAAAGTCGATAGAAGTAATTTTTATCAAAATGAAATCACTTTGGGTGGTGTTGAAAAAATGAAGGTTATTAATAGTGATTAATTATTCTCCTTAGTTAGCTAGCTAGCCAGCGAACGAACAAGATTTAATAGCTTAAATTAAGAGATTGTTGAATACTACGCATAGTATACAATATAATCAATTACATAGACACGTCTGTTCAATAGGAAATCATCCTGGCCAAAGATGCTTTTTATTCTTTTCTTATTCTCTTCTTACAGAAATGAAATAAAAAGGAGAAATATCAATTAAATAAAAAAAACAATTAAAAAAATAACATAACGTAATGACGTAATTATATAACATTTCTGTTTGTTTGTTTGTTTTGTTTTCATGATTAATTAATTAATTAATCAATTAATTAATTAAGTTTTAACTGCATAGGGTAAAAAAATCAGAATATAATTTCTATGTATATTTAAAACATATACAGTTTTTTTATGTTCTGCTTCAAACTTCTGACGTATGCAAAACATTCTTCTCCGGTATCTCTTCCAACAATTCGACATGTGATCTTCTTCCATGATTTATTCTACTTGTAGGTCTTGTTTCAACAGCTGTATCATCCCTAGGCCTACATAATATTACCCTATTTTTCAACAATTCCGTCAATTTCGTATTCACATGACACATACTATCCTGCAGAACTTTTTGATGAGCTTTCAAGGTCATAAATTCATCTTGAATAGACGTAACCCCTCTCTTAACATCGTCAAGTTCCCCACCCACGTTATTCCCTTCCGAATTAACGCTGGCTGCGTTCAAGTTATCAAAAATAAATCGCTTAACAACCCTCTTGATTACCTTATCGTATGATCGCCTATCCGGCTGCAATTTCAATGCAGTTTCCAGTAATTTTTCATCATCACAATTCTCTTCGTCCAACGTAACGGCGGTCGTCATTTGAAAGGCGTGACCGTCGTTCAGAGACATTTTACCCGAATTTCTACTTCCAGTAGACTGTTTACGTAATAAAAGCGTCTTGGGTACTCTAATTGTTTTGCAGTTTTTGGCAATGTGCTTGATAATGTAAAGAAAAGATTTCGGCGAAGGTATTATATTGAATGGAACGGGTAAGGTTGAACCATCCTTGATAAATTCCATATAAAGTCGAGATCTAGCGAATTTCCATTCCATATCTTGGTCGGTCTAAGAAGGGAAGAGATGTTTGTTTGTTGATTATTTTGATTATGTATTAGATTATATCAAGGAGTAACTTACGGCTATCTTATCAAAACTTCTAGTCATTCTTGCTATTAACATGTTTAGTAAAATAATAGTTGCTCCCCAATTATAAACAGCAAATACTATATAACCAACACTCTCCGTAAATCGTCCTTTAGACGCTTTTCCTAATTCAACAACTTTGTAATCTTCTAAACCAAAAATAGACCAGAAAACTGTGCGAAATGTCAATTCAATTCTGAAAGGGAAAAGCAGGTGTTCCTTTAATGATTAGATGAATGAATGAATGAATGAATAAGAGATGAATGAACAAATTGACCATTTAGGTAACTAGCTATTAAGTAAATATGTAATATTATTGCTTACGTTCCGAATCCTCTTTCCGCTCTTGTTGTTATATTATGCTTGAAAATTTCCATAGATTTAACATTTTCCAGTTCGTAGTACCAATACAAATTATGCAAACCAACCATAAAGGCAACAAATAGAAGGACAAAAGTAACCATAAACTTCATAACGTCCTTTAGAATGGAAAAAGGAGAAACAATCGAATAAAAAATGGGAAAAATATTAAATAATTGTAGAGAGAGAGAGAGAGCTGAAGAGGAGGTGAGGGAGAGGGGGAGGATAGAGAACAAGCAATGACAAATAAAGGAATTTTGTTTTATGCCTTTTTATAACATTTGCAGTATCACTTTATTTATATGTTTGGAAAAGTATGAGTTGATGCATGATTAAAGCGATAGAGGAAATTGAGGTCACTTTGTAGTACATAAATAGCTTGTTAACCGTATTGTATCGTTTATAGTAAAAGTATTTATACATGTTTGTAAATATATTATATAGTTTACAGTTGATTATATATGCAGCATGCTGAAAATTGTATATATTCCCAATATACTGTATAAAACACAAGCCTTTTACTGTTTTGTATACTGTATAAAGTGTATATATATAAATTTATATAGATATATCAGTTATATAGACGGCAAATGCCAATATTATATTCTATTGCCTTCATTATTGCGTAATAAATGGGAAATATTTGTAAAATAGAAATTGTGCAACGTTCGGAGGATTTATATTGAAATATATAGGAAGGAAAAAAAGTCCCTATTGGACTGTTAAGATATTGCAAAAGAGTACGTAAAGAGAGAAACTAACCTTTATCATTTTTTCTAGCGATATAAGCATAGGTCCTAAATGATCGTTTATTGCTAAAAGATAGTAGAGACGAGCGAAACTGAGTATATTAGCTAAAGCAAAAAAAGCCTCTGATAATTTATAAGGATCCCAAATGTCCCAGTAGTATCGATCTATAATGTTGGAAAATATCATTATCAATAATATATTTGAATAAGCTGTTTATTGACCGGCAACTATCCAATAGCTGTTGTACATGGCTTCGGCATCGTTTGCCACAAGTTTCTCCCAAGATGCGTGGAGTTTAAAGTATTTCAAGGCGTGATTAGTCTGTTCGTGAGATTAATTATTAATTACTTCAAGAATTGATTTATCTTATCTTTTTCAATTGATTACCTTGAAGAAAGTAACAAATCTCAAGACGAACGATGCTACGTAAAACTTGAGCATAAAGAAATCAACATAATTGTATATGGATGAAAAATGCGTAAAAGCACCGTCACTGTACAACTGCTTACATTCCTGCCAAACAAGTCCTGCAGTATAAATATATTTATTATTATCAGTTGTTCATCTTATCTAGCCCAGTATTTTTATCCCTAATCTACGTAATTAATGTAAAAATATTATAATTGGTCGTAAGAGATTACATCACTATTGTAAGAGCCAAAGAGAGAGAGGGAGAGAGAGAGAAAGAGAAAAAGATATCCGTCTCTTCTTACCTAGAATCCATACGCATATGCCTAATTGGATAGCGCTTAGATGATATTCCCTTGTGCAGACCCGATTTCCATTCAGATTAGCTAGGATAAGAACGTCAAAACTTCGGTTTTTCGATAATCCCTCCAAGAATTTCGAAAAGGGTGCCTCGAATTGAAAATGAATACAACCCCTACTCCTTTCAAGAAGACTATGCCCAATAATCATTGTAAGGAATGCCACAAAGGAACAAGTTTGGGCTATAAATTTTATACAAGGCGTCCGAAGGAAGTCTCCAATCTGTATATGATTAACATTGATTTGTATATATAAATAATTTAAAGACAGTATATATATATATATATATATATATATATATATGTAAATGAACAAATATTAATAAGTTAATGAATGAATGAATGAATGAATAAATTAATTAATTAATATTAAATATATAGTTAGTTAGCTATCTAATTTGTCCATAAAAAACGTATCTATTTCTATATATATTACATATTTTCTAACCTAACCCTAACCTAACCTATTACATAAGAGAGTAATAATAATAGAATAATCGCCAACTATTATTGAATTACTATTAATAGAGTATCCGTTTCAAGCGGCCAACATTCTTTTGTAATCAACTAATAGACAGTAAATCATAGCCTAATTAATTATTTTCAATAAACTGTCGATAGTTGACGTAAGCTGTTCTCTCTAACTAACTGATACAATCTTTCTTTCTTTCTTTCTTCTTTACTTTCTAGCTCGTTGCTTTCTTTTACGACCACTATCTGTCTGTCTGTAAGGTAACCCTACTTGTTTAGCAATACATTTGATGATGTGATATTACAGGGAAAAGTCAAGACAACACCAACAAAAAGCATAAAGTGATTGATTTGCCGTACAGTAGATGTGTACAATATTACTGTATACAATACAATGAGTGATGTATATAATTGAATATACCGTTATACTATCTTAAAAGAAAAAGAAGAGATAATGAGCATACTTTGTTACGTAAGCTTAAATTGATGTTGGTGTTACATGTTTAATATGGCATATACATATATCTCTCTTTGACTTTTAATAGTATCCTTTCTTTATTTGTATGAATAATGAAATATAAAAAATTACAATAACAACAGAAATTTATGAAAAGATTCTCTAATTTTCAATGGTTAATTGAATAGTTAATTAATTAATTAATTCATTGATTAATTCATTAATTAATAAAGATAATTTAACAGAGGAGAGATAAAAAAAGAAAAGAAAAAAGAATAGGTGAAAGTGACTTTAATAACTGATTTATTTGGTGTAGTTTTTAATAGTTTTTTTTTGTAGAGACATTTTACATTTATATAGGTGTAAATAGGAAACATTTGACCTTAAGTAGTAGTCTTTTTAAATGGGTATTTGCTTGATTAAATTTTTTAAATTGGCTCTGTATGTGTATATAAAAATTTTTACTAATTATTTAAGAATTTATTATAATCAAACACAAATAGAAATATGAATAAATTAATAAATAAATAAATATTATTGAAGAGAAGATATGACATTGTCGTCATATCATCTTTGTACGGTTTAATACTTTTCTCCATTTTTCCCCTCAGACGTTTCTATCCCTTCCCACATCTTTGATTTAATAGGAAAGAAACGGAAAAAGGCAAGAGCAAGGAGCATTTGGAAGTTAATATTTCTATTAAATTAAAGCTACTGTTAAAAGTACTTTTCCTCTCCTTCTTCTTCTTCTTCTTCCTCATTTCTCTTATTTTCTATTCACTTAAAAGTAATTTTTTAATTATTTTGAAAAAGAGAAATCCTTTTAATTTATCTTTTATAGATTTCCTCATTTATTTACAAATAAAGATAAAAGTAGGAAACATTTGCTTTAGGGCATCCTCTCCAATTACCAAGAGGTAATTGGATACAACTAGATTTCCAGTCGCCCAAAGATGCTTCAAATATTTAATTCTTACATTTATTTATTTTATAAAACACTGCTCTGTAAAATTACTTTCACTCTTATAGATCGAAAATCCAATTTATCCTGTTTGAAATGCAATTCTCTTTTCCGAAACGAGTTCAAGAGGTCAAAAGAACCTTTTCTTTTTTATCCAACCACTCTTTTTAGCGTTTTATAAGGCAGAAAGAGAAAGGAAAAGTATAACTAGTATTCGGTTTTTGTTGAATTATTCACTTTTAAAAGAGGAGAAGGATTGATAGAGAGAAAAGGAAAGTTTATTGTATAAATCAAATAGATAAATAAAGAGGAAAATCAAGTATTAAACAGAGAGAAAAAGCAAAAAAAAAGGGGTAATAACAGAACTTGTTCTACCTAATGAAAATCTGTAAACGCCTTATTTAAGAAAGTGTTAATTAATTAATGGTTAATTAAAACTAATAATAGAAAAGTATAAATCCAGTATATAAACTATATACTGGATATTTATTTATTTATTTATTAGTTCATTTTGTTTGTTTGTTTGTTTTGTTTTGTTTATTTTTTTTATTTATTTTAATTATTCATGTAAATATTATTTAAAGAAAGAACAACTTACTTTACTCTTCGGAGCTATTAGATACAGGATAACCAAAAGTGGATAGAAAATCACCAAAGAGCCCACAAACAATATGCATATGGGCCAGGCTTTGTGAAGAACGTAACCGTATTGGGCGTACCACATAGATGTTAGCATTTTTTGACAACTCGGATGGGCGACAAACTAATCAAATCAGCAAAAAAAAGTTTGTACTCTACGAGTTGAAAGCAAAAAAACTTTAATGTTACCATTTTTTCCTTGTAATCGATAGCCAATTTCATTCTTGCTAATCTCTCTCCATCCTCTAATTCACTGCATCCATGAGTAGCGTTCAAGATTGTATTCAATTCTTCATTTCCGTGTACTTTTTCCAGTAGTTTAACAACGTAGGCCGAAAGTGAATGAGCCATAACGGTATATTCGGCCTGAAGAGGAATAGAGTATTTTTTTATTATTCCAATATAATTAATTTTCTACAATAATAAAAGAAAGGAGAAGAAAGATAGAGAAATGAGGAAAAGAACACGTTATTGGTATATAAATGAAAGAGTCAAACAATTCTGTTTCTTTCTCTCTCTCTCTCTCTCTCTCTCTCCATTGAACTAATTCGATAAAAAATGAAACCTTTCTCTCTAAAAATAAAAAAAAATTCTCTATTAAAAGAGAGAAGAGAGAAGAAAGAAAGAAAGAGTGAGAGAGAAAGAGAGAGAGAGAGAGAGAGAAAGAGCTAGAGATAAAGAAGGAAAAAGAAAAGAAGATACAAAATTACTACCAATTGACCATTGTAATAAGAAATTCAATACTATTATTCAAGAATATCTCTCCTACATACTTGATGTGTTTGCATAGAAAGGAAGAGGAAACCTTATGAAGTCCCGAATGGTTAATCTTTTTTATAGAGAATATAGGAACAGTACATATTATTTATTTATATATAACAATAGATTGACGGAGAAAGAGAAAAGAAGAGAAAACATATTTAATACTTCTTATCAAGATCTTACTATTAAGAGGAAGGCTTGGATTTTATTAGTTTTAATTAAATAATTAATTTCATAAAGTTAAAAGTCATTGGTAGGCAACGAGGACAACAGATACTGCACCTTTTAAAGAGAAAATGAAAGAGAAAATGTACTAGATATGCGTACGAATTTAATGATAAACTGTGAAAAGCATTGGATAAAAGAGAAAAGAAAAAATAACCTATAACCTTTAAGAATAAAGCCAGAAGAAACGTCAATTTATAAAAACGGCTATATGAGACGTACAGATTGATTAGATCTATTAAAAGGTACGGTTTTAAAACCACATACTGTACATATATATAAATTGATATGTATACTAATTTATATATAGCTTCCTCCCTATATATATATATATATATATAATTCGACATTGAACATAATAAGTCTTTAGTCTCTCTATATTATATTTACTTGTAATTTCTCACATGAAAAACCACACAGCTTATCACGCTCAAGGGATTAGGAAAATGACCGTGAGATTAATGAAACAGAAAAATTTCAGCTTGCTAACCGCAATATCTATTTTCTAGACAACCTTGTGGGAACATTTTTGAAAAAAATATCAAAATTTATTCATATAATCAGAGAAAGTCAAGTAAAGTTTAAGCCTATAGGGATGGAGCATTTCTGCTGGTTTTTTTTCTTTTACCCTCTGTCTCTCTCTCTCTCTTTCTTTCTTTCTTTCTTTATACTTCTCGTGCATTCTCTCTCTAGTGTGTTAAATATATTATGTACCTTTACTTGCTCAAGTGCACTTTGTTATTCTAGTATTTAGGATAAAAGATAAAGATATTATTAAACCGTTATTTTTGGTATTGTACGAACTATATATAAATGCATTATATATGCCTTATAGAGAGAAAAATTAGCTATCTTTCTTCTGGAGCAAAACCAATTATCTTTCACTTTAATAGACCCTTCCTTTTTTGTCTTTTAAAAAGAAAACAGCAATGACGCAATTGGAACAGAAAAGAGGAAATTACTATTTATAGTACTTCTAGAAAAGAGGGTTACTTTTTTCATTTAGCAAATAAAATAGGAAAATGGTCTAACTAAGGGAAAGTACTTTCTTTTTTATCATCATTTAGTCCTATAATTTCAAAGACTTACTTTGTAGTATTTTTCGGCACTGGCAACGTCTCGCAACTCCCTTGCCAATTGAAAAGCTGTAAGGATTGGATCTTTACTGCTTAAACTTATATAACTTTCGCTAGCCAATCCTTTATAGGCGTTTAGACGGGATTTTGCAAATTTCAACTCGTCAGATGTAGCTTTCCTAACGCAATTCGAACAGGAACAGGCGTGATGATGAGGTTTATCGATAACGGAACCTTTCCTTAGTAGGGCCATAACCACTTCATACCTGTAAAAGATATCCTTAAATAAAACAAACAAAGTCTACGTTCTGCAAACTGCATTTAACTCGTTAAAAAGTTGCAATACCGAATGTTTATTAGCCTAGTTTCTAGGTAGTTTTCTTATTAGAGTTTATCATTCGCGTGTTTGGTGTATTTCCTATCTAATCCCCCCCCCCGCTCTCTCTCTCTATCTCTCGCTACTCTTTCATTATATTTCCCTCCTAAGGTCTTTTTTTATAAAAATATATATGAAATAAAGTAGGAAGAGTCTGGGAAACAAATGAAAAATTTATGTTTAATCAATAAATATTTAATTGTCAATTATTACGCTCTGAATGGAATTTGATGTTTTACGAAATGCCGGAAAGAGAATGTGATCTGAATTCTTTGGCAGGCTAGTCTTTAAGAATATTTAATTATTAATCAATCTATTCCTCCTTATTAATTGACAGTAATGTAAACATATTAGAAATATTTCCAACATAATATCGCTATCTATCAATGTAAGCAGTATATGCAAGTTTATATAGTGTTAGAGATTAATAGGCGGATAGATAGAAACTTGCGCTAATTATCTACTGCAAAAAAGTTGCAAGTGCACCTATTTCGTTTTAAATCAAATGATACATTAATAATAAAGTTTGTGTTACAATAAAATTTAAAAAAGTGAATAATACAATGAAAAGAGAAAGAGATACAACTCTTTGTCTTTCAATTAGTACGAAGAAAAGAGAAGAAGCGTTCTCTTTACATTTGTACTATAAAATCGTATACAAAGTAGAAATGATGAAATAAATCGATAGATAGAATTTATTCTATATATCATTTTTCTCTTACACTCTTCTTACTTTTGTATACAATAAAGGCCTAAATGTAAATTGTAAAATTCAAGGGAGAAATGAAAAAGACTGAAGGAAAGCAACAACCTAGAATTATTTAAAGTGTATCAAATTTAAATAAAAACAAATCAGTCTACTTTTGTTATTTTGCTTATTTTCCCACTTAATTCAAGCATGAATTTGTTACTTTAGTGCAGGGATATAATTATCGAATCGTAACAGGCGAAAAGGAAGAAAGAGATGGATCGTTTACTGTTTAATTATGTGCCTAGGGCTAGTTTGAAAGGTCAGTCAATCATTTGTTTACTGGTAAGGTCCCAACTGTTGTCTATATATGTACAGTAAAAAATAGTGTATTTACAGTAAATAAAATGTATACTGTAGATGATATGCGTAGAATGTATTACTTTGGAAAAGCCTGTCTAAAGTATAAAAGGCGCTTAATACTTTCTTTTATATAAACCATTAGATTTACAGCTAAATAAATCATGTTAGCAGTTAACATTTTCCTTTTCTCTTATAATTTTTATGATTAATCAATACTATATTTTTCATTTATAAAAACAGTAAAATGTCTCTTTTTCTATTTATTATTTGGTTTTGAAATGAGCGAGGCGTCACTTTTCAGAAGGTTAAAAGAGGAGGGTAGAAGGAATAAAAAAAAACAGAAGGAAAAGCATATGCTACAGTTCACATTTGTATCCTTTTACAGAATTTATTGTATGTTATTTATTAAAAAAAGCTTAAATTAACTTTTCATGTTTGTTTTGTAAAGAAATTTAAAAACTATATAGATTTATTTCTCTTCCTTTCCCACTCTCCCCTCTTCACTCTCTCTCTCTTTACACAGTGATTGAATGATTGATTGAATGATTAATTGATAAATTTCTGTGGAAAAAAATGAATTTAAACCATATAAGGAGAGAGAGAGAGAGAGAGAGAGAGAGAGAATATGAGATTATGATAAAAGTAAAAGATAAAAAAGAGAATAATAATATTTTAATAATAATAGAAATAGCTATTGCGACTCTGGAATGAAAACAAAAAAGGGTTTCGGGATATAAAAGACAAAAAAAAAAACAATATATAAATATATTTAACCAAATCGATGTATTTGTTGAAAAAAACAGAGAAAACTAAGGTAAAGAGGAAGAAAAAAATGATAAAATAAGGATCAATTTTTATTGTATTCTCTCTCTCTCTCTGTCTCTCTGTCTCTCTCTCTCTCTCTGTCGTTCTTCTAACTCTTCGTTTCGTTTATAATGGGAAAACGAAAGATAAATAAGAGGATGTTTAAGGGGAAAAATGTTGATCTTGTTATAGTTTTTTTTTATATTTTCACCAATAATCTCTATCAAATTTATATAATGTACAATATAAAAGAGAGAATATTGAAAGACTATACAATATGTACAATATATTGTATTCTGTATACGTTTTTAATCGGATATTGCTTTAATCTACTTTACTCTCCTTGGATCCTACAGAGAGTTCACCTCAGGAAAAAGCTCTACAATTTATTAATAATTTTATTAATCATCTACCTATCCATTCGTTCGTTTGTTCGTTCATTCATTCGTTCATTCGTTCGTTCAATCATTCACCTATTCGTATTCCCTTCTCTCCTTTCTCTCCTTTTTTCTCCTTCCCTACCTACTCTCCACATTCTTTTTCCACCAGCTGTGTTTCTTAATTATGAATTAAAAGTTTAGTTTGACAGCTTTTTACTATAAACTGCTTGACACTGCAATAGCAATCAAGACGCTGATTTGTTTGTATAAACTCTCTTTTGAAAGGTCAAGAGGAAGTAATAAACCGTATCTATGCCGATACTAATTTAAATATTTTCTGAAGTTTTTCCTTTGGAGAGAATAAATTGTTATTAATTTAATTACCCTCTCTTTCTTTCTCTCTCTCTCTCTCTCTCTCTCTCTCTCTCTTTCTTTCTTTCTTCTCTTCGAGACTTGGTTAAGGATTGAAGTAATTGATTTAAAAATCACCTCTAATCATTTAATGTCCCTAGCATTTGGTCTTTGATGTCAATTCCGTGTATAGACGACGGCTGAGAGGCCTTTTTTTTGTTTTCTTTTTTTACTGGACCCTCATCATTCCCCTTTTATGCCTAACTCTATCAGTAGACTGCTCGTCTAATCCACTAGCTAGTAAAGATCTCGTATCACGTCATACTGATTTCGTTTAAAAAAAGTAATATTAGAACATATTCTACTATTTATTTAAGGGTAGATGAGTACTGATAAAAGTAGATTGTAACATTGTAATAATGTATAATTAATCTAAAGTTATATCAAGAGTATAAAGACAATTACACGGCTTAAATGGCTTGTTAACGGCGCTTTTTAAACGATAAACCAAAAACGAAACATAGTGTACAGATATTAATAGAATACACAAACCTGTTATGCTCAGATGCAACAATCAAAGGACTCGTCTCGGTGCTCCAATGCGAACAATCTTCGTCCAATTCATCTTCGTGAATAGTACCCCGTCTATCGGAACTGGACCTAGATCCTTGTTTAAAGTGTGCAGCGTCAAACTCTTCATATTTTGGATGTTCCAATATAGTAAGTGCAATATCATCGAAGGCTAACGTTATTGCTAACAAGAGACCCTCGTGAATTGCCCTCGAGTCAACTCTATCTAGGATAATTTCAACAACATCCTGATGTTCGTTCGCAATCGCTAATTGCAGAGGTGTTCGCCCCAACGTGTCCGTTACGCTAACGTCTACTTCCGAACTTCTTCTCAATAGGTTCTTTAATTTTTTCACATCTCCGGTTTCGCATACGTAGAGTAGTTCTTGTTCTTCCACGCTCGTCTAGTAATTAAATAGAGAAGAATGTAAAAAAATGACTATACTCCAACATATACTGTATACTATACAGTGTATATTGTTTATACGCTGTGTATTTGATTCTTTTCATATCTATCCTAATTATTTTCATCTTGAAAGATTCATTTGGAGAAGAAAATCGGAGAGAAGCTAGAGGATTTATAGACAGTAAAATTGATAACTTAAATTTTTTATGCTTTGTACGAAAGCTTTATGGCCAATAAAGCAAGTTGGTCAAGTTCTTAATAAGAAGCTTTTACCATTATTTCAATATAATTTAAACAGATTTCTTGTATTAATAACTTGACTTATCCTTTATTGAAATATCTAATGATAAGGATATATTTAAAATACTTTTTTATCGCTGTTTTGTCAGCAATTCGACGTTTTTAATGCATTTTATTAATCGAATTCTTTGTCTCTCTCTCTCGCCTTCTAACACACTTTCTTTTTAAATAAACGGAAAAGATAGAGAGAAGAAGAGAAAAAAGAAAAAACTTCAATTAGTATTCGGTTTAATTTAAATAAACAAACTTTAAGAAAATTACTGTAAAGTCGTCTGTATACATTAGGTTATAACAGAAACATTAGCCGAGCTAATAAAAGAGAAGGGTGTTTATATAATGTACAAGCAGGCTAAAGCTGTATGGATAAACTGGTAGGAAATACATTAGATAGCTCAGTCTCCAATCCTCAAGGTTGGTACTACTGATCAATTCTTTACAAAATGCTTCTTGTTATTTAATACTTTGGGTTTTCTATGTTCGATTTGAGAAAAGTAATAGGTGTTACGAAATTGTTTCTATCTCTTCCATTCTTTCCTCCTCTCTTTCATTCTTTCTTTTTCTCTTTCATTAATTCATTCATTCATTCATTCATCCATCCATTCTTTCCTCCTTTCTTTGATGAGAGAAAAATTCTTGTTACTCAACACCCTTAATCGGATAACCTTATATATTCTATTTGTTTATTTACGTAATCGTAATTATATAATCTTGGTAGATATTTTCTCAAGAGTGGGCCTTTTCTATACAAATTTTTGCTGAGAGCGATTCTTGAGTCTTGAAAAATAAATAGCAGGTGCTAGAAGAAATCTTCTAGATTATGTAATAGTGGAAAGGAGAGGAAAAAGAGATAAAGTAACTAATAGAGTGTAAGCTAAAGTGTTCCTGTAAAGAAGAGATGTGCACGCGTGCAAGCGAGTGTATATTATAAAATTGTATATATAGCTTTATAAGAGTACATTTATGTATTGTACGGGCGTCTAAATTATTTGTTTTGAAGAAAAAATCACATTTTATCGTTAGCTATGTAGGCTGATTGATAAATGCTACTTATTTAGAATATAGGCTGTATTTGTATAACTCTGTGCTTCTGTGCCCGCTAGACCGAGACGGAGGTGACCCAACCGAGTCCTTACGCTTTTCCTCTTATTTGCTCAACTGTGAAATCTACTAGATAAGATAGAAAGAAAGAAGAATCATTCGCAAAAAGACAAAGTTAAAGTCTAAAAAGACAAAAAACAAAAATGCTTATAAAGTCCTCCGTCTCTTTCTTTCTCCCTCTCTCTCTCTCTCTCTCTCTCTCTCTCTCTCTCTCTCTCTCTCTCTCTCTCTTTCTCTCTGTGTCTTTCCGACGTATAAAAAAAATGTATTCATCTTAATACGCTCGAGTTTTTTCGGTCTTAATAAGACTTTAATATATAATGAGATTTTCTTTCTTATCACCAGATTAAAAGGGGAAATTAATTAAAAAAAACTTAACTTTCCTAAAATGGTAACAAATTCCCAGGTAAACTTGACTATATAATCTGACAATAGAAGTGGTACCTCACCTTAAAATAGACCTATAGTAGAGAGAGTACGCCACGCTTACTTAACCACCAATTAGGCTACTATCGCTGCTGTTTAATTTTCAGTCTTTTACTTAGAAAGGAGAGAATACAATATGTTTTTTATTATCTATTTTATATAACTATTTATTAATAAGTTTTATATTAAAATATTGCCAATAAAACTGGAAAAATAGTCACTGAACAGGAAATTATTAAATGAAAAATTAGTCATATTTTTTTTCTCTTTCTTCTTCCTCTTTTTACTCTTTTATCAATTGTCATCATCGTCATCCTCGTCAGTTTTTTGTTCTTTCCTTTCATTTTAACTAAACTACTCAATCATTGATCAAACTCTCCTAATCTCGCGGCAACAGATTCACTCTAAAAGCCTAATCTTACAATGACTACAAACAGTCGACAGGAAACGGATATAGAAAGTTTCCGTATTTAAATAGTCTTCTATGGGCTTAACGAACGTTCAACAAGCGTCTAAAATAGGGTTGAGATTCGTTACGAACCGTCCGTCCGTAGACTCAATTGCAAACGTCGATTACGGGAGGGGGCGCTGGATAAAAAGGGAAGGAAAAATATCACGATTCGCGAATTATCGGCCGATATCTCTTGGAAAATTTCAAATAGCCTCCTAAATAAGCTTAATAGACGGTTTATAGATGAATGAAAAGCCTACCGTTCTTTCATATCCGGCTTCTTGATTGTTCAAAATGGACGCTGTTAGTGCACAAAGTGTATCTCTTCTCTGCCGTCTCGAGTGCCGTCTATTTCGGCCTACTGAAGCGTCTAAAAAAGAAAATAAAGCATTATATATAGACTTTTATCGGTTAGAGTTGATTTTTAAAACACTTATTGTGTAAGATGACTATTATTAGTAGTAGCTGATATTTTTTAAGTAGATATTTAACGGTTGAATTTAATGGCATTTTCTCTATTGAAAAAACATGAAAGAGGCGGGGCTTATGGGTAGAAAAGGAAAAAACATAATATTTCTTCCAAAAAAACTTCAACTCCCACCGGCTTCCCTCCCACTGTTCCCGCCCTGTCTAAAAGAAAAAAGACGAGTTGGAAAGAACTCGGCATTGAGATATTGAATATGTCGCTATTTACAGCATTTATTCAACATAAATTCCTTTCGTACTGTTAATTATAAAGTTGTAGTTAATCCGAATAGTAATTAGACATAGAAGGAAAGAAAACACTCTTTAAAGAGCGCTTTTATTGATTGATTGAATAGTCACAAAATTTTAGCTGGGAAGCGGAAGGAAGAGAATAAGAAGAAAAGGGAAAAGATGGAGGTAAGGAAGGGAAGAGAGAATGCCGTGTTCCCTTTTCAAGACATTTCTTCTTCAAGGAATATCCTCTAGTTTTTTCTTTTTATCAGAAATTCTTTCGGTTAGATCTTTCCCTTATCTTAATACGTCGAGTGAGACCCTAGTTCAATTATATATCTCTTCTTCTTCCTTACTTTTCCTACTTTTACATTACTCACCTTCGTTCATTCTTGCTTTGATTAATCCGACGGAATAAATACTCTCCCGCAACACAGGAACATAACAACTATAATGCGCGGCGTCTCTGCGCCAACTGCAAAAATTCCGGCCGCAATCAACGCTAGTCGCTTTCTCTTTTATTTCAACGAATTATTGTAAAGGGGAAAAAATTGCTGGTATTTTGCCCGTCGATTCACCCAACATTCCGAACTGCAATGTTAGTTTACATTTACGGCGTTATATGTTGTTTGGTTTGGGGGCTGCCTTGTTTGTTAGGCCTATTAGTTAGGTTTCTAATAGTAAAAGAGTATGGGTTTTATTGGAAAGAAATATGTTTTGAGAATGTAATAAATTATTGAAATCTATTTTCAAAATTATTTCATACGAAAACAACTTTTTAATAAAAATTCTTTAACAGCTAAACTTCTCCAGGGTACATTATAAAAATATATACAATATACTAATATATACTGTATATATATAGATATCTGTAACTATTCATATACATTCTTATAGATGAATTGTTATAATAATGAGTTTTTATTATGGTTCTTTCCAGACTTTCACTCACTTCATTGACGATAACGCCATCTACTTTTTATTACCAAAGATATGGTCAACTTTTTTAATTGTTTTCATACGAACACACACACACTCACTCACTCACTCATTCACTCTCTCTCTCTCTCTCTCTCTCTCTCTCTCTCTCTCTCTCGCTCTTTCTCTCTATCTCTCTCTCTATCTTACCGGTGGAAATGGAAAAAATATGATAAAATACATGAATGTTTGCTTTCATACAAATCAATTATTTCACCTTATTTATTATTCATAACATTTTTCAAAGAATTCAATCATATTTTTTAATAATTGATACAGAATTTATGAAAATCCTATTGTTTTTCAATGATACTGCAGCTATTTGAATTGAACGAAAGAATGACTGAATGAATAAATAAGCGAATAGATAGATAGATATATTCATCGATAAATTCAGTGTTACTTTCAAGTTTTACCTGTTATCAAGAATAGGGAAAGTTGAAGAAAAAGAAGAAGAGGAAGAAGAATAAAGCATTTTATTAAATTTCTGATCAGATAATGGTACGGTCAACGATGATTGAGTTGAATTGTTTATATTAAGCTATTAGGTTTACTATAGGGAAATTCTCCAGAGACAAAATTTTCCATAAGAACATACAAATAAATGAAGCAGTTGTTGCTACTCATCATTTAAATATTTTTCTCATCATGACTGATGTTCCATTTTTGCTGGGTAAATATGGAATTTAAACAATATTTCCAGAAGGCATATCTTAACATACTCTTTTATCGTAAATGTAACAAGGCTAATAACCAAAATGCCAAACTGATAAACATTGTATATATAATACTTGTTAGGTAATAGAAGGAATGCAGGAATTTTATCTAGGTGGTTTTTTTTGCCCTCTCTACTCAATCTCGCTAGCCCCTCTTTCCCTCAGCGCCCCCCCCCCTCTCTCTCTCTCTGCCATTTTCTTCTTTTTCTTTTTTAACTTTTACCATGTTTCCATTTCTATTCTACCCTCTTCTCTATCGCTCATTCTCTCATTCTCTCATTCTCTCATTCTCTCTCTCTCTCTCTCTCTCTTTATTTAAGCTAGTTTAGTGATGGATGTAATTTAGGTAATTCAGACTGACTGAATTGGAAAATCAATCACGTTTTTATTGTCGTTCCTGGAACGTACGATATGTAATAAACTGTATCTCGTCAAAAGATAAATTCTTTTCAATTTTCATGTCTACCGATTAAAACTATTGTAATTTTTTGCCTTCTTCTTTTATTCGAAAAGGGAATTTCCTACGCCTTCCATCAATTTAATTAAGTGACAAGATTAAAAGTTATGGGGTGAATAAGAGTTTATAATTCAAACGAATTCTAAGAGAAGGCGCCTTAATCGCCAACAGAATGCGCTCCACCTGTACGAATAAAGGAAAATTAGAAGAGAGAGAGAGAGGGGTGAGGGAAGAGGAGGATGATGTGAAGAAAAAGTAAATTATTCTCATTTTGCCTTTTCAAAAATTATCTAGTAGATGGCGCAAAAATATGACTGAAAAATAAAATGTACTTCATTAGAGATCTCGTATAAATTCTTAATGAAAAGCAAATACGCTGTTCTTTCTGTCTTTTAAGTTATGCCAATATGTTTACTTTTGCTATAATCGAATAAGAAGAATCTTAGGGAGAGTAAATTACTATTTAATTGATTCTCGAGAAGAGAATTAAACGTCAACTTTCCTACAGATAAAAATGTTAAAAGGAGAAATAATGTATAAAGAGAATAAAGGAGAAGAAGGCAGAGGAAGCGGAGGAGTAGGAGGAGGAAGGGAAAGATTACGAGAAAAATAGAGAGAAGAAAGAGAACGGAAGAAACTATTCAATGATTTGTTTATGTTAATTTAGCGATAAGGACTAAGAAAAAAACAGTCTCTTCTTTATCCCCGTCCATATTTAATCGTATACTGTATATTCTCTCATTTTACAATAACCATGCTCCTATGGAGAAACATTACTCCATTATTTGCTCACAATTATGTTTACGATACGATGGGTAAACGATAAAATGCAGCCATACAGCAATAACAACCGGCAGGAATAAGTTATAGGATTACCATTCCTTGAATAATCAAGATTTTCTTCAATCCTAACTTGGCCTAATAGGCGTACGTATTGTAGTAGAATAATTAAATGACTGATATGAATAATAATGAAGATATAGAGGGAAAAACAGACAAAAATATAGAAACTAGATAGATTGAGAAATTGAAGGCAAAGTACAAAAGTAAATGAAAATAATGCATTTTCTATCTTTTCTTTGTAGTTGTTCAAAAGGAGAAATAAAGGAGGTAGAGATGAAAGAAATTAAGCGAGAAGGCGATGGAAGACGGAATGAGAGATAGAGAGAAAGAGAGAAAGAAAAGTATGACTTATCAATTGGTTGCTTAGTTTAAAAGCGTTTTTGTTATTGTTTATATAGTGTATAGATATGTATAGTATATAGGTTACGATGATCTTGCTTTCTACATTAACCAATAAAAAACAAGCTGGTTTTTTTTATAATTCGCTAAAAATTCTCGATGAAAGAGAGAGAGAGAGAGAGAGAGAGAAGATTGATAAGAAAGGAAGAAAAGAAGAGAAGAAAAAGAAATAAGGTATAGAATTTACAAAAGTCTGTGAGAATTAGTTTGGGTTTACAACATCGATTAAAAAGTTTGGTGCACTAAACAACAAACTGTACGAACAAATTACGGACATTTACAACTTAATAAATCTGCAAATCAACAAGTTTAAGGTCAAGAGGTCAACGGTAAACCCAAAATCGATAGTGACAATTGATTCAGGGCAAACTTTTAAAGAAAAATATTTACGATAAACATCTGTAGGAAATTATCAGTAGGGCGTAGTAATTATAGACAAACCTTCGTTTAATTTATCAAACATGCCTAAACCAGCTATTTTAACTGGGGCAGTCCAAATTTCTCGAATTCTTTGCTCTTTTAGGCCAACTTCTGGGGTTTTAACCTCCTTTTTGCTTCTTTCAAATCTGAGCATGTTGATTAAGTTTATTGCCCTTCTTCTCTCACTAAGAAATACTTCATAAAACGTGATATCAATTAAATAAGCTGACCAGCTTATCTCGATAAACTATTTCTTCGATTTTCCAGTAGTGAATGATTGACGGAGATTCCTATTTGACTGCAAACGCCTACTGCCAGATGTCCTCTCGTTCTGCAAAAATCCGTACAATCGCTTTCGTTTACTTTTTAAAAGAAATCTTTCCCGTTGCAGTTTTTCTTCATTTTGTTAATTTAATTATCAAAGTAATTATCATTATTTCGTTGCATTTCCGCAAAAAAGATGGCCATACAAGTTTCTATTATTTCCTTTAATAGAAATATCAATAAACCAATAGGAGAAGAGTTCAAGTACCGAGAGAAGAGAAATTAGAGGAGGGAGAAAGAGGATGACCCCTGGGCGAAAGGATAGTATTTTTTAAAACAGAATCTTAATATAAACTATGAAAGAATGCAATGTTTATGACATATTGACGCTGGTAAGAAAATTATACTGTAATATAATCCGCTAAATGGCATTAAACAAAACGTAGAAAAATATACTGCAATTTTGTTTATGAATAAGGCTGCAAAGTAAAACCATATAAGCTCAAAATATAACATTTCTTTAGCAGTATTTCTATTCTAATGAACCTTTATATCTTTATCTCTTTTCTTCAAACCTATCATTCTTTCTCTCTATCTATACTGCAAATGAACTGTCACATGTATTCACACCAAACAGATTTACAATAAAATTAACCAACCTATGGCAATTTATGAAAACTTTTCCTTCTTTTAAAACTTTATCCTCCTACCTTTCTACTGTTTTCTCTCTCTCTCTCTCTCTCTCTCTCTTTCACTCTGTTACTTTTCGTTTACTTTCTTCCCATCATCTAACGAACAAGAAAACATATAAAAGTATATTGCAAGCATACCATTATCAAATTTTTCACATTCCCATTTTATTACGGGCTGTTACCCTTACAGGAAGCATCAAAGTCTAAGACGATGATGTATCATTCTATACTCATGTTTTCTAATCAATAAAATGCATTATTCTCAATATGGAATCTATAAACAGTCTGTGTTTTATATTCTTGCAAGTTAACGAATAAATAAACGTTAATTTTTTTATTGAGAATTATCTAAATAGAATAAATTAAGGAATCGTTGCATTTTGTTTTTGTGTGTATTTCCTATTCTCCCCTTCTCTCTATCTATCTATCTTTCTTTCTTTCTATCTTTCTTTCTCTTTCATTTACATTTCTTTCTTCACTATTTTCCAGTTAATCTTTTTTATATAAAAAGAAAGTATAGTTGTAGAGATTTAATTGTTTATTTAGGTAAAGAATGATAAAGGATTTGCTTAAACGTTCCTTTTCACCAACTGTTATAGCGTTAAATATTATTGATAGACACTCTTGAACGATTTTCCTATCAAATTTATTCAAGTATTCTTCATTATATAACACAATTGATTGATATTTGTTCTCTCTCTCTCTCTCACTCTCTTACTCTGGCCCAGTTTATTCCTTCAAAGAAATCTTTTACGAAAACTATTCTATCTCTTCTCTATTAATATTTATTCAACTAAATTTCTAACATTTCCTAGTCTATCCCTTTTTTTATTTAACAATGAAGACACGCACTCTTCTAGTTTCTCTTTAAGAAAAAGGACTAAAAATGTGAAAAATTAATTGACTAATTAATTAACTTATTTAAAATAAATCTTTATAGTAAATTAACGAAAGAAAATCTTGTTTTTTCGGTAAATGAAGCATACTTACCGGATAAGAAGATGTTATTCTCACCCCTCAATACTCTTGTTTGTTTACGATGTGAAATATTTTAAATAGTTTCTATCAGAAATATTTCTTATCTTTTATCATTTAAAAACATAACTGGTATACCTATGAATCTCTTTTATAACGAACTGTTAATTCTACGGTTTGTTGCCCACCCTCCCTCTCCAGTAAATGGAAATTTTAATGCAGAGAAAAATTGGATTAGTACTTGAAATCACTTTATTTAAAAAAACAAAAAAACCCAATTGGTTTGTTTTTATATAAAAGTATAAAGCGTAGAGTACAAGTTGTAGGACTATTGGATCCTCTTGCTTACACTAATGAAAACCTCAAGCTTTAGAATTCGCTTACATAAAGAGAGAGAGAGAGAGAGAGAGAGAGAGAGAGAGAGAGAGAGAGAGAGAGATAGATAGAGATAGAGAGATAGATTGATAGAAAGAAAGAGGGAGAGAGAGAGTGAGGGAGTCTGAAGAGGGAGGAAATGAAAGAAAGAGAGAGAGAGAGAGTCTGTGGAGGAAAGAAATGAAAGAAAAATAGAGACAGACAAGGAAGTTATAACGAGATGATGATAATGATGATAAGTTAATCGATATATATTTTGATTAAAAGATTTTATCTTTCTCTATAAACTTATAAAATATTATTTTCCTTTCTGTTTAACTTCCATCTTTTCCTTTTCCTTTTCTTTTCACTATCTATTTTAAGCTCGTCGTATTTGTTTTAAAGTGATTTCATTTTTCATCTACCTTATATAGTCTTGTAAATCTATATTGAATTATCAATTTTTTGCTGACTAAAAAAGCTATTCCACTACTATTTTCGGTTGTTTTTGTTTCTCGCTTCTCCAATGGAAAACAAGAGAAAAGAAAATAGTCGATATTCAAATGAACGTATCGGATAATTATCGATTTTTTTCTCTCTACCTAGGTAGGCCTTATCCGCTATTTATACAACATATTTTTGATAAGGCCACAGTAACGACGAGTGGCGAGTCAATAAAGGACGGATTTATTCTTTGTCACGGCTGCTTAAAGCGTAGTTCGTTCAACGAATTACAAACTAAAACAAGTTCGTGAATATGGCGACAATGTATTATCCACCTTATAGACCTCAAAGTGAACAAGTAAGTTATTTATAAGAAATTCTCATTAAAATATACTTCCTCTCTTTTCAATCGTTGCTGAGGATAGACAGCAATTTTTATGTAATATTTTTGATTTCGTGTTAAAATCAATGGTGTTGCTCTATAAACAAAACAATCGGAGATAACGCACTTTAAATGTTGTATACTGCCTGTAAAATTTCAATATTAAATGTATCTTATATAGTTTATATATAAATTTATATATGTACTAGTATATTAGACGTGTCTACTGTATAGATAATATGAGAAGTAAAAGGGAATTTCGGCTTAAAAATAGGCGATCAGGTAGAATTCTGTCAATTAAATGAGGTATGAAATAAGATGAATGATCGATAATCGATAAAATCTTGATATATTGAAAAAATTAAGAGTATAATTTATATAATCAATATAGAAGAAGTAGAATGAGGAGGAGGAGGAGGAGGAGGGGGCGGAGAGAATGATATTAAATTGCAAAATGTTGGATCTGCTTTTTACTTTTCTTTCTTAGCTTCTAAATGACAATGACGATCAGCTACCTAGCCAAGACGCCCTGGAGAAAGTACTACCAGAATACAGTTATATATTCGTTGATCCTATTCCAAGGATAAAGCCTCCCGGATCTCTACTGAAGGATGCAAATCCTCAAGCAAATTCTTCCGATCCTTCTGATCAAGTCGTTTTACAGTACCAATTAGGAGAATTGCAAAGATATAGGGAAGCTGTTCACAGAATGGCTAATGATATTATTGCTTTAAGACAGCACATTACTGAATTGCAAAGCGTAAATAGTGGCCTAAAGTTACAACTGGCCCAGTTTAAAGACGCTAGCAGATTGATACACGATTCAGCCGACTTGGATGGATTAACAAAAGAAGAAATGGTAGAGAGATACGCGGCCATAAAGCGGAAAGTAGTTAGTCAGTCTGCGGATATGGAAACGTATAGGGAGAATATCAGACAATTGAAGAATTTATTAATAGATAAGGATGAAGATATTCAAAAGCTAAGTCGTGATACTTTGAATAAGGATAGTCAAATGAGGGTTTTAGCTAAACTAAGAGAGACTCAAGCAAAGTCCGAAAGGTATAAGAACGCAATTGAACAACAAGAGAAAGTCATTGAAAAATTAGAAAAAGTCTTACAAAAATCATCGACGTCTAAAATATCATCTGAAAAGGGTAATGAACGTTACGAAGCTCTCCAGGCAGAAAATCAAAGATTAAAAGATCAACTACACAATTATCAGGTATTTAAATAATTCTCTATTTACCTCTACTAAATACCATTTATTGAAATAAATAAAATATAGAAAGACGATAAAGAGAGGGGAAAGAATCAAAAAGAGAGTGACGAAGAACGTTTAAGAATGTATGAGAAAATTGATTTCTACGAAGAAAGGATAAAATCACTCGAGAGTCAAATTATAACGAGTGCTAAAGATTGGGGAAGAGAGAAGACTGAAATGAACTTGAAAATTCAAGAATTAAAGAGAAAGAGTAAAATTCGACCAGTATTTAGTCCGCATCACCGATTCGAGAAGTAATAAAAACTATGATTTATACGTAAAATTATGTAATTGTACATATTTCGTTATCAGTTCATTTGTAGCTGAATAAATCAATTATATTCTGAATATATTATATATTAACGTAACTGTATGAAAAGAATAGAATTCCAATTTATTCATTCTTGTGTTGTGTAGGAGCTTTCTCCTTTTCCCTCTATCTCTATCTCTCTCTCTCTTTCTTTCTCTCTCCCTCTCTTTTCTCTCCTTTTTGCAAACTTTTCGTTACTTATTCAACATATAGTGTTTCGTGTAAGTATCAATATGTTTAACATTAACAATTGTCAATTTCTTTATTCATTTCTAGATTAGATCAATACATATCTTTATGATAATCCCACGCTAATCCTCTATTCAAATCACAATATTATTCACTCGAATTGTTTATCAACAAGTAAATTTCTTGCATTTATTTTCCTTTTAGCAATTTTAATAGAAGAAAGGAATTTATGCTCTACTTTTTATCTGAAAACTTAAACAATCTACTTGTTTATAAGTGTTTAAATCTGCGTTCGTTTGCGTCTTTCTCTCTCTCTCTCTCTCTCTCTCTCTCTATCTATCTATCCTTCTCTTCCTTAATCTTCTTCTATCATCTTAAACAAATAGGTATCGAAACTAAAATTAGTATTATCTTGCCAAATATCAAGGCGAAGAGTATAGTTTTAGCCTCTCAGTTTGCCATTTCTCTTTCATATTTTCTTCTTAGGAGAAGAAAGGAAACAATACAAAAAGTTTTTAATAATAGAATAAAATTCCTGTCTAGGAACGAAAAAGGGAAAGATATGATTTTAAACTTGTTGGCTTCCCTTTTTCCTTTAATCCTTTAATTACTATTTATTTGTTTGTCTTTTTCATGAAAATTGTGAGATATCTCCATCTTTTTTGCTGTAGTAAACGTTTTATTACATCAACTATGCGAAGAATGTATAGTTTATATAATAAATTGCAGTAGATAGTTTTATATAAAATACTGCAATAATCTTTTTCTTTTATTATTTCCCTGACTAATTTTTTTCATTGATTTCTCTTCTCTTTTCCCTTTACTTTTCCTCTAAGAGAAGTCAAATTTTGTTATAGTAGAAAATGGATTGTGAAGTTGACGACTTCCATTTGCTTAGTGCTCTTTATTTCACAAATAATAAGTAAGTTGAATACTAAAACAGTTTGATCTATCTGAATGAAAATTCATAGATCTTTGTTTCCTTTTTTCTGTTTCTCACTTCTTTTTATCCATCTTCTTTTTTCCTACTGAACGCAGTTTCTAAGAGAGAAAAATATCCATCTACTGTATATAGTATATTTATATTTGAAAAAGTCTCTTGCTAGTATCAAGAGGGAACTAATTAATTGCTTTTTCATAGAGAAAGAATAGACTGGAAAATCTATAATAGATAATAGATGGAGCCTTTTAAAGCATAGCTGTTAAAGATATTACTCTATTCTCAAAAATGTTCTTTCACTGGCTATATAGATGGATAACAACAGTTTTGAGGTTCTGTTGCTAAGAGATACTATAAGTCATTTTCCATTTCAAGTATTACACACCTTGAATTTGTCTTCTTAGTTAATACTTCATTTAGTTCACTCATTCACCGCTACAATAAACTCCATCTAGCGATAAATGGAGAAAGCATTCGCTTGACTCTTTTACTATACACAATTGTAATCAAACCGTATATGAGATAGACTAATTAAAGAAAAGAAAGTTGACTTTAATTGCAACGTATTTATGATAATGCTTACCTCTGAAATATTCAAGTCGCTAAATATTGGTAAAGTGAATAAAGACGGATTAATCCGTGCTACTAAAGAGATGTTCAAAAGTTTGAAAAATGATAGTATCACTCGGAAATGAGTTTTTTTTTCGGAAGAAAGGAAAGCCTATATGAAAGAGAAATTGAAAGAAGCGCTGTAGAGGAGGATCCTCATCTTTCTAATGGTGATCAGGTCATGAAGGTAACAGGGGATTGCTGTCATAGATCAGGAGGACAAATTTTCTATCTAAGAAACAAAATATGACGAATGTTTATTGGAGCGGAAGAAGAAGAGATAGGAAGAGAGAAAGATCATTTTGAAGATACGTCTAAAAATTGAAGTGACCATTGCCAAACAAGGCATATAATTTGATTGCCTGTACGCATTCAGAATATTTAATGAATGTATATATACATTATATATATAATAATAGTTAATAATAATAATTTCAATGGAATATTTTTTGTATTGTTTAGTAAATCAACGAATAAAAGAATTAGCTTATGTGGAAAACAAGAAGATAAAGAAAGAATAACCTCTCTAACATGCCAATATAAAATATAAAGAAAAAAGTTACGAAAGTATACTTAAAGTAAACTACCTGGAGGTTGAGAAAAATGGTAGAGGTTATTAAGTTCCTTAACAAAAGGTGAAGATTGTCTTTGGTTTGCCGTGTAATCATCGTTGAAGAGACTCAATTGTCTATCCATCTATATATATATATATATACAGTATATACTGTATATATTTAGAAATGTAGCCAATTTGAAATCCAATTATATATGCAAATAAAAACTTTCAATCATTATTGCTAATACTTTCTATTCACGCAGAAGAGAATATTTATAAAAACTGGTAAACGACAAAAGAAGCATTTAATTACAAAACAGTTCTCTTCTTTCTTGTTTATAAAGCCTTTAAAATTGAAAGAAACTTACTTATACAAAGAAAGAAAAAAACGAGTTATGGATGAACAGAATCTCTATTTCAACAGTAGAATTAACTAATAGCATGTTTCGCCACCATTTTATAATTTAACAGCCTCCTGTAATAGTATATTGTAAAGGAGTATACTCATAACCTTGTAATATAGAAGATGGATTTGGGTTTATCTGAACTTTCGAAGGATTAAGTATACTATTAAATCATTGAAAATAACTATTTTTCGAAATTACACGTTCTTTAATCAATGTCTTGTCTACTATACATGCTTTATTGTGCATGACTAGTATCAACGAGTCGACACTGTAAATTACTTCTCATAATCTTAAATGATGATGTCTATTGTTGATTTGCACCTTCTCTCTCCCTCTCTCATATATACATATATAGATACACTTACATGCACATATACACACACACCCACGTATTCTCATTTTGATTTTTAAGTGGCTTCCTTATCCGTGAAATGAGCAAAATCATGGCTACATTTCTATCTATAAGAGCGTGCTTGAGTAGTCAAATAGCATAGAGTGTAAATCGGTGACTGACTGAAAGAAGATTGAAAGATAAAAAAGAGAAGATAGAATAGAAATCAAGCAACAAGAACAGAAGAAAGAGAGTTATACTGTGTATATTTTACGAACCTAATAGCTGTTATAATTCCTGAAGTTAGCCAAATTGTTTGTAAAACAAACAAAAAATACAAATAGGCAGCTATGTTTAGCAGATAATGTTCAGTGAATCTATTTGCATCAGTAACAAATGGGTGCATGTCACGTTAAAGGAAATAATTTTGTAAGAATCAGCATTTTGAATTTTACATAGAATTAATAAGTTTATAATAAAAATCGTATATTAAATAACAAATAGAAAATGTAGCAAATACTAGAAATTTATAAGTTGTTTATTTAACATACCTTACTGTACGTTGTACTTTATCTTCGCTATTTCTGCGTAAAATGGCAATAGCTTCTATTATTAGAAACTTTAATCGTTGAAATTGCCATAAGATAAATATTGTCCAGTCATATATAATGTATTACTTATGGTAAATGCGTTGAATATTCCATTAATAGATTGTATAATTTCCTCTGACAAAAAGACAATTTCTTCTTCTCTAATTCTCTTTATATTCCAAGCAGTCGTTGGTGAAGAATTTTTCAAGATTAATAAGTCTAGAGCAGTTGGCAGTCTTTGCAATGACGACCCAAAAACTGAGGAAAAATAAGAGCGACAAGAAGAACAAGAACAAGAACGAGAACAAGAAGAAGAAGAAGAAGAAGAAGAAGAAGACATACAAGTGATAAAATACAAAATGGAATTTAGAGTTAGTTATAGCAGTAATAGCAGTAATAGTAATAGTAGTAATAATAATCATAAGAAAGCTGAGATGGCAAAAAAAGAGTTAAACCTAGACCAGGAATGATAGATGAAGTGTGTGTTGGAAAGAGAAACGGATTCATTGGTGGCCAGCAGGCGAGAAAAGATAATGCAATTAAATTGACTGCATTATATATTGAAGCATGATATTGCTAGTAATTTGAACTACCAGAAGTGCAGTTGTAGAGTTATAGATGACAAATAAATGTAAATTTCATGAAACTTGAAAATTCTTAGAGAGAGTTTATTCTTGCAAAGGACGTTCTCTTCGTCTTGGTACAAGATACTTCTGTCACTTTCATTTCTGTCCAATTGGCATCCGTCTGGCTTGCCTTACACATAAAGCTCATTTTAAAAGCTTTTCGAAATTTGTTGGATAAGGCGTTATATAAAATTGGGTTTATTGAGCTGTTTAAATAGAATAATGCTCTAGCTGCATTGAGCATGTTTAGCTGAATTTCTGGACTTATAAAGTCAATTATTTCTCTGGAGGAGAATGTATAAAAAAGGAGTATAACCCTCATAGGCAAATGACAAATAAAGAAGAGAACCACAACGGCCATCATCATATGTATAATTTGGCGTTTTTGCACAGTATGAGATTCAACGGTTCTTGTACAGGATAGCATAGTATTATCTCTTTTGTTCATCTTCCAACCAATTTTCGTATAGAGAATTACAAGTAGAACTAATGCCACAACATAAAAGAAAGAGTATGTTACAATAACAAAAGCTTTTCTTAAATAGGTATTGAATGGTCCATGGCATACTTCTACAACAGACTTGTAAGACGAATGATTCGCTGAATAAGTCGTTGCTATGAATAAGTAAGGAACTGCTGTAAAAATTGAGACAATCCATGATATAATAAGAAGTTGAATGTATTTTTTTAGCGTTAGTTTATAGAGAGTCCTCAGGGGATAACATGTTGCGTAAAATCGCTCAAAGCTAATAGCTATTAACGTTAGTACAGATGCATTTGCTGTACAATTTTCCATGAAATATACCAATTTACCTGTCGAACAAAGTCAAGTGAACAGATTTAAATTTTTTAAGACGTGTCCCATGAATAATCATTTATAAAATAGACAATCATTATGATTTATGACATTTTTATACGAACAGAAGAGTTATAAACTCTTTAAATTTTCACAATTTATCTCTATTTCTATCTGCTTTTATCTCTTTAGAGATTTAAGATTACTCTTAGTTAATACTTTGGTTAATATATTAGAAAAAAGAAGCATCTCCCATTGCGATGGGAGATAAACGTTGCAGAATTGAACTTAATGTTTCCAAGTAAAATAT